CCAGGAGCGGAAAGGACTGCCCTCCCCGTTGGCGTTGCTTGCGGCTACGTGCAGCAAAATAGGGGAAGAGCAAAGAATTTCTGAGGAAAGTGATTCCAGTGAGGGCAACGTGGCTACCCAAGCTGAGAGGGACCCGTTGTCCCTCAGTCCGCAATCGCAGCAACCACAAGTAAGTGACAGAATTATCAACAATATGTATCCCACATTTCTGGCACATCATACAATCTTGCATAATGGCTTACATATGTTCAACAAAACATAACCTGTCACCCTATGATAAGTGTATTTTACTTCCCTTATCAAAAACAACCCAACTGCAAAAATAAATAAAAACAATTACTTCTACAAGTCTATTTCGATACTCATCTATTATGAGGACTTCTCTTAACACGATTCCAAATATCAGCTATTCAATAAAAATAATTGAATAACTTACAACATATGTTTATTTACCATCAAAAACTTACATATGATCAAATATATATAAGTTAAATTCAGCTGTAATTAGCATTAATATATGTTTTATAAGCCCTATATAGAGTGTAAATATAAGCGAGCGTGTTGCTTGCAAATCGCAACTTGGAAGGCTCATGCCTGAACCTAAAGTAATATGCCCCAAGAGCTGCTTGACAGTTAAACTTTAGTTTCAGAAAGTTTTCCATTTGACTTTTATTTATTTATACATATCTTTTATAAATCATGTATACGATTTGGTGTAACATTGATTCATTTACTGTTTCTTAGTTTAAAACTATGAGAAAGATAATGATACCAGAATTCTGAACATTGTGTCTATCACTGATGCAATATAAGCTGTCAGAATTTCTTTTGTTTTTCACCAACAATTTACTAATTGATTGAATGCAAAAGAAAAAAATTAATAAAAGACTAAACTTATTGAAAAATCCATTCCAAAGATCCACCATTTTAACTAAAGCTCTGGTTAATATTAATTTAGATAATTTCTATTGAACTGTTTATAATCAGTAGGTTTACCTTAGTTCAATTACCATTGCATCATAAGTAACCTATTTTTCAATTATATTCTCTACATGATACAAAGAAAGAAAATGTCTTATCATTCCTCTTGTTTTTGTTTATTATTTTCCTTTCCTGATCCACATTAACAGTGTTTCCAAACAAAGTTTCAAATCCGAAAGAGAAGTTCTATACCTTTCACTCTTCTTTGGCTTACAGTTTATAATGTTACTTCTCCATCTTGCATTATCTGTGAAGTATAATTATTAAATACCATCTCCTCCAGAATAATAACTTTTTCTTGAAGAAAAGAAAAAATGAACTGCAGTTTCTTTATCATAAATTGTTCTATAAAATGGCTTTATATGAGCCTTTCAGTTGACAGAATGATTGTATCCATTATCAGTATCTTTGAATTAAGTAATTTTAGCCATATTTCTAGTTGGAAAATTTATATCTGTAAAGACAGTGAGTAAGCTAATTCCAAAGTAGGTGATTGCAGTGTCGAAATATAAAACTGTGAACAAAGGTATAGATTTTCTCACTAGAAATATCACTAAAATCAATAATAAAAAATGTTGAAATTGGAATTAGTCATTGTGTCACCTGAAAAACTTATATAGTGCATATTAAACTTGTAATAACACAAGGTTAGTATTATAGAATACCCTGACAATAACTATTTTACGTATCTAGGAAATGAAAGTATTACATTACTAATTCCAGTGAAGTGATTATTAAATTTATTATTCATGGAATCACTGATATTAAGAACCATATCATGAGTATCTGTATAATAGACGAGTATCTCTGTTCTATGTACTTATTATTTTATGAGTGAACAAATATTTTGCTTAGTCTTCCTGGTCCCCAAATAATTACAATTTTGTTGAATAAAGAACATCTAATGATAGTACAATACAAAGTGTTAGTTGTTGATATTGCTATTTTTAAGTATTTATTATATTGTGGATGAATAAACTTAGAGGGAAAACAATATAGTCCTGTATGGCAGTCATAAAATAACTTCAAATAGTGGATATTATTTATTAAGCCTATGTTTTAACCCAACAAGTCGAATAGCAACAACAATATCTGTCTTCATCAGTGCTAAAATGAACAAAATACAAACCGTAGAATAATGTAAGAATTATAAGCTTAGATTAATGAGATGTAAACATTGAAAAACTTAACAATTAACTCAGCCATTCCAAACCATCTTTTTCCTCGCTATCCAAACTGTCAACCATTCAATATCTAATAAGAACAATAATAAATAAAGAATAACTACTTTTAGTACACTAGTTGTACGGTAAACACTATTACTTGTTGATACTAGTCTATATTGTGAATTATGAAACTTAACAAATACTTAACTAGACACAATTACTAGAGTTTTACCTGTCACTAAATACTAAATTTGTTGAATAAACAAAAACTATTTTCAGTACAAACTGCTTGTTTTTTTAAGCCTGTAAGAGAGTAGCTTGGTTTTGATTACCTGTGGATATGATGGAGATCATAATCATACGTGAGCACAAGAATTTTGTTCAAAGAATATTGATGTATAATAAATATATTTATTTGGTGATATGATTTCTTATTTTCATCACATTAAAATTCAATTTAAGTATCTAATATTGCACAAAATGCTAAATTCGACTATTGCCGTTTGCAACCATTTGTTTAATATTGGAAAAAGATTCTATAATTCGATAATTAAAATCAAAAACTGCATCTCTCTAAGGAAAGCTTTATGTTCATCTATAACTATCGACAACAATCTAATTCCTACAAAAAACTGTGTATGACTCTACTCAGACTCTACTGAGACAAAATACCCACGTAGGGACATACATACAAAATTAAAAAGTAACTGTCTTCAATCAATTCATAAATGATATAATCCTCTCCTTTTTTTTTTTTTTTTTTTAGTTTAAAACGTTTCATTAGCACATTAATGTGATTAAATATTTTAGATGTATATTTAGATTTTTTTTTTTAATGCACATTTAACAATCATTTATTGCATATTTAGGGAGTGGGAAGGCACTGAGCCTCCAATGTTCGAGGTCCCAGATTGGAATTCTGGCTTATGGCAGATAAATTATTTATTCTGTTTCATCGGTCATGGATCGAGTCGGGAAACCCTCCTAGGGCACACCCATCGTCTATGTAGTGGTTACCCTTAATTAAATATTATATTTAAGGGGGAAAACCTAGCGGTTGAGTTTGATCTCAGTCCTGTCACCTCCTTACATAACCCTTGACCAAGAAACAGTACTTTGCCTAAATAGTGCTGAACCCAAGACCCTTATGGGTGGGTTGTAGTGGTACAGTTTTATTTTTATGAATTATAAAATCTTCTGGACTAAAGATTTAATTTACGAAACAAGCGACTGATCAAAATTATTTACTGACATAAAATATACTGAGATCAATTTGGACATACAGGAGCAGAAATTTAGTGTTCAGGAAAACAAGCACACATAATCTAAATATAAACAATACAATACAAAATTATTAATGCATTAAAGTTTATTTCAAATCACACTATACGTAGTAACTTTTCAACAGAAAAATCTCATATCTGTGACAAAGTACTCTACATTTCACTATTCAACCCAAAGTCATCTCAATTCACTTTACTAAACTTAATGTTCTTAAACTGTCTAGTTAGTACTAGCGATGAGTTACTAGTTTGTAATTAGTTCAGCAAATGACATATTATTAAGAGGTGTTTTTTAAGGGTTATTTACCTATAATTTTCTTATTGTTAACACATTTTTCTAGGTAATCACACTTCAGCAATTCCAAAACCTTTTAACTTTACAACAAGTCAATGGAAATGAACAGAAATATGTTCAAGCGGCAGCTTCTCCTACAGTTTCGGTCCAAGGAGTTCCTGGACAGTACATTCAGGTGAATATATACAGATTATTTTTTATCTGATTACTACATTATTTTATAGATATTTCACAGAGTATTTATCAGTCAGAGATTTAGTGAATAGGACTGGATTATTCGCCAGTAGTGAAAACTGGTATTTTCATGTAATATTATCTTGTAAATTATTTTTAAAAGTGCACTTAAATATATTTAAGCATTTAAAAATATGGACCTTCTAATTGCTTTGGCTTAATTTCACTTACGGTGTAGGAAGAAATTTATCAGAAAAAAAAAAAGGTTTGTTCTTAGATCACACGATAGAAGTGAAAACATCAACAAGACAAGATTAATAAAATATAAAATATAAATAGTAGCTCATTATAAAAAGGATGCTGAACATTTCACTCGCTTACAGTATGCCAGTCCGAATTTTAGTTTCTGAGATGATTCCATAAAACTCGTATAATTTGGTTTTCAACACTATTTTTTCTTTTCCCCTCTCTAACACACAGCGTTGCGTTAAGATACAGTTTTGAATAATAGCTCATTACAAAGAAGATGAAATGCTGAACATTTGCCTCGCTTACAGTATACAGGTCCGCTTTTTAATATCTGAAGTATTTTTATCCATATGTTCAACTAAACTCATTATTTGGTTTTCGAAAATATTTTTTCCTTTTGCCTCCCTAGCAAGTGTCATTTAAGATACAATTTTGATTTATAACCTAATTAGCTGTTGCAATAATGCAAAAAAGTGCAAAACGCCTAAAGAAGTTTTCACTTAAAAAAAAAAAGCAAAATTTATAGGATTATTCAATTTGTTGTATAAGTGAGTTCTATTTTTAAATTTTAAGGGATTTTATTCTCCACTACTGTTAGCCTATACTTTTAACTTTATTAATTTGTTATATTCTTAATATTTAGTTTTAAACTTAGTGAGTATGGCACTGTCAGAAAGTGTCATACTGACTTACTGAATTTTCTTTTATGGCCTGTTATCCTTGTGATTTAAAAGAATCATGCTTCCATCTATTCTTTCACCTTTTGATTACTTTATTATTTTTTCATTCTAGTCCGGAGGGGGAGGTGGAGGAGTTACTTACTCGGTCCTTCAGGGATCACAAGGAGGGGGTATGCAAGCGATTACTGTTGATGGACAGGAAGCTGTGTTTATCCCCTCAAGTACGGGACTCGTTTCACCCCTTAGGGTTCTGCCTGCTGGAGTCTTACCCACTGGAGCACCTTTGACACCTACTACATTATTTCCTGGTAAGTAAATTTTGTTATATAATTTTTCCAATTTTTGTTGTAGTTTTATTTAGTTTTTGATGATCCTTGGGGGCAGAATAGTTGAGCGGGCTAATGCATGTTTTGCTCAAGTGTTAGCCCGCTTAGCTGGTACTGGTACTGGTATAGGTGGGGGACTTAGTCCGGCGAGTGGGCATATTGGTCCGTTTTGCCAACCCCAAAGTTTGATACTACCAGTGGCTGTCTATTGTACCTCTATTCTGTCTCAAACCTTTTTGTTCTTCTAATGAAGTTCAAAAGGTTGGACCATTTTATGGAGGCAGCTTTGCATACTTGGATTCTGTCTGCTCCCAGAAGCCTGTATCTGAGTGATGTAAATCAGTCACATTCTGTTATGAAGTGAAGGGTAGTTTCATGTGCACTTCTGCAGATATTACAAACCTCATCATCCACTATCCGACAGATCTTTAAATGTCTTTTAAGTCTGCAGCGGCCTGTTAGTACTCCGATGATGAGTCGGATTTCTTTCCTAGTTAGGCCCAGCAGCCACTTTGTTTTGGAGGGAGAGGGGCTTTTGATAAATTGCTTCGCCTGTCTAAGCCCAGTGCATTCCCTCCATTCTTTACCTGTTATCTTTCAAGTCCAATCAAGGACTTCTTTCTGCTGATGCTTCTTGGATATTTTTATTGCAGGTTCCGGGCCTATAATAGGAGATTCTGCTCCTTTCCTTGCTAGGTAATCAGCTTTTTCGTTGCCTTTAATTCCCTTGTGACCAGAGGCCCACATTAGTTCCACCCTCTTGGAGCAGGCCAGTTTCTCCAACACCTGTTTGCACTCCTGCACTAGTGTGGAGGTCACTTTGGGAGACTGCAATTCTTGTAGTGCTGACTGACTATCCGAATAGATAGTAATGCCAGCATTCTCGCTATTGGTAACTTCTAAACAGGTGACTGCAGAAAGTATAGCGAACACCTTGCTTGAAATACCGTAGCATGTTTACCTAGTGGCATGCTTAATTCTATATTTAGGTTCTCTATATAGACTCCTGCAACCGTTAAACTAGTAGAGTCTTTCCTTGAACCATCAGTAAAACAGCAGGTAGTCCTTCTGAGTCTATACAGAACCCTGTTCCCAATCTATTATTTTAGGGTACAGGTAGCCCGCTTAGCTAATCTGTGGTGCCAGATGGGTTAGGGGGTCTTGTTACTCCGGCACTAATCCTCCACCCTCTCCCCTGTTTCAGGTAAACCCTGTATAATCCTTATCAGGAATGGCAGGACAAAAAAAAAGTTTCCATTGATTATTTAATGAAATTTACTATCTGTCTGATTTGTGACAAACTCAATCAATTTCATATTTATTTGTAAAAGTGCTGTCTCTGGTGTGCTTTTGAAGAAATTTTAGAATATTTCTTGTACAGTCGAATCTCTATATATATCCAACTTAAAGGTTCCATGAAAAAAAATAATATACGTATGGAAACATTGCAGTTTTTAACCCTTGTCATACTTAGAACAACCAGGGTGAACGCACCAATGATGAGCAGGTTGGACTTTAAATGTAAATAATAAGCTTCCTTGTTGATTTAAAGATTCCAGTTTTTTCTAGATTAGAGAACAATGCTCTCTATTGACTATTGTCTGAAGAAAGTTCCCAAAAGGAAATTTTAAAATGCCTATCGTTGTTGTTTCTCTAGTGATTCTGAGATCAGTGTGTTTCATACCTTCTTACTAACAGTTTTTAGAGTAAGTTGAACATCTATGTTATTTTATCTTTATTGTTATCTTTATAATTAATTAAAGATTTTAGAATTTTTCTGAGGTTTGTCTATTACTGGTACAGACCCCCTGTCCATTACAAGAACAGTTGAATTTCGGGGTGTCCATCACTAGTACAAAGAGGTGTTTTTTTTTTTAATGAATATTATATCTGCATAACTGAAATTTTATCTTCAATTTTAAACTGTTAAATAGAAAAAGGAGACCATAAAGATTTTAAATGTCTGCTGCAGAAATTTATAACTATAATAATTATGGCGGTATAGAAAAAATATGTCCTGAGTTATGTCCATCACTGTTGCGCTTACCCTACAGTAATTTTGAGTTGAAGAGGTAACAAAGACATTTTTTTAGAGCTTTGAAAGTATCAGATTTCAATGTCACTTACCGCTTTGAGAAATTCAAATATCTCAGTGAATGACCAATAGTCAGAAATATGCTAGTGTATAATAAGTGTAAACAGCTGTCTTCTCTCTTTCAAAAGTATTTGATTTCAGAAAAATCTTTATAAATTTCAAATTAAAGGTTTATAATGCTTTAGTGAATATTTAATAGTTGACCATTGCATTATAAAGGAAGAAGATGGTCCGGGGTGGCATTCATAAATAGGCTATATAGTGGCAAAAACTATTTTATTAAAAGCCAACGTTTCGACCCGACTTTGCAGGTCTTCTTCAGGAAGGTGTGTTCAGCTAGGAGTTTCACTTAGAACTCGAAATTGTGTTATAAGTGAAACTCCTAGCTGAACACACCTCTCTGAAGTAAACCTGCAAAGTTGGGTTGAAACATTGGCTTTTAATAAAATAGTTTTTGCCACTATTTAGCCTATTTATGGCCGTCACCCCGGACCATCTCCTTCCTCGTGTAATGCTTTAGTAAAACCAGTTCTCATATATGGTTGTGAGATCTGGACCAAGGAAAAAAGTATTAAAAGATTTGAGAGGGAAACCCTCCATGATAACCGTAATGATCTGGGATCAGAGGACTAACACATGGAGGAGAAAAATCAATCAAGAAATGCTTACAAAACTGCTCACTCAATATCTCAGTATATGAAGGCAAGGGAGTTTAGATGGTTAGGGCATATAGCTACACAACGATAGATGTCTTAATATAGATGAATCAACAACAGAGCTGCATGCAATAAATCTAAATAGTTAGAGGTGTAGAAGAAGGTCTTGGATGATCAGTCTAGTTTAACTAAAAAGTGAAAACAAAATTCATTATGTGTATCTTGATTGGTATATTAGTAGGGTACTTATCCAGTAGCGGGTAGCGTCAAAACCGCCCTTCTTATCTAATCTCATTTTAGATAACCTCCCTTATCTCATCTAACCTAAGTTATTCTGTTGTTTAGTTTTTTTTTCTTGTGCCAGGTGTGAGTTTATTTAATTATGGATGTTGTCACATTGTGGGAATTGCCGTCTTCAGAAGAAGAGGCTATCAAATATTTTCAAGACGCCGGTATATTTGATTATTGTGATGAGGGTCATCAAATGAAGTTCGACGGGAAGATTAAATGGAGATGCTTTCATAGGTGTAATAAAACCGTTACTATAAGGAAAGGAACGTGGTTAGTGGGGTCGAGGATTTCTTTTTTAACGGCTTTAAAATTCATTTATGGGTGGTCCCATAATTTAACTACAATACAGTGGGGGAAAGAGCAGCTCAAACTATCCATCGGAACTGTCGTAGCATGGAACAAATTTTTAAGAGAAGTTTGTGCCCATGACATGTTATACAGGTCGAATAAAAAATTGGAGGGCCTGGCAAAGTCGTCGAAGTAGACGAGAGTCTTTTATTGAAAAGAAAAAATCATATGGGGAGAGTCCTACCTGAGCAATGGATGTTTGGCGGAGTTTGCCAAGAAACAGACAAGTGTTTTCGTGACCTTTTGTTCACAATTTCAATAATATCAATACAATACAATAAATATGAATACAAACATATAATAATATGAATATAATACAATAAATATGAATACCAAGAGCTTATCAGTGTTAAGATTATAAACATTGGCAGATAGCAGTCGGACGCTACTCGCTATTAAATAAGTACCATTACTAGTTTTAAATATATTTTGTTTATTATTTGTATTCTAACTTTCATTATTTATTTATAGGCCAAAATGTCTCAGTACGCCCAAACACTCAAGTTTTGCAAGTTCAACAAAGTATTCCTGTTCAGGTTCCTATATCAACTTCAAATGGCCAGACTGTTTATCAGACTGTTCATTTTCCTTTGCAATCATTTACCAGTTTACCAAATATTTTACAAACTACTGTGATACCTCAAATTTCTCAAGTAAGTGTATCTATTATATTTGTATTAGTTTAGTAACACTTTTTTAACTTGTTTATAATATATTGTTTCTTAAACTATGAAATCTAATTTATTGCTATTAGTAATGTTAAGCTTAATTGTTTATTAACGAACTTCTAACTCCTGTTCAAAAAATAGTAGCAACTTATTTTATGATTTATATATTATAAAAATACTAAATACGACAACGTTAAGATTAAGATTAGACTGAAGGTGGGAAATGCTTGTTAATTTTTCTGTGACAAAACTACTTAGCTAGCGCCTCTTATCCTGGAACTTAAAAATTAGAATCTATAAAACCATTATCTTACCTACAGTTCTTTTTGGATGCAAAACTTGGCCGCTTGCATTAAGGGATGAGCAGCGTCTTAAGGTTTTTGAAAATAAAGTATTGCATAGAATATTCGGACCAAAGAAGGATGAGTTTACCGGAGAGTTCAAACGGTTACACAACGCCGAATTGCATGAACTGTATCCGGGTAATATAATTGAGGTAATTTCATGGCAGTGAATCAAATGGGCTTGTAAAATTGTTGGGCTTAGTAACAAGAGAATTCCTAATAGGTTAATATTTGCTGTACCGAATGGTAAACGTCCGAGGGGTAGACCGAAGCGAAGGTGGGAAGATTACATTAAAGCCTATCTGAAGAGACTGGGTTTGGACGGCGAATGGTGGAGGGAGGTGTGTAATAAGCAATTGGTGGTGACAGTTTCGAACCTTCGGGTTCGCTAAGCCTTTTATTATTATTATTATTGTTATATTATAAAAATGGACTATTGAAGAAATTGGAAAATTTATAATAAATTGATACATGATTTTGCAATTTAAAAATAATTAATATTTTCATAAAAGAGTCTCGAATAACATAATAGAGGATTTTATATTGAAGAAATTGAAAAGTTAAAAATCTCTATATATGATTGTGCAATATTGAAGTTGTTGATAGTATTTTTTTAAAAGGGATTCTGTTAACATGATAGTCGACTCTAATAACAAAGAAATATGAAATGTTTAATGAATGTATACATGTTCTAGCCATCTTAAGATCTATTGTATTTTCTATAATTACATATTAATGGACCTGTGCGAATGAATAGATAGAATAGACGGATTTCAATGAATAGAATCAACCAGTGAAATCAGTTGAATATCCAATAACATAATATTGGACCCTTTTATCGATCATACTGAATTCCTTACTAAATACTGAACCGTAGACCATCAATGGGTTGTAGTAATAGATATTTGATGTTTGTTTCGATATCGAGGCTCAAAATATCCAGGTTGTCAGATCCTGATCAACTAAATAACACTACTTTTAAACTATTTAGGTGGTAGGTACAAAAAAACAAAAATAAATAAATAAAAATTAATAACAAAATTAATAATATAAAATAAATAAACTAAATGCACTTAAAGATGATAATAATAAGATAAAATAGATACATAAATAAACTTAAAATAAATAATTGAATTAAAAGTCATAAATAAATGAACTTTAAAATTAAATAATAACTAAAATAAATAAATAAATAAAATTAAAAATCTGCAAAGGATCGTTAGTTATAGACTACCTATTTCAGAAAAGTTTTTATATCTTTATATATGTTCATGAAGAAACAAAAAAGAATTGAACTAAATACATTTTCCTGAAAATTGATCAAACATAAGATTTGAGTACGATTTATTTGATAAACTAAAGCAATGTAAACCGGCTTAAGGTAGATCAGTGTAAAAATTTCAATACTTCCTAATATTGCTGATCAAAATCAGGGATTTAGTCTGTATACGAAAATTGAAAGAACAATGATTAGGACATTATAGGAAAGTTTCATTAAAATCGTTAGAGCCGTTTTTGCGCTACAGTCCATAGAAAAACATGTTTTTCATTTATTGCGCATGGAGCACCGAATTTCTGTCACAGGCATCAGTAGTCAAAACCCTACAATATAAAAAAAGAAGCAAAAAAATCGGTTCAGTAGTTCCTGAGAAAATCTTGGCACAGACAGACAGACCAATGGCTAAAAATGTGTTTTTCGGACTCAGGGAGCTGTGAAACGTATAGATCCGTCGAAAGCCGCATGTCAGAAATTTGACCCGATTGCAATACTTTCCTTACCTAGTATAGGTAGGAAAGTAAAATTAGTAAACAAAATATTTGTGTAAAAAATTCATTAAATAATACCCAATATTGTTATGTAGTATAATGTATAGTTTGTTAAGTTGTTTTTACTATGCATTATATCTGTATTATGAAGCAATATTGTTAAATAGATGGGAACGTCACAGTTAGCTCAAGTCGTAACGCCGTCTGGACAAGTACAACAAGTTCAGGTGGTGACCCCCGTTAGCCAGCAAGGTACGCTTGTCGTTCAACAGCAGCCGCACAACAGCAGTGCCTCCACGACAACGACCACTACTACCGATAGTATTTTAGTTCCTCATCAGCAGTTTCTTTTAGGTATATTGTTTTATTTATTTTATTGTTAAATATTTTATAGATATTGTCTTTCAGGTAGTATTTATTAATAAATAAAATAACTAATTTAATTATTAATAATCAATATGAGAAGGAGTTGATCGGGGGGGTGCGGCCAAATTAATAATAAATTAAACAAGTAGAATTATTTAATTTTTGCTGACGTTTCGACCCACTTTGTAGGTCTTCATCAGGGCTACAAAAGATACAAAACATGGTGAAAATAAAATAAATGAATATAAGTAGATATAAAATTAGAATAAGTTGTCTGATATAGAAATACAAAGATGATATCAGGGATATAGTGGGTGACAATGTATTTAAAATATCAAGTATTATATATATATATATATATATATACAGAAGATACAAACAGAAATAGAAAACAAGTATGAATAAAAATAGTAAATAAAGGAGAATATAGCGTGTAAGTTAAAAGTAAACAGATTGCGATAAAAGTTTACTTTAACTTACACGCTATATTCTCCTTTATTTACTATTTTTATTCATACTTGTTTTCTATTTCTGTTTGTATCTTCTGTATATATATATATATATAATACTTGATATTTTAAATACATTGTCACCCACTATATCCCTGATATCATCTTTGTATTTCTATATCAGGCAACTTATTCTTATTTTATATCTACTTATATTCATTTATTTTATTTTCACCATGTTTTGTATCTTTTGTAGCCCTGATGAAGACCTGTCTTTCATTTCTGGAAGTGACTTAGGTGAAACCCCTATATACCATGACAATTTAATGTCCACCTCATTATTTGCGACATTAATGATGAATATATAACGGAGGACTCATCAAGGACTTGAAAATGGCCCTTAGTATGGTCGAAACGTCGAATTAAATATCGTATCAATAAAATGTTTGGTGATAATTGGCCTAATTTATATAAATATAAAACCTCAAGACACCAAAATTAGGATAAATGAACAGAAGAACTACAAATCTTAATAAAATAAGGTCATAAGTCTGATATATTAGATTTAATTTATGATTATGTTGCATATTATTCACTTAATAATTGTAATTATTTTAATAGGAACTATAAATTTAACTCCTTTAGATATAGTTAAGCAGTACAAATCATTAGTATCCTATACGTATATTTTTAATTCATTGAAACGCAAACTCTTAAATATCTCAATTTAAGATTTTGTGGACTTAAGCTACTTTCATAATAAATGGCTCATATAGATAGATAGATAGAAAAAAAACCTTTATTCTGGGACTAAGTCCCTTCAGAATAACAATAATGTACAAAATAATAGAATATTACTGGCATAAACGTTTGAAACAATAAATAAAATAAAATAAAAAGTAAATAAAACCTTAGGTGCACAAGCTATATACAATACAGATAAGACTGTGTACAGAGCATTTAAAATTATGAACAAAACATTAAAACTATGAACTAATCACTTGAACTATGAACAAAATTATATATAAGGGTTGAACAACATAAACATACTCTTTGAGAAATCAAGAACAAAAAAGAGATACAATGAGTTCATTTCATAAAATAAAAAAACTTTACTAGAATATATATATAAAAATAAACAGTTAATTATAATTGAATAAAAAAAAAATGTATGTATTGAAATTCCTATGTCGATAGTAGGAAATGCATATACAATGCTGAAACTGCCTAAAAAACGTTAAGTAATTTAAATATTACACATTTATATTATAACGACTAACCATTTAACTCTGAAGTATATATTTGTGAGTTCTTATCATATTTTACTACAATGAAAAAACTGATTAGAAGCTAATTAGTACTTAAATGTTTTTAGGTAGCAATCAACAGCAAGTAACTGTGATTCCTGTTTCAAGCCTTGCTAATCTGACCAATGGCATCGCTCTAAGGGATAACAATATTGTTCAGGTTTTATTTCATTATTTTTGTTTAAATTGAACTTTGAGTTATTAATTCAAATTTAATCAATGATATTTCTTTTTTCAGCTTCCCAGTCAAAACACAGTACCTCAGTCAGTTCAGCAACCTCTGATACAGACAATTCCACAAGGAACTATTCAAATAATATGTAAGCTTTTATTTTTTATTAATGTTATATAAACTAAAATTAAGAGCCGTTAGTCGTCTCAGAGTAGCAAGTAAAGATTTTATGAAAATATACTTAAAAGATGCTACTTTGACTATTAAATCCAGTGAGGTATGTGGTGCATGCAACTGCCTTGTAACTGACCCGGTAAACTCATTTTCTGATCCAATGTATCAAGTTCAACGAGCCGAGAAATAGTACTTGAAGGCATTTATCACTGAATCCAGAGAAGATGCTAGTGTGGAGGAGATACTGAAAATAACACTACGAAAAAAATAAACCAACTGTATTATTTCATACAGGGCTGTTCATTGAACTGTTAAGTGGTAAAGTTAATCATATAACATATATTAATGCTTATTTATATTGTCATTTGTCTTATACCTCTGGAATATTTAAAAAAAAAAAAGTATTATTGAAGAAAAAAAAAAAATGTTTTACTAATTGTTATGTATATATTGTTTACTAATCTGTTATTATATTAGGCATACTTAATGCTGTGGACATTGTTAATGTTATATTTGAATGCAGTACTAGACTCAAGATCTAACATTATTAATTATACCATTATATTTATTTGTACAGGAATTTCCTTAGGCAAATAAAATAAACTTCTCTTTGCAGACACTTTTTATTGGCAGACAAATTTATCAACTGCATACATTTTTCAATATTTTGTAGTGTTAAGTAAGGACTTCTACATAACAGATGCTCTCTATAATGTACGCTGACAAGCAGTGTCGGCCTCAGACGTTTAGTATCGCGTAATAAGGTCTCCCTTTTCTTTTCGACAAAATTAATTTTTTAATCTGCTGTATGTTATTATATTCTACTAGCGGACCCGTGCGAATACTTCGCACAAACCCAACATTTGTATCAAATTTCAATACGTAAAGGGCTCAGCATAAGTTCCTTTTAGTTGTTTCTAAGCAAAGCTTTAATACTTCTATTTAGTAAGTTATCAGTTTATAAATACTATGATCTATGTCCATCTATAGTTTAGCTTGCTGGTTTCATTAAATTTATAATTATAATATTTTTATAATTATTATATTTTTCTTAAGTTTACAAAAGCTTCTAAATATTTCCTTTAAATATCTGATGAAGGCTAAATACTTTGGATTTAGTTCTCTGGAAGGAATAGGGTTTGAGCTAGCAGGCTGTATGTACAGAAAAAAAAAAAAAGAAACAGAGAGTTATGTTTTTTTTGTCATTAAAAATAATCAAGTAAATTTTCAAAATGATAAACATCTAATAGCTCATATATATATATAATATCTTATTAGCAATAAAAACAAATTTAATAATTAATTTAACAAAACCAAATGTCAGTACCAAGTAAAAAAATCATGCAGTAACCAAATCAGAAAGCTGAAACTTATTACACAACAGTTTAATATATCTAAATAATTATAAATAAGATATGTGCTACATACCATATTACTTTTCTCACCAGAAAAAGAATAATGCATTATTAAAAGTATTTACCAATATTGATCTACATAGGAATATTTCATATAATTTTCTGTTAAATAAAAAATTCTACTCATAAAATTTATAATATCGAGGAAAAAGCTTTACTTTATCCTTATATATTTATTCCATGCTTTAATTCATTTAAATGGAATATGTATATAAGAGTAAAAAAAAGAAGGGTTTTCTTCGAAATTATAAATTTTATTATTAATATATAACCTTGACAAATTTTAAAGATTCAATGAAAAAATAAAATTTTACTACAATATAGTTGATAAAAAAATTATTACTTAAATAAGTTTAAAGTTTCTGAGTAATTCAAAACTGAAATAAAGCAAAAAATCTTTAAAGTGGATTTAATACTAAATGTTTAGAATGCTATATCTTTGCACCACATAGTCCGATTTCGATGATTTTTTTTACGTTTTTTAGGGAATTTAGTAAGCTTTCAAACACTCATAATGGGTCAAAAATTGGGTCCTTTTCGAGTTATCCCAAATTATGAATTAGTTTGTAACGTCTCGATTCGTTGAGATGGCACCATCATATGGTTTGAAACCTCCCACTTTTACATTCACTTTTATTTAAGTCCAAGTATAAAATTAGGAATAACAATTACGATTCGCGCACTCTATGTGATATTCCCTTTCTATTGATACCTCATTCGTCAAAATCCATCACTCCTCAGAGCCGGAAAAGGGATATATATTTGAGAAATAATATATAAGATATTTGAATTGTATACACACACCCTCTATTTTTTGAGACTTGGTTGTTTTGAATCAGGAAATTTTAAAATGTTTATTTCTGTTGATAACTCTGATCCTAAATATTTCATGATCGCAATACTTTCTCGTTATATTTCATGAAGTAAAAATACTGATCAGTTCTTCGACTGGATCAGGATGAAAGAAATTTTAACATCACTAAGAGATAAAAAAATAAATCCTAAGTCTTTACAAGAAGCAGCGAAATGTGGTGAGGTCAAGTAACCAAACATCAAGAGAATTCAAGACTACTTAAGGTATCAGACAAGTATCCAGCCTTATCCCACTGCTTTTTATCATAACTCGACACGGCCCTGAGCAGAGTTAAGATCCTGCAACATAGGCTACAGAAAACTTAGGCCCACCTTAGTCTTCTTGTCTTCACGAACAACTTAATTATATTCGCAAACAACTGCAGGAACCTCCAATTCAATATAAACATTCTTCAGGAATAATTAGAAACTATCAATATGACTATAAATGCAGCAAAAATAAAAATCATGAAAATAGGAAGAAAAACAAAAATGGGGATCGAGTGATTAGATTGAACCATACAAGGTTAGAGAAATAAATAAATTTTAAATACCTTGATGCTCACTGGAACGAATAAGGATGCTTAGATGGTGATGAGGACATATTGGCGAAAGTCCTATTTGAATCAAAGGTGGAAGAGCAAAGACCAAGGAAGACATGTGCAGGCGCAATCCAGGAGGCCTTTGACAGAGATTCCTGGAACAAACTCTACCAAAGGGATACTCGCACTGCTGTGCGGTGGAGATTAAATTAAATAAAAATACCTGTCTACTCAAAGTAGGGTGGTATGTAAAAGTTATTTGATCTGCGTACCGCACCAGATTATTCTTTTCTTTTTATTATAATGATCATTATTTTATAGCGGACAGAATTTGATTCTCCATAGGTGTCAACGTTGGAGAATTTTTTTACCATATTACTATATTTTACTTCAATCAAATTCTCCTTCTTAAACTTTTATATAATAAGCAATACTATAAATTGAAATTCTATCTTAACACTAATCATTACATTATATTTTTGTTTAATTATTTACTTCCATCTTTTTTCCTTCCATCTTTACTTCCATCGTCATCACAGATTTCTGGTAAGGCTAGCGCAATACTTTACTACTTTTTCTCTGATTCTTCGCTTTTCTTCATTAGAAGGGGTTTGTAAATAACCTACTGAAAGTTAATTTTAAATAATTTGTTTTTCGGCGGGAATAGGCGAATAGCCTTCCGTTTATATATCGGGGAACTTAGGTTATTTACACTCCTGAATATTAAAACAAATCCCTGGCACTGGATATAGACTTTTGAGGGTATTTAACTGGATGTTGTTGGAAATTCGGGAATCTAATACCTTTTCTGACACTGAGTGAGAGGAAACAATAAGAATATATATTTGAAATGTGGGACTTAGTAAATACACTTTGAATGAATTGACTCACGTGGTTTGTTATTCTTCAATTGTGAGGAATATAGGACAACTAAATAAAATGAATTTTCACTCCTGTATAATAAAACAATTTATTTTATAACTGTAATAAATTAATGTATAAAAGTCTTATAACTGTAGCCTTGATATTCTTGGTCTTCAATGTAGTATCTCTCTCTTCCCAGATGACTTCCTCTCGCCTCCGTCCTTTTGCCTCAAGTGGCTGACGTCCCCTTCCAGCTGCTGGTACCTAACCGCACTTTATTTATCGATATGAGACTTTTCAATGAATAATTCGTCCACTGAACAATTGAGTACAATTCACAGTGCAACCCCACATTCCTATATATTCCTTCTCATTCCCTCACACAATGTCACACAACGAAGTAAATACAGCTATCTACTACAGGTTGAAATGATCGATCACCACTTATTCCTTTCACGAAAGCTTTATAGTACAGCTAGTTATCATTGCTTACTAGCTGAGGGAAATCGCCCCCTGTGATGATGTAGACTCTGTTTCGATCAATAGTTTTGCTCTTATTTTCTCTAAAGTGATGCAGGTTATTACAATTTGTTAATCACACATATTAATTTTTGTTCTTAGCAAGTGGCAGCCCTGGTGGACAGGATAGCAGTAGTGGAGAGAGGTGGCAAGTCGTAGGTGTCGCACAACCCTCTTCATCACCCCCTTTAGAAGACGAGTCTCAATTAGCCGATGAGAAGCCTCGAATGAGAAGAGTTGCTTGTTCATGCCCGAATTGCATCGAAGGTTTGCAGGCGGGGTGAGTGTTATCTTATCACATCATATTTCTTGTTTCAATTGAAAACTATATATATATTTTTTTTGTGTGTGTTTTTGTTTCTTAAAAATTACACCTGGATGATAAAGTAAAATTTAATGAAGAGAAGAATAGTTGGGGTGCTCAGTCAAAAAGGAAGGCAAAAAATAAATTATAATATTTATTTCTTACATATGCCGACGTTTCGACCTGATGTTCAGGCCTTCATCAGGGCTAAGAAAATAACCAGATAACAAGGTATGAGAAAAAAAGCAATGATGGTAAAAAAGATAATAAAAAATGAGAAAATAAAATAAAATAAAAAAAAATTATTAGAAAAATAAAATAGATAGATATAAAGTAAAATGAAATTGTTAGAATAATGACTAAGAACTAAGAGATAAATAGTAAAAACTGTTACATAGTGTGGAATGATGAAGTAGGCATAATCAAAAAGGGGTGACAAAAGTGTTACATTGGGAATCTTAGAATAAAATGTAAAAACATAAAAAAGAAATATAAAGTTATATAAGAAATGAAAAGAAAATAAATAGTAAAATTAAAACATTGAGAATTATATCTAACTACTCCATTCTCAATGTTTTAATTTTACTATTTATTTTATTTTCATTTCTTATATAACTTTATATTTCTTTTTTATGTTTTTACATTTTATTCTAAGATTCCCAATGTAACACTTTTGTCACCCCTTTTTGATTATGCCTACTTCATCATTCCACACTATGTAACAGTTTTTATTATTTATCTCTTAGTTCTTAGTCATTATTCTAACAATTTCATTTTACTTTATATCTATCTATTTTATTTTTCTAATAATTTTTTATTTTATTTTCTCATTTTTTATTATCTTTTTTACCATCATTACTTATGTTTCTCATACCTTGTTATCTGGTTATTTTCTTAGCCCTGATGAAGGCCTGAACATCAGGTCAAAACATCGGCATATGTAAGAAATAAATATTATAATTTATTTTTTGCCTTCCTTTTTGACTGAGCACCCCAACTATTCTTCTCTTCATTATCCACGACAGTCAACCAATTAACAATTATGTAAAATTTAATGTATGAAAACATTTTGTGAGTATGATGTTTGGACTATTTTTTAGGTTTGGAAAGTACTGTAATCAGGTCAAATTTTGGTACTAGTTCTGTTCCGCTACTCCATGATGAGGACCAGTTTCAAGATCACACAGAGCACACTTCTCAGATTCCCAAAGAACACTGAAAGTAGACTAAGTATTGACAATCCTGTTTACATTCAGTAACAGGTTGCCGAGACTTTAGACATTGATTAGTTAGCTCCGTCTACCCCCAGTATTTCCGAAAATAGTAGCATTGCTTCGGTTATCTTGAAACCAGCCACTATCTTGGAGTAATAAAATGGAACTGGTACTCCACTTTTCGATGTGCAGTTTTCAAGAGATCTGTACGTTTCTTAACCTCCTCGAGCCAAAAAAACGTATTTTCACAATTATCTCTTAAATTAATCCATTTTGTTTTTGTTTTGCTACGTTTCTTCCCAATGTCTGATTAACAAATCTTGTATCTTGTGCATAATAGCATCCATAATGTAAAAGCTGGGAGCGGGGTAGCTCAGTGGGTGAGCACTGACTTCCAGAGCTCAAGGTCCTGGGTTCGAATCTGGCTGATGACTAGTAATTTTTCATTAGCCGTGGATCGACCCTAGGATCGGGAGACCCTCCTGGGGCAAACCCAGCCTCTATGAACTGGGTACTCTTAATTATAAAAAATAATTAAGAGGGAAAACCTGGCGGTTGAGAGTGATATCGGCCCCATCACCTCCCTGTACAACCGTTGGCCTTGAAACAGTACTTCCTCACATTAGTACTGCACCCAAGACCCTTAATGGGTTGTAGTGGTACAGGAAAAAGAAAAAAAAAAGTGAAACAATCCTCAAATCTTCTGAAAACCAATTAATTATTCATATGTAGTATTTTTCTGAGAAAGTTGAGGAAGAAAAGAAAAATCTTATTTGATGATAGCTTGAAAATATTTTTTTTGCAGATTTTCCGCCTTTTAGGGGTGGTGAATTTTGACTAACAAGCTGTCAAGTGAAAGATAATTTCATAGATAATTGATAAATCACAATTTTGGTCCTTAAATTCGTATCATAACTTTAATAAAAGTCATTGAAGACATTTTTTTTTTGTTATGCCAAAGTCATTGGTCTTGCGATCATCTGCCCAGTATAAATCTGGTGACTATGTGATCGTTTGGTTGGTTATCCAGGGCCATGTCGAGATTACTATAACCCCTGTTGAAGATAGTAGTTGGTATCAAAACTCCGACACAGATAATTTTATAACTTGAGATGCTGTAAATTGTGGTTTAAGGATTTCGAAGTTGACATCAAGACCCGATAAAGCTTCTTCATTGTTTGAAAATTGGCTCATGAGCGGAGGACTTATATCATATAAGAAGCATGGTTCATGTAAGACTTTCAGATCAAGTCTTTGAGTGCAGGACCTAGTTGTTTTTTAATGTATACTCACTAGTCAAATTATCTATAAAAATGTTAAACAATATATAACATCGATACTAATAGAAGAGAACCTTCACAAATTGTACATTAAAACCTTAATCAAGATAAACGTAAACATAAAACTGTTAATTTATCTTTGCTTTTTGATCTGTGATGTGATGATGTAATATCCTTAAAAATGAAAGAAAAAATCTCTTACTAACTTATTATTTGTATAATAATCCTAAATACACTGAGAGGCAAAAAATTCCACCCACTTGATTTTTTCATGTTTTCATCTAAAAATATTTCTGCTTTGGATTGGTCTATTGTTTTTAATGAATAAATAGGTAATCTTTTTGTTTGCTTTCAATTAGGAACGTTAATATAGAGGACAATAACCCTTAATCCTTAATTCAATGAAATGATTCTAGATTCCAATGTTTACTTTCTATGGAATCAAAATGTTTATTCAGTATCATTAGTTCAGTGCCGTTTCTTGCAGCACATAGATATGCAGCTAATGCCATCGGAGTTCCATATGAAACTTTACGAGACACCGTAAGGTGTTTTCGGGAAACTGGTTCTTACAATAGAAGGCCCGGTTCTGGACGGCCTAGGGTAACAGAACCACGGGATGACCGGTTTTTGACTTTGAGAAATTTACGAAACTGGCACCTTACCGTTGTTCAAGCAAAGAAGTTCGAGGTGTGCGAATTTCTGAACGTACCACTCGGAGAAGATTAAATGAGTATGGATTAATGGATTTTCGTCGAGTAAGAGGACCAGAGTTGACCAGAACTCACAGAGTAACATGGCTGGCTTTTGCTCGAGAACACAGCCATTGGACTATGGACGAATGGAGTGCTGTACTTTTTACAGATGTGTCAAGATTCGCTCTTCGATCTCCAGACGGGTGTGAAAGGGTGTGGAGAAGAAGAAACGAAAGATATGCAGCCTGTAATTTTTCCCAGAGCCAACCTTTCCATGTGGTTCATTAATGGGTAACAAGTGGGTGGAATTTTTTGCCTGTCAGTGTAGTATTCCTAACGTAAGTTGTTTCTACTTGTTCCATTCTCATTCTCAACAGTTTGGATTCTCTCTTGTTTCAAGAGAATAACACCTGGTTGGAGATTCAAATATTAAAGTTCTTCTAGAGCAGAAGTTCTCATGGTTGAACATTGTATGTAAAAGCTAGGCCTCTCGCGGGTTTCTTCCTTTCTCACTCTGTCAAAAGCCTTTGCGAATGTACACACGAAGCACTTGTTTACCTCTCACGACAATCTTCTCTAATATTTGATCTGTTGTGGTGATGAGGTTTTAATGTACGTTCTTCAGAAGATGGAGGAATACCTCCTAGCCTTTGTTACTTGTCCATAATACTCGATCATTTCAACAATGATTTCGTCAATCACTGCTGTATTGTCTAGTTTGAACTTGTCATTCTTGAATACTACCATTTTTGTTATTTTGTGTAACTTTATGGAAATAACCAACTTAATATACACATATGTAATTAAATATTGTCATATTGCACTTATAAACAATTTATATTATATATTTGTGGATAATCGCTTGTTTATTTATGCATGCTTGTTATTAATATTATATACTACCATTAGATCTGTTTTTAAAATGTTAATTTGATTTTAAAAGTAGTATTTTTTTTTTGTATTATTAAGAAAGTTTTAAAATATTAATAATAATGAATTGATTGAAAAGACATTATACTTCATCCTCGTATCCCGTGTCCTCACAGTTGCTCCCGATCACGTGCTGAAGATCCAGTTACTAGTCTTGAGCAGTCGAGGTCTCTTGGAAAAACTTGGTATTTAAATTTTTTTTTTTAATTTTTTTCCTGTAGACATTCAGATTTATAGTTAATGTATAGACCATTGTTGTTTGATGCATTTCCTTTTCTTTTCTATCTTTATTAATTAATATTTTATTTAAATGTAATTTCTTCTGATGATAGTATAAGTAATTAGAATCCCAAGTTAGTTATTTATGTCTTTATATTTTATTTATATACTATTATGATTTAAAAAATATATATATAAATAAAAAAATTATATTGAATTTAATTAAATAATTGGTACTTTTTGTCTAGCGGGCCGGCACTGACTGCTATCTGTGAATGTTTACAACCTGAACACTGATAATTCCGATAACACATTGATAAGCCTTCTCCTAATTCATATCTTCGTATTATTGTATTAAATTTGTATTATTGAAAGTATAAACAGATACAAAAACAAATGTAATAACAAAAAAAATACTTTTATTTTACGACACATATATTAATGAAATAATAAAAAAACACTTTAAGAAGATATGTACATATAAAACATCAAAATGAAATAATAAAAAAACACTTGAAGAACATTTGTAGATATAAAAGATGAAAATGAAATAGTAAAAAAACATTTAAAGAACATATTTACATAGAAAAGAAAAAATATCAAAACTATAAACAACATATGTACAATTTATTTTCACTTTGTCTTATTTATTTTGGAAGGCAAAATTGTTTTATGCTATTTAAAATAGCCCCTTCTCTGTGAACCCGCTGCCACAAAAATTCACACAATTTCACGTCTGCAAGTATCCCAACATGTTGAAAATATTGAATTGCCTGTTCTTCTGAAGACGGCAAATCCCTTATTCTAAGAAGATCCATAATATGACGAAAATAAATGGAAAAAAAATTAAAAATAAACACAAAGGGGCTACAAACTAAAAAAAAAAGTAAAATAAACACAAACGGGCCAAAAGTAAAGAATTTAATAAGTGAATGTAATAAGGGAATAACTGAAAACTAAACAATACAATAACTCAAAAGTTTGGAAGGATAAGAAGGTGGAGGTTATGTGACGTGACGTTAGATAAGATAGATAAGAAGTGAGGTTTCAGGACGGCCCGGCCCGCTAGACAAAAAGTACCAAAAATTATATTGAATTTAATTAAATAATTATTTGGGCTAAGGGCTTACTGGTTCAGTTTCTATGATTAATCTGTGCTCCAATAAATGACTTAATAATATATATATATATACATAATTACATGATTAGATTTTATAAAGAGTTAATAATTGTTCAAAAATAATTAAATACTCTTATGAAATGAGTTCTTGACAAAAGTCTTTAAAGTACAACTCTGGTGGAAAGCCGGTTGAAGAATAAATGACTTTTACTACTGAAGAGAGATTATTCTGTTTGACAGCCGGGAACCGCCTGACAAATGACTTTGTCCTGAACGTGAAAGCTTGGGTCACTACTCTAACATATCATTACTAGCAGAAAATTCAAATTCTTTAGAAAACCCTACAATATGTTCTTAAAAACAATAATAGGTCATATTATTCTATGCTACTTATGAAATCAATCATTACTTAAATTCAATTTGCACTTGAAGCTTATAGCGCTCTGCTGTACTGTAATTTTATTTTCATAAATGATAATTCTTTCAAATGTTAAAGATATATCACTCGCTCATTAAGTACTGTCATTCCTCAACATACACAAGTTTTAATAATGTGCGAATACAAAAATGTGGAAGAATATCGCATTCGCGAATTATTTTTCATAATCACAACATAATTAATTCTAATCGTTGACTGACAACGATTGTTCATCCTAAAGGTGCCTTTGAGGTGACTTCTATAATACCCCTCGGGGTATGTATCATGATAATCTAAGACCAAAGACTATATGATATTTTGGAAAAATATCATATAGTCTTGATGCTACCTAATTGACTATTTGAAAAAAATGTTGATACAACTTTCTTGAATCAATAAGGGCTACTTGTGAATAGTCTGGTCTCTGTGGACTGCTATCTGCCAATGTTTATAACCTGAACACTGATAATTGTGATAAGGCCCAGATAACCCCTATCTTCATATGAAATTCAAAAACAAATGTTTTACAAACATACAACACCTTTTGTTTTACTACATACATACATACATACATTAACTTATAAAAAGAAAAATACCGGGATCAAAACGTCAATAAACATTGAGGAAATGAACATATATATATATATATATATATATATATATATATATACATATATGTACTACATATATGTATATATATATATATTTATGCTAGTGGACGGTGCTGAGACTGTCGGTGTGTCCCTGGCCTAATCGAAGCTCTATTCAAATAATTTAAAATTTTGAAATAATTGTTATAAAAAACATATGGAAGCATAATTGTTTACCGATTGATCTATTTGTTGTTCTAGCTTTGAAGAGGATCCCATCATTAACTTATAAAAAGAAAAATACCGGGATCAAAACGTCAATAAACATTGAGGAAATGAACATTCAGTAGTTTATTAAATAATTAATAAGTGACCTTATTCCCAACTAATGATTATGTTTAATTTAATACTCAAAGGTGGATTAAAGAAAAGTTGTAAATATATATTATATATATATTTACAACTTTTCTATTTTAATAAGAAATATAAATATAAATAATAATACTTTGATTTGATTTATTTTGGAAGACTATATAGCTTAATGCTATTTAAAATATTTTTAATACATTGTAATAAAGTTCTTACCTTTCTGTCCTTTATTTTTACGATGAAACACTCGTTCGTTTCTCGACTCAACTCCGCCAAATATCCATTGCTCAGGGAGAACTCTCACTACATGATTTTTTCTTTTAGAAAAAAGACTTTCGTCTACTTCAACGACTTTCCCAGGCCCTCCAAGTTGACCTGTATAATATATTATGGGCACAAACCTCTCTTAAAAATTTGTTCCACATTATGATACCTCTGTTCGATAATATCAGCTGCTCTTTGCCCCACTGTATTGTTGTCAAATTATGAGACCACCCATAAATTAATTTTAAAGCGATTGAAAAGGTAATCTTCGACCTCTCTAACCTCCCTTTCCTTATAGATACGTTTTTCTTACATGTGTTACAAAAGCATCTCCATTTCGTCTTTCCATCAAACTTCATTTCATGACCTTTATCACAATATTTCACCTTTGCAATTATAATATTTTATAGCCTTTTCTTCTGAAGACAGCAATTCCCAAAATGAAATAACATCTATTTCAATAACGCACATGCAACAGCTTACACTAGATATAGAAGGCAGGTTATGTGACGTAACATAAGATGAGAAAGTGACGTAAGATAAGAAGGGAGGTTTATCAGAGACCAGACCAGAGCGTTCACAAGTAGCCAATAAGGAACAGATTAAAATGTTTTACATTAAAAGCCCTTTGGCACTATGCACTATTATTACAGTCAATTCCTCGATTAATTTTATAAGTTAATATGAGCATGTTTGTGATCACTAAACTCTAGTATATGTATAATATAGTTGCTTCCCATTCAAAATTTATTTTGCATGCATGTAGTATAGTGTTAATCTTAGAATTTCAATGCCTAATAATGAATATTTCATATACTTATCTGAATATCCCTTTGTTAAATTGTGGGAGTATTTTATTATATTGGAGATTCCCACTTATTTTTTAAATCAAATTATTTCTGATTTCTTGATTGTCTAAATTAGAAATAATTCTGGAATTAATTTACATTTTTTTTTTTAATTTACTTTAAGAATGTTGAAGAAATAATTGACTATAGAATATATGATTAGAAAGTTAGTCAGCGGCTGCAGTCAGTGAGAAACAATTAAAAAATGTATTTACTGCCAACGGTCTGACCTAAGATTCAACCCAGACGCTGAACCAAGCTAGAAAATATTGTCTTGCAAGTTTTAAATACTGATGATCTTACAACTTCCTCAGCTGGTAAATTGAAAATGAGGCAGGCAACTTCATTCATACCCTCGGCCTAATTCCACTGCTGGTGCCAAAAGATTCCGATGTCTGTTTTAACATGTATTGCGTACTTGCGATTCTCCATTTTCATCTTGATGAGACTTATTAATTTCCTTGCAATATATAAATCTTCCATGACTTTAAATAATTTTCATAATGATGTCGAGATGGTTGACCGTTGATATAATATGAGAAGGAGTTAATTGGGGGGTGCGGTCAAATAAATACTAAATTAAAATATAGTAACTATTTTTTTTGCTGACGTTTCGACCCACTTTGTAGGTCTTCTTCAGGGCTACAAAAGATAAAAAACATGTTGAAAATAAAAAAATATATAAATAGATATGAAATAAGAAGAAGTTGTCAGATACAGAAATAAAAAGATGATATCAGAGATATAGTGGGTGACAATGTAGTTAAAATATCAAGTATTATATATGTAGAAGATACAAACAAATTGAAAATAAGTATGAATAAAAATAACAATGTTAATGAATAAATAGATTGAAAATTGAATAAGTATTGTAGTAGTAAATCTTACTCTTATTATTATTTTATTTTATTGTTATTTTAACTTTACTACTACAATACTTATTCAATTTTCAATCTATTTATTCGTTAACATTCATTTTCTTTATCTGTTAACCCACAGTTATCTAATGTAATCTCTATTAGTTTGTTATACACTTATTCCTGATCTTTTATCGCAATTTGTTTACTTTTAACTTACATGCTATATTCTCCTTTATTTTTATTTTTATTCATGCTTATTTTCAATTTGTTTGTATCTTCTAAATATATAATACTTAATATTTTAACTACATTGTCACCCACTATATCTCTGATATCATCTTTTTATTTCTGTATCTGACAACTTCTTATTTTATACCTATTTATATTTATTTTTTATTTTCAACATGTTTTGTATCTTTTGTAGCCCTGAAGACGACCTACAAAGCGGGTCGAAACGTCGGCAAAATTTAAATAGTTACTATATTTTAATTTAGTATTTATTTGACCACACCCCCAATTAACTCCTTCTCATTAAATAATTTTCCCTTATCCGTAATATCATATGCCATCTTAAAGTCATCTTCACCTTCGAACCTTTCAACTTTCCCCTTTCGTAACAAATTCTTCATCAAAAGTACCTTTAGTTGTGTTTATTTAAAAAATTAACATTCTTACATTATCAGTAGTAATAAAAACAGGATTTTATATGAAATATGAATGAAACTGTTAAGTCTTTAAGAGGACCCTACACGGTCAATCGGAATTGCACTAATGAAGTTCCGCATTGTCGTGTAAGGTAGTGAATGAAGTACTGATGGTGGTGCGCTGCGGATTTCCGAACATCCGGAAATCAAAGGTTCATTCATGAGAAGTGGAGGGGGGACTAAGGTAAAAGTAGTGGGGTGACTAACCATACTGCTGGATAGGTTAGGTTACCTAGACCTCACAACCATTATAAATTTCTGATTTTCATTATATGTAAATAGTTAAATAATTTTTCATATCCCTTGTTTATAATTTTAAACTATCTTCAACTATTTCTTTTAAATAGTCAAGTGGGCAACAAATTAAAAAAAAAAAATGAGGAAACTTCACAATTTACTTTAGGAAAAAAAAACTTTAACGTTGTGTATATTTATCAGTTCTTTTCCCATTTTCCTCAACAAATTTATTATTTTCGCAATACCTTTCCTTAATTTTTGTAAGTAGTAGACTTATATTTTACTAACTTTTGTCAAAACAATTTTCTATGAGACTAACCTTACTACTAGATAGGTTAGTTTACCTAGGTCTCGTTATTAAGTAAATAATTTCTTAAAAGTAAATAGTTGTTTATATCCCTAGTCTATATTATTATTAACCATTTTCAACTATTTTTTCTTTAAATAGTCAAGTAGGCAATAAATTGGAGAGAAAAAAAAGTGGAAACTTCACATAAGTAATGATCAGTAATGATTGAACATGTAAGGGTCTTCATGATCAAAGCGATAGCGGGCAATCTTGGCACTTCTTGTGACGTTCATTCATGAATTACCATGTAGGGTCTGCTTTAAACCATGGACTATCAAAGTTTGGCATGACCAATTTTTTTTCTATCACACCTGGATATTTGAATATTACACATTTCATCTAAATTATAAACCTTATAGACATTACTCTCAAAAAATATTTAATTAATGCTTAAAATACACAATACATTGAATTCAAAATAAATTATGTGGATAGGTATTTAGCCAAGGAAATAAGATATTAGTCATTAAAAAGTGACTGTTAAAAGTCATCGGCAGAAAAAGTATTTAAGTTATCTCCATAATCATAGGCAAGTTATTGAAATGCTGAATTTTTATGTTTAATATTGTTTCTAGTATAATTATAAACTAAAAAAAAAAAAGAAGTTTTGTGAATAACTATTGGAGAAAAAAGGAGAAATATTTTGCCATCTTGAAAACAAATTTCATGAAATAAAGATAATATTATAGATGTATAATATACTGCTGGAAAGCTAAAGATTAAAAAATATCTTAAATAAATATTGGTGAAATGTACTGGAGTATCTATCTAGAATCTAACTTTTGAACCGTTGAAGATAAACTAGTAAAATAATATGGGTGATAAATATTCAGGGCGCAGTCTTTTTTAAAATTTTTATTTTTGCCAACATTTCTACCCAAACATGTGAGTCATCTTCAGCGCGTGGTTTGAGCACTGAGGTTGTTCATGGAGTACATGAACAACCTCAGTGCTCAAACCACGCCCTGAAGATGACCCACATTTTTGGATTGAAACGTTGGCAAAAATAAAAATTTTAAAAAAGACTGCGTCCTGAATATTTATCACCCATGATATGTAGAACAGTTGACTAACTTCCTTCTAGTAAAATAATAATTCTTGAAGAAAATTCAACTATTAAAAGCTTTCTTCCTCATGACTTAATCATAAAATGAAGCAATAAAGAGTTAGCTAGTTCAATACAGTAAAAAACATGAGGTAAAAAAAATTTTTTTCCCACATGAGCTATTGCTGAGGATGGATATCTCGGAAACTAAGCGAAAAAAGGTATATAATCAATCATATTGCAAATTTTATTAGCTTTTATTTTGTATAGAACAACTTTGTCGATGCGATGCATAGTTTTCCTGATACAAGTGAAAAATCGAAAAACAGCAATAAAGTTTTTTTTTTTCAAAATTAGTTAGGACATATCTCGGAAACTAAGCGAGATAGCAATAAAAGGTATATAATCAGTCATATTGCAAATTACAAGCGAAAACCCGAAAAATGTAACCTTGGTGCCCCCCCTCCCACATCTGCTTCATCACCAGCTAGGAATGGGGGCTTTTGGTATGTTTACCTCCTTACTAGTCCAAACAATGTCCCAAAGTCAAAAATTGTATCCCCGCCATTTCCTTCTATACCCCCTTCTCGAGCGTTCATTGACTGGACTTTTTATAATCATGCTCATATCTTTATATCATGCGCCTGTATTTTTTATTTATTATATGCTTTAATTTTTCTTATTTTATTCATCTGTAGGTCAGGTATGAGAAAGAAACAGCATGTATGCCACGTTCCCGGTTGTAACAAAGTCTACGGAAAGACATCGCATCTCAGAGCACACTTGAGGTGGCATACTGGAGAAAGGCCCTTTATATGTTCGTGGGAATACTGTGGAAAATGTTTTACAAGATCTGATGAACTACAGGTATGAATTAAAAAGATTTAGTTGAGATTGTTGCCCTTATAACTGGCTGAAGGGTTATTTTTGTAACACACAATTTGAAAAGATAATGTATTTATCTACTTCTTATCTATTTCATAAATAGTGGAACTATCAGGTCGTTTCATTATATGAAATGCCAGTTTTCACAGCAAAGATTATTTAGTAAAACAACTTTATGAAATCAAAATATTTACCCTCATTTTCTATACATTTTCCCTAACGTGTTATCAACTTTTTAATCCCAAAACTGAAAAATTCAGGTTTTTATGAAGAAATGAACATGTGTGTTTGACCTAGTATCATTTTGCGATTAATTATATATGGTTTTGTTAGACAAATATATTGTTTTAAATAAAATTATATCTTAGCGAAATTCATGCGTATTTATTTTTGTAATGAATAAATGGTGAAAAAACTTTTTTTTTATTTAATGAAATTTACAACTGTATTACATGAAAAATACAATAAGTAAATATGAAATTGGTAACATGACATATACAACATGAAGAGAAACTACCCATTGGTAGAACTCAAATTAAAGTTATATATTAGAAGGTCCCGAGGCCATCTTCTTTTCAGACGTCTCGGAGGGTTATCAGGGATCGAGGAGGAAGTAAGGTTTGAAACGAGAGGGTTCGATGGTTCTGCAATTTGTTATGGAAGGATAGGTATCTAGATTGGGCCAAATCGGAAACATATGGAACATTTAGGTCATTATGGATTATTTTATTTGTTACAAAGAAGCCTTGAGGATTTTATGAAGGATTTCGTATTGTAAAGATTGGATAGGAGAGGAATTCGACGGTTTAGTGGAGCCACAGAGCTCTACTCCCTTGTTAGAGTCCAAATAGGTCTTATTATGGCCATGTATATAAATGTTTTGTAATTAATTGAAAGGTTAGAGAGCGTTTGTCTAGTAAGTGCTAAAGTAGTCGGAAAAGTCGGACGGTTTCTTGTTGTTTCAGTCTGGTATGAGGGTTGCCAGTGAGTCTTTTGCCCAGGTGGAGTCCTAGGTATCGGATTTGTTTGACAGGGATAAGAGGGCTATTGTTGAAGGATACTGTAGGACAGGAAGTCATAGGTTTACGACGAAGAGTGAAGGTAATTTGATGGGATTTATTGGAATTTATTTTAATCCTTAAGACGTGTGATGTGTGATGCAATAGATGGATTGTTATTAACTGATAGGATACACGTGTCATCAGCATAGGTGGTGATGACAGAGTTGGATTGGGTTGGGATGTCATCTGTATAAACTGTGTAAAGGATAGGACCTAGGAACATCTTGAGGAACAACGGCAAACTGAGTAAAAAGAGATGAATAAGCATTGTTATGATTGACTTTGAAGTATCTGTCAGTAAGGTAGGAATGGATAATGAGGAAGTATGTAGGTGGTAGGAATTTACGGAGTTTGTACATCAGTCCCGGATGCCAGACTCTATCAAACGCCTAGAAAGACTCCCGTGCTGTACATTCCACGCTCGAATGCAGAGGAGACTACATCTACCACACGATGGCTGGTGAAAAAGCTAAACTGATTTACTTGGCAGACCTTTTTTTTTTTTCAATGCTATTATCATATTTTGTTGACAGTTTTACCCAAAACTTTTTTTTTAATTATTACATTTCATCTTCATAGAAAATTAAACAATTTATATAATATTATTTCAGAGGCATCGCAGAACACATACTGGAGAAAAAAGGTTCATGTGCTCGCAATGCCACAAAAAGTTCATGAGGAGCGACCATCTCTCTAAGCACATCAAGACCCACCAGAAAACGCGAACAGTTAGTATTTTATCTTACTTTTATTATTATTTGTTTTTTTTATTGAGTATTACAACAATCTGTCTCTTGGACATTGGTTATAGTGAGGTAGGATAACATTCACACTATATGTACAAAAAATATAAAATAAATAGAAGCAAAATAATCAAAATTATATACAATAAATAATAAAATAAAATAACCTAAAAATAAGAAAATTAAAACTAAGCAAAAAAACACATGCATACCTATATACAATCAGGCAAGGGAACTCTAGGAGAACCCTGCGCTACTCTCTCCACCGCATCACTGGTACTAAAGCCAGCGGAGATTGATCGAGAGCACTTTAGCCACATACACTCATGTCTTGAGTGGAGAATCTGGCCATTGCCAGAACTCCAATTTATACAATCTACAAAAGGTAGCGAGGCCACTGCCATTTCAACCTTCTTGAAGGATTTAGGGATGGGTGGTGCTTGATAGGGATTGTGCAAGAGGATTTGGATGGTACGAAAGGTTTTTCTGGAATAAGGTCTAGGACAAACGGGATGTTGAGGTCATGATGTAGGGTTTTGTTGGTTACATAGAAAGGAGCATCGACTATTGTTCGAAGGACTTTTGACTGGAAGGATTGGATGCGCTTGATGTTAGAAAATTTTGCTGTTCCCCACATTTCCAGTCCGTTGGTCCAAATAGGTTTCAGTATTGTCTTGTAGATTAGTAGTTTGTTTTCAATGGAAAGTTTAGATTTTCTGCTTAGTAGTCTGTATAGTTGGCCGTATCGTCGGTTTAGTTCCTGTCTCTAAGTCTAGTATGAGGATTCCTGGTTAGTCGTCGGTCTAAGAGAAAGCCAAGGTACCGGACTGTATCTGAGAAAGGAAGCTGGATGGTGTTAAAATAAACCGGTGGACAAGCTTTACGACAAAGGGTGAAGGTTATGTGTTTACATTTGGATTTGTTTATTTGAATGCTCCATTTCTTCCTTTTATTATTAAATATTTATATCTTCATGAAGATTATTGTGAAATTTTCAAAAATCTATGTTTATCTTATCCAGCCTTATAAGTTTTGAAGTATTCAGCTTTTAATCATATCCTCGTAGTTTATTAGTTTTTCATATTTTTCTGTATATTATGTGGTTCAGATGATAATAAAACAGAAAAATTCAGCAAGAATATCTGACAGATATCGCCAAATAACTTCTACTTTTCTCGGGCTATTGCTTTCCAGTTATCTGCATACAGCTCTATTGCATCTCTGTTGATTCTATCTATCCATTTGGTTTTTGTTCTTACACGTAGTCTTTTGCCTACTATTGAGGCATTCATTGCTGTGTAGAGACTTCCAGATAGATCATTTCGAGCTATATGGGCAAGTGTCCATCTTAACCTCCTTGTCTTCATATCATGTGATATTGATTGACCAGTTTCTGTCTGCTGCAAGACCTGGACCCTAACCAGCTCTCTAGAAAGAATTATTGAAAGATTTTAGAGATAAATCCTCCTCACGATAGCCGGAGTGGTCTGGAATCGTCAAATAACATATAGTTATTAATTAAAGAAATTCAAAATGTTAAAATTTCTGATTGGATTATTTTGTAAATTAAAGCTGAGTGACTTATTGATGGGACATAAATTATTTACCATTATCATGATGGTTTTTTGACTCTATATTTCTTTGCAAATCATCAATAAAAAACTAAAATAATAATTTTAAAATTAATACTTTTTTCCTTGAATATGTTTAAGAAGCTTTGATTTGCCTTTAAACCTTTTGTCGATCATGAATGGTAAAATAAATAAATCAATTTGAAAGAATGTTCATTATTTGATGTGCTTTGTTATAGGAGGTTACTACATCTACGCAAGGTGATGAAGAAACATCTGGCGAGGATGACAAAATGCTAATAACACTTCAAGCTGAGTCAGAACCTCCGGAATTGTCTATCGTTGATACTATCGACTCCATGTAATCGTAATCTTAGTAAGTATTTAAAATAACACTTTTGACAATCGCAGTCTTGGCTACATTTATATTTGTAGATTTAAAAATAATTGGTTTCTTTTGGCTTAGTACCTGGTTTGATACAAAGGCAAATGTTTGTTAGGAAACATGCATAAAGACTTTCTAGAGACATTCGTAATGGCTTCTGGAGCAGTAATTTTTTTTATGTCGGGCTAAAAAAATTTTGCAGCACCCTTACTGAACTAAAATATGTTAGCCTTGGGTTATTTTCAATGGCCTACTTGAGTATCATACTCAATTCAATTGCATCTTACTTCCTTATATTTTAATTTTGTTTCTTAAAATAAGCTACAATTTTCAAATTATATGTATTTTTGAAGAGAAGTTGGCGGGGTTGTTCAGTCAAAAATAAAAATAAATAAATGATTTTGGAAGAAGTTAGTCGGGGATGCAGTTAATTATAAAATACTATATTATATAATAGTATATTTATTGCATTATCTGAAGTTTAGATCTAAATTGTAGGTCTTCTCCAGAACTAAAAAACGCTGCAAATTATTTCACAATGGTTTATTATCTCCAAACAATTATACATCTATAAAGTAACATTACCTTCCGAGTTACAAAGAAAATAAAACAGAAGGTGATTCCAATTATTGGACTAAACTGTTTTTCTTTAATCATTAGTAATACGCTAAAAAAAAAAAAAATAGCATTAGTTCAGTAACACATTTAAAATTTAAAAACCAAACCAAGGATATAACATTTATTTGGAGTAGAACACATTAAAAAAAACCGGAGACCATATCTTTACTCCTAATTGTCCGATTTTAATGATTTTTTTTTTTAGGAAATTTCATAAACTTTTAAAAAACTATATACAATATTAACAAAAAAGTAAACATTTTTTTCGAGTTATTCGGAATTTAATTTTACCATCCCTCGTAACTTTTTTTCCAGCTTCTTTTCGTTGAAGTATGTTATATAGATAAATTTAACGGGCGTCGAGAAAATGACTTTAGCGAAGTTTCATTGAAATCTGTACATTCGTTTAGGAGCTACAGTCTATAGCAATACAGATTTTTCGGCCACCATTTTAAAAGTTAAAGGCGGAGAGTAATGTCAATGAAGGAGGATCATCCTCGGGTGACCTCTGATTTTATATCAAAATTTGAAAAAAAAATCGGTCCAGTAGTTTCGGAGAAAATGCGCGGACGGCGGATGGACAAAAAAATTTTTATTCTTTTTTTGAATCCTATGCGTCTTGAAACGTGAAACCTCAAATTTTGAGAGGGGGTTATGTTTTTGAATTTTTTGGTCAATCACAATGTTTCATTATTGAAAATAATAAACCAAAAGATACAAACAATATTTGTTATTTGTTGCAGGGTAAAATAAATGATAAGTGAACTATTTGTTGATATTGAAATAGTACAACTTATTAGAGAAAATAATTATGGAAATCTCAAGATATCATGAGAGATATGGTACAATTACTACAGCATGGTTTGAAATACAATGTATTTTTATATATAATTGATTATAGCCCTGAAGTCAGGGCCCAAAACTTACTATCGACCTCATCGCAGACAAAGGTTTGATAGTAAGTTACGAAAGTGAATGTTATTCTGAGTAAAAATAACCTTGTCTGCCATTCCAGAGCTGCTGCTTTAAAAAATGGTGGCTCATTTAAAGAATATTAGGCCCGTAATTTGAGGTTCGATACTGGAAATCCATTGAGGAAAGTTTTAATTTTTTTAACTTGTATATATGGGTTTAGAGATACCAAAAAACAAAATTTCTAACACGGTCCACCAAGGGGAAACTTTTTACTGCCAAAAAAATCAGATGTTTTCAATATGTTTTTGTTTTTTCATCTATAACTCCTAAACTATGCATAAAAGCAAAAAATGTAAATTAAAGAATGTTAAAGTGTGCGTCGATCGAGTACATGCACTTTATAATTTGGTTATGTGGTAAGGTATAAAACCACTGTCAACCAACGCTGATTTTTATCAAATTGGTCAAAAACTGAGACCAACTACTATAAATGGCTCTGTAACTTGGAAATGAGTTCCCTAAGAGAAAAAAACCATATAATCAAAGTTGTAGAGTATAAAATTTTGTGAATCGGGATTTGTTATTCCTTTATGACATTCGATATTTTTCGACACATCGTTTATCAAAATCCTTCGTAACTTAGAGATGGAAAAGAGGCTTATATTGCATGTAACAGACTCTATACAAAAATAACTCAGTTGAATAGACACCCACACTGTTGAAATATTGAAAATCACGTTTACCTTCATTACCAATTTCTAAGCATCGAGAGATTACCGATTTTGTTCGGAATAAGTGAACTACATTAAATTAGTTGGTACCCACTGGATGCAAAATTTGATGCTCTACAACTTTGATCATATCGGTTTTTCCTCTTAGGGAACTCGTTTCCAAGTAGCAGGGCCATTTATAGTAATTTGCCCCAATTTTTGACCAATTTGGTAAAAATAAGCGTTGGTCGACCGTGGTTCTATACCTTACCACGTAATCAAATGGTTTTAAGTTTATGTACTCGTTTGACGCACATTTTAACATACTTTAATTTATTAAAGTGTACATTTTTTGCTTTGATGCATTATTTAGGAGTTATAGGTGAAAAAATGAAACAATATCGAAAAAAATCTGACTTTTTTGGCTGTAAAAAGTTTTCTCTTGGTGGAACCCTTTAGCAATTTTTTTTGTTACATTTCTAAACCCATATATATTCAAGTACAAAAAAAAAAATTTCTCACCTTTTTTGCAATGGATTTCCCGTTTCGATCCTCAAATTACGGGCTTAATATTCTTTATTTTTGAAAGCAGTAGCTCTGGAACGGCAGGCCAGTCTCTTTTTACTCAGAATAACATTCACTTTCGTATCTTACTATCAAACCTTTGCTTGTGATAAGGTCAATTTTTGGGACACTGTGTAATGTATTCATTAATCTGATCAAAAATAACAAACTTAGTTTAATATTACTTTCACTTACCTATATATGTAATATATAGTAAGTGTATGTATTGCAATCGTGAAAATTTTCGAGTCTGAGTTTTCAACGGAAATACACGTTTTGAGGTACCCTGAGTTCAAATAACCAAGTCCTGAAAAATGGTCTGTGTATATGTGAACACTCTACCTCGAAAACGAAAAGTCGTACGAAACTAATATTACGTATTTAAGCTAGATACATGCCTTAGATGTGGCTGCAACTTTTTCCTTAAAATTAGCTAACCGGAAGTGCAACTTTATATCAACGCTGAAACACATTTTTCTCAAAAACGGCCCTAACGGTTTTGATTAAACTCAGTGTATCATTGTATAATTAAGTGGTCTTTAATATCATTTAGGTCTTCCCGTTGATGTCACTTTACAGGGCTTAAATGCCCAATGTTCATATACGGCTTCCTCTAAAGTACCTTTAATATGGTTCATTTGAAATAATTAACTATCCTTCATTATTAAAAGTTACGAAAAAATGATAAATATAAATTTTGAAAGAATTTTATAATTGAATAAAGGAGAAAAAAATAAAAATGCTTATCCAGGTCGAAAATGAATCTCCGGAAATACTAGTCAGAAGGTATACGTATAATATATCGTTGGAAAGCGGAGAATTTTAGAAAAAAAACAATATCTAATATAGAAAGTTGTAGAAGGTAACGGAGAGCTGCGAAAAAATTATAAATAATAAAACTAATAATATATAACGTAAATCACGTTTTCAAGGAAATTAAATGAAATTTACTAACTAAACGTAAACTTTAAAAAATATTCTTAAGTTTGTAAAAAGCATTTAAAATCCACCTAGTCAAGGCAATGGCATTGTTAAAAAAACTATTTCATTGTACTTGAGTGAATGAAGAAGTAAAATATAAAATCACTTCATGGATGTATAAAGCATATGTTTATAACCTTGAATACATTTACTGTAATTTAGTGATTATAGATCTGCTATTATATTTAAATAATTGGTTACCAACGTTTATTCCGAAAAAATGTCATGTAACTTTTTATAAAATTGAATTAGTGAATAATTTGATAAGTTTTCCCTTTTCGATATTACAACAGAATACACTTAAAATCATTATGACAACTTTTGACCTGTCTATGACAGACAATGAAAATCTCTTAATTCCGTTTTAGTAAACTTTGCAATGGAAAATAACAGTTTAATAATTAATAGTCGCACGATTCATAATCAACCGGTGGTATAAGAAATAGGAATTTTGTTATTTTAATAGTATTTATGTTTTGTTAGCTGTAATCTTTTAGCTTTAGCTCAGTTAAAAATGCAATTCAAAAATTTTATAATAGCCCAACATGGCCAGAAAATTATTTCCATTCAAAGTTGAGCGGTAAGTGAAAGTTATGTGTTGCTCGCACTCTATTTTTTATTATAATGAAAAAAAAAAGATATTACATGGATTACAGCAATTTTCGCTACAGAAATTGCATTCTAATGTTATATGCTAAATTTAGTTTGTTATTTTTCACCAGATTAATGAATACATTATACGGTGTCTAATTAATTATGATAAGAAGGTTCCCCACCTATGACTTGTTTAAAATATAAATTATTAATATATAGATTTTTTAATTATATTACAGGCATAATAAAATTAATATTTCTTCTTATTTTCAGAGGAACTTCTTCCATCTAAACGATATCATTTAAAGCTGGATATCAAATTATTTTTAGATAAAAGTGAAGTAATTCAATCATTTTTATCAAATCCATAGTATTTTATCACTTAGTGCATTTCTGATGGGTAAAAATTGTTGGTACCCACCAAACGCACATGTATGTTTTTGTACCGAGGTATTCTGTCACTATTTCATTCGTATAAGAGATATCTTACAATTTTTTTTTTCATGAATATTTTCTTTAACTTTTTATTGGAATTCATCCATATTGAGTGATGGCCTTTCAAATCGAACTCTTTAGTGGCACTACTATTTTGAAATGTTTAACATAAGGTGTGAAAACGAAACAGCTGTGACACTTGTCTGACACTGAGCAAGATGAGAAATTATTCTTTACTTTCTGAAAGATAATTATAATTTTATGTTTTTATACTATTGATATTTAAAAAAAAAAAAAAAAATACTTCTAATGAAGTACAAATAAATTAAACAATGTCTTTTAACTAAACACAAAAAAAAAACTATTTCTTTTATTTATAAATTTATTAACAAGCATTAAGTAAAATAAATAATTTTTGATGTGCTCTCTTTGTCAAATTCTCTATGTGTATTTAACATATTTCTGTAGAAGTGTGAGAACATATGGATATTAAAACAGTTATATGTTCCTTGCGTACATTTGTAGTAAACAGCTGTTTTCTTTGAACAAATATGAGACAATTTATGTCTTTGGATATTAATTAAATTATTTAATACTTTATAGCCTTGAAGCTGTTCTTTAGACTGTGACAATAGTATATTTAAAAGTTACTTTAGGACATATCATTTGTTGTGATTATTGTTATTTTTATATTTTTTTAATTAGAGATTTGTTATAAATGGTTCTTCGTATGACAAGTTTACATAAATGTTTTCCCCAATTTTATACAATAATTATTTTGCAGCTTTCGATAACTCGAGCTCTTTTTCAATTTCTTGAAAAAATGAATTAAATTGCACTGAAGAGACAATTCAATTGGGTACTTAATTGAATTTTTTATTTATATTCATCGATCAAAATTAGTTTAAAACAATAAAGATGCAAAAAGTCTCAAATTTTTATGATCCATATTCGCAAAGATGATTAGTGTGAAAGAAAAGTGATCGAGGCGGAATATTAAAATTTTGTTTTCATATTATTAAGTATCTTTCCATTTTTTCTCTTGACCTATCGTCTCTGAATAACACTATTTAGTTTATAATGCATTTTGTTACTTTTTATAAATTAATGTTTTTAATTGATAACATCGTGTTTGGTAGCCATTTAAGTCACAATCAAGGCCTCAGACCAGTCTGTCTCCACGACAGCTCCCAAATGCACGTTTATTTTAAGTCCTTAACGTAATATGAATTTGTTTTTAAATATTAAACGTTGTGCAATCCCAATCTTATGTATCTTCTTTATCAGTTGCATTATGTTCAGGGTTCCCACAATATTTTTTTTTAAATTTTCCTTTTGGTCTGTCAGATTTAACCTTTTTTTCCTCAGAACAAACTTAAAAATTTCTTATACTAAAATATATACAAAATAATACGTAAATACTCGTTTTATACCTGTATTATTTATATTATAAAAAAAAAAAAAGATTAAATTGTGTTCAGATAAGCCTTTGATTAATTAATATTGTTACCTTTTTGTTTCTCCCTAACCTTGCAATTTTTTTAGCTAAGCGAAAACCCTGATTCTATTGTAGCTCAAATTAACATGACTTTATGTCCATACAAGTATCTCATTGTTAAAACAATATTTATTAAAAACTATACCATCTTTTAATTTAAGCCCCAGTGTCTTTTAAAAACAATATCACATTTACAACTGGAAGCTAATATACTCTAAAGTATGTTAAAATGATTATTTTATTATTTTAGAGAAATTTGAGTTATCGAGAGTTGACCATCATTGAAGTAATTTATGTTGTTTTTTAAACAAGTTAGTGCAGGATTTTTAAATTTTATTTTCACAGAAGACTTTTAAAAAAAGTTGTGCTGTGAGACACTTTGGTTGTGTATATATAATTGTTATTGTGTTCATTTCTCGTTTTTTTTTTTTGTTTTTTTTTAAGCAATAAGTTATATAATTGATAAATAAAATTATATCCTTCAATTTCTTTTATTTTCATATAAATAATATAACAAAAAATATTTAAACTTAAAACAATTTGTTATAGTATAAATAATTCCATGTTTAATACATTTGTATATTGATATTGTTTTGTATAGATTTATTTTAATGTATATAAATTGTAAATATGTAAAAATTATATAATTTAATTGTATAATAAAAATGTGTACATTATAACATATAAATAAATTTTTGTAAATGTAATGTAAACATTATTAATAAGTAATCATAACCTTATCAGTTATTACTTATAAATGCAATTGGATATATTTATTCAGAAGGAATGTTGATTAATTCATGATCGGGTGTATTTGCCCCAAATGTGAAGCATGAAGACGGACGCGATGAACAGTAAGGACATGACTAATACTGGAACTGGTCCACTGAAAATAAAACAAAATTAATTAATTATATTTTAATTTAGAAACAGCAGCTCAAATATCACATATTTTACATGCGCTAAATTGAACATTGTATCAATGAATTACAACCTACATTACTATTGAAGAAAAAATCTTTAAGGGGACCCTACACGGTCAATCAGAATTGCACTAATGACGTTCCGAATTGTCGTGTAAGGTAGTGAATGAAATACTGATGGTGGTACGCTGCAAATTTCCGAACATCCGGAAATCAAAGGTTCATTCACGAGAAGTGGAGGGGGGACTGAGGTAAAAGTAGTGGGGGGGCTAACCATACTGCTGGATAGGTTAGGTTACCTAGGCCTCACAACCATTATAAATTTCTGATTTTTAATATAAGTAAATAGTTAAATAATTTTTTATATCCCTTGTTTATACTTTTAAACCATCTTCATATATTTCTTTTAAATAGTCAAGTGGGCAACAAATTAAAAAAAAAAAAAGAAGCGGAAACTTCACAATTTACTTTAATAAAAAAAAAACTTTAACTGTTGTATTCATTTGTCATTAATTTTTCCATTTTTCTTAACAAGTTGATTATTTTCGCAATAGTTTTCCTTAATTTTTGTAAGTAGTAGACTTATATTTTACTAACTTTTGTCAAAACGATTTTCTATGAGACTAACCTAACTACTAGATAGGTTAGTTTACCTAGGTCTCGTTATGTAAATAAATAATTTCATAAAAGTAAATAGTTGTTTATATCCCTAGTCTATATTATTATTAACCATTTTCAACTATTTTTTCTTTAAATAGTCAAGTAGGCAATAAATTGGAAAGAAAAAAAAGTGGAAACTTCACAATTTACTTATAGAAAAAAAATCTTTAACTGTTGTGTTTATTTGCCATTAATTTTTCCATTTTTCTTATCAAATTGATACTTTTCATAGATTTTTGTATGTAGTTGACTTATATTTTGGACTAACTTTGGTCTAAACGATTTTCAGGCACTAGGAAGTAATTATTATATCTCCATTTTTCTCTTGATGCCCAATATTATAAATGACAATGTCCAAATAAGCATATCTATGCTGTTTCTTTGTTTACAACTGCGCTAAATTGGTCAGCAACAATCTAACCTAAATCAGCAACGATAAGTAATGATCAGTAATGATTGAACGTGTAAGGGTCTTCATGATCAAAGCGATCGCGGGCAATCTTGGAACTTCTTGTGACGTTCATTCATGAATAACCGTGTAGGGTCTGCTTTACTGGAGGCCTTATAAACACGAATACAAATATTTATGAAATTTTACAGCATACATGAATAAATTTACGAACACTTCTTGACAACGATGGTCCAGCCTGCTTTAAACTTAATAAGTATCAAATGTATGCACTGGACTGTACCAAACAATAAGGAAATTTTCAAATATTTTTAAGGTGGCTGAGACAGCCCCGCAAATGGACACTGCCTGCTTAATAATATGTGAAATCAGCTCCCATTTACTTTAATAATAATTCCCTATACTATCAAAAGGAAAAACACACTTTATTTTAGGTTGAAAGTGAATCATACATCATTTAATAAATACTGACGAAAAGAGGGACTCTACTATGCCTTTTTTCTCTCACAGAATATACAAAATAAAATAATTTAACAGGTATGATGAAGAAAAAAAAAAAAAAAAAAAAGCTGCAAATCATGAAGTGATTTATTCCAAGTAGGTAATCCTAACAAATAATAAAAAAAATATAAATAAATAAATACTATAAATGATCTAGTTACGGACGTATAAATTGACTGCATTTTTGAAACAAAACAGTGAAGTATTATGTTGAGTCTTGGGGTAACAGTTGGTTTACCAATATTTTCCTTCTAATAAACATACAAATAAAAGAAAATCTGAATTGAAGTTTTGTATGAATAAAGGGTGTGTAACTTTCTCCTATTTAAAGTTTGACCATCTACATAAAAAAGGGCCAATAGGCCCACTTGCCGGACTAAGTCTCCCCACCTGTACCAATACCAGTATCTACATAAATTATGACACGACTGAAACTTCTGTAAGAGGCAAAAAACATATAAATGATAAAATGCAGTTTCTGAAAGACTTAAAGAAGGTGTTTTAAAAGTGAACCACCCTTTTTCCAGCTAACATTAAAATTGCAGTTAAAAGTGTACCAGTAATTAAGATAAAAAATAATAGTCCATGGTACAGATCCCTTTTTATTGAATTATTAACATCCGCCTGAAACTTAATAAATATTTTAATCTCATCGTAACTTACAACTATTTAATTTACAAAACTCTTGGAATTGGGACATTTTCCATCTGTAAGGAGGCAAACTTCGTATATTTAATTAGGTACTAAAAACTTGAAAATATCCATTTGCTTTCTACTTGGATCGTAAGATAAATTGATAAAAAAAGGTGACCTACAAAAATATTGGGCCGTTTGTCCTATATAACCTCATTATTTTGAAAATTTGGAGGTGTAGATCACGCCAAATGGCTCAATATTTTTGGAGGCCACCTTTTTTCTCGACTTTGTGATCACATTATCTTACGATTCAAATAGAAAGCAAATGCGTATTTATGAGGTTTTAGTACCTAATTAACTATTTACGAAGTTTCAGGCGGATGTTAATAATTTGGTAAAAAGGGAACTGTACCACGTACTATAATCTAAAGTAACCTGGAAATTTGACCCAAGAACTGTTAGGGGATATAACTAACTTCAACCAAAACAACGATCAACCCTTAATACATGGTGGCTACCAGAAAGTTAAAGTGAAATTTCCTGATTTTTCCCTATTTAATGTTAGTTTTCCATAACCAATATGTCTGGAGACATAAATATTAATAATGTATAATTTTTAATTAACGTCTCTTCGATATATCTATGCCAGTCAACTATCAAAACTAAATTTATTTATTATACATGAATGGAAATAGACTACAAAATGATTTGAGTAAAAAACATTCAGTCTTTTAAATAAAAAATATAATAATGATGTAGAAATGGTTGACAGTTGATATAATATGAGAAGGAGTTAATTGGGGGAGGGTGCGGTCAAATAAATACTAAATTAAAATATAGTAATTATTTAATTTTTGCTGACGTTTCGACCCACTTTGCAGGTTGTCTTCAGGGCTACAAAAGATACGAAACATGATGAAAATAAAATAAATGAATATAAGTAGATATAAAATAGGAAGAAGTTGTCAGATAAAAAAATAAAAAGATGATATCAGAGATATAGTGGGTGACAATGTAGTTAAAATATCAAGTATTATATATGTAGAAGATACAAACAAATGGAAAATAAGTATAAATAAAAATAGTAAATTAAGGAGGATATAGCATGTGAGTTAAAAGTAAACAGATTGCGATAAAAGATAAGTAATAGGTGTATAACAAACTAATAGAAATTACATTTGATAACTGTGGGTTAACAGATAAAGAAAACGAATGTTAACGAATAAATAGATCGAAAATTGAATAAGTATTGTTATAGTAAAGTTAAAATAAGAATAAGATAACAGAATAATAAGATATCAGTGGATAACAAGCTAGTGGAGGTTACATTTGATTGTAGGTAAACAGATAATGGGACTAAAGGTTAAGAAATTAAATAATTTTTTTAATTTGGCAAAAATTAAATAATTACTATCTTTTAATTTAGTATTTATTTGACCGCACCCCCCAATTAACTTCTTCTCATAATCTTTTAGTAATTTATTTTTATCACCTTTATTATATTTTTATAAATAAACTAAGAGGAAGTTTAATTAACAATGACATTATTGCTAAAGCAAACTATTTACTTTATTTCTCTTGATACTGATAGACAGCATATGGAAAATATCAAAAACAAAATGACTAAAATAGTTAAATAACTATTTATATATTTATTATAACCATAGTTTTTTTTAATAAATTTATACACGCACCTTTAGTTTTTCTAAAAAAAAAAAATGAACACATCAGGCGATATCTAGACGACATCAACTGAATATTTATTTTAAATCTGAAAAAATATTTACGTACTAAAAAAAATCCCTGAATTTTCCCACTTTTCCAGCTCGGCCATCATCCTGTTGATAAACAGGTGTTCAACAATATTGACTAGTAGTTGATGAACAACAATAAAATATAAACTTTTGTTCAATATACTTTTAAGAAATTTAGCTGAATTTGGATATTTAATTTAAATACAAATCAAATCATTATAATATTAATGCCAAAAAGAAAAAAACTTACACTTTAATGCCGGGGGAATCGTCAGTGTAAAACCTCCACATTCCAGTGCTGCCTGCACCAGGTGTTCGGTTTCTTGCAGAAGTTGTAGTAGTTGTTTTTCTGAAAGGAGAAAAAGCTTATTATATTTTTAAATAGGTATCTATAACAGTTAAAATAGCATACAAAAATACACACACATCTATTGGTACTAAAGTATGAAGAGACAACTGATCATCTTCTTAAGGACCCAACCACAACTGAAAAGCACCCATTGGGAGAGAGTTTGTTAATCGCTTTTGAAAAAACAGAAGTTGACATACCCGTGATCATGTGACTGTGCCCATCCTTCATACTGGAGGGACACTTAGGAAGTAGTATCATACTTATAATTAAATAAAATGTGCATTAAATTCAAACTTTAATTATATGAATGGCTTCGGCTTCATATCAAAGAAAGTCATTTGTCATTTTTAAAAAGGTAAAAAAAAAAATGACAATTTTCTTAACAAAGTTTCAATTTAAATCAATTCTAATAATTTATTTTCATGTTTCAGCCTGAATATTCTTAAATATAACTATAAGAAACAGTTTGAGTTGAGCAAGTTTAAAACAAAAAATTGACTTTTTCTTCACTTTCTGAAAATGAGAGATCCCTCCCCATCTGTGGTATTAGGTTGGTAAATAAGTCCTTTCAGTTTTTCAGGGTGAAATAAAGTTCAATGTATTATAGACATGAAGTTTATTTCAATCTACAATAAATTGTATCATCTTTGCACTAACTGTATAATGCCATGTTCATAGAATGTCTGGAGTTTATTGTTAAAAAACTTAGCCAAGTGGTTTTTAATGTCCTCTTCCTTTTCATTCATGGAGTTCTGCAGAGGCCAAAATAAGTGCTATTCACTTGGAGTTAGGTCTGGTGAATAGGGACGATGGGGCAAAAGGTCCCATCCAAGGCTCAATAATTTATTGCGAGTGACCAATGAGATGTGGGGCTTAGCGTTGTCTTGGTTGAACATAACACCCTTCCAATTTGCCTGTTCTGGGCGTTTATTTTAATTGATTGAACCGATTTTGTTTATTTTGAGCAGTATAGAGTTGAATCAATTGTTTGTCCTGATGGCAATAGCTCATAGAAATCCAACCATATGGAAAGCATTATCTTCTTTGGATGCAATCCGGGTTTTGACATTCTTACAGGAGCCTCACTACTATGTTCCTCAGATTTTCTACGGACTATATTATCGTAAAATATTCATTTTTCATCTCGTGTTACCAACATTTTCAAAAATGGATCGTTTTTTTGCCTTTTCCGTAGTGAATCACAAACAGAAATTGGTTAGAGTTCGGTAAGAGAATGTGGGACCCAAACATTAAGCCTAAAAATATATCCAAGCTTGTGCACAAATGGTTTTCTACACTTGTATGTGACACATTTAGGGCTATAGCAATCTCTCGCACTGATTGGGTGGGATTTTGATCAACAATGACCTTAACATTGCTCGTTTCAATTTCATGTGGACGACCAGACCGTTGAGCAACGTTGATATCAAAATTTCCTGAATGAAATTTGGCAAACCAATTTTGACAGGTGTGTTCGGTTAAGGCATCATCCCCCATAAACACTGCAAATTTTCCTATGAGATTCTGCAGCACGTTTACATTTTTTAAAATAATACAACAAAATATGACGATAATGAATATTTTCTTCCATATTCACAGTGCAATAGCCAACACAATACTAAGCTAGTTTCAACAAGAGTTAGCAGATATAGTTGTTGACATATTACAAACAGCATGAACGATCCACCTTAGGGATTAATTCATCATATAAGAAGTGAATCATAGTAACAGAAAAATAAATAGAAAAACAGAAAGGAATTAATGGCCAACGCAATATTAAGTCACTCATATACTAATAATATTTAACTAATACAATTTCTAGCACTTACATAGAAAGTTTGCTACTTAAGCAAAACACTTAAACTTTAACAAAAAAACACTTACAAATAAATTAAAAGTTTTGTGGTACACTGGTTTTCTAAAGAATTGCTTCATGATGATAACCTATTCCTTCAATTAAATTATTAAACACTCATAAAAAAATATCAAAACTTGTGAAATACCAATATAACAAAACTCAGCAACAATAAAATCAACTTATATATATATAAAAGAAAGACATCCATGTCTTGTATGGGTCATAAAAATGGAATGTCTTCACAGGAAATATAATTAGAATGAGCCCCAGAACAAATTCTAAGAAAAATTCTTGATGAAAGATTTTAGGACAAATGAGTGGTATGAAACTGGCTCTGAATAGATTATTACAGTGACAGCAGATGTTAGTTTTTAAATTACAACTAGAGAGGCCATTGAGGGAAATCAAGGGCTTTAACAAATTTTCTAGAGCACCCATCAAATATTAAATTCACCATTGAAATATTACATTTTCCTATTAATGTATGCAACAAAAATAGTATGTTAAGATATTATATAATTGTTTTATATTAGTTTTGTTAATATTTTTTTATGATAAAAATAGAAGCTTCCCTCTATTGTCAGATTAGAGAAAGTGACAGCCAATTAGAAGGGAGAACTGGCAAATCAAACTTAAGGAGGCCTCGACTCTTCAAGAGTTGTGGTGGATGTTGTTTACATAATAACATAAACACATAATTTCAGCATTATTTAACATTTTCTCAGATTGGTAAGATATGTTCAGTAGGTGATACCATCAGAAAATAATAGAAATGTATGGAACACTTATCAGTTGATGTTTTATTATGATGCATATAATGCTATAATTAATTTAATAGCCTAAAACTCAAAATTTGAATATTAAAACAACCGATATGTTTATTAACATTGTTGTCTTGATATAAAAACCAAGGAAAATAAAATAAAAATATTTCCAACTATCTTTAAAGCATTAATTTACCTTTGTCGAACAGTTGTGCTTCCGACTGCTGACCTAGGTGCTACTACTTTTGCTGGGGAGCGACTGCCCCCAACTGATGTTGAACTCGGAGAAGCAGGCTGTAAATCAAACACATATGATAAATACTTACACGAATGAGCACCAACTAAATTATAATATTACCACAATAAATGTTCTGAATTCAATAAACCATTGAGTGACATATCTAAGATGAACACTTATGTTATTAGTCAATCAAGCTATTATTTACAACTGTTATTAAAATCACAGAGGGTAAGTTATAGTCTCTTACCATCACGATCCACTAGAGAAGAGTGACAGAATGGAAATGAAGAATATGACACGAACTTTCCACTTTGTGCTACCTTCCACGTCGACCCAAGGGAACAATTTTGAAAGGTAACAAAACTCCAGGTTTATAGCTAAATGATTTACATAAAATTAAAATTATCCTTTATAATATAAATTTAAGCGTTACAATAGTGTTAAAAAAATATTTATTAAATAATTTAATTAATATTTCATGCAAGGCGATGTTAAAGTTAAACTTAAATAACCTTGATAACTTGACCAAATAATAAAGAATTCATAATTAAATTTTAAAAATCGCTTATTTAATTTTTTTTTAAATAAATGAAGTATAACAGCACCATGTGAACTTGAAAACAAATTTTGTTATCAAAGCCATGATTGCGGGAAGTTCAAATTTTCGAATATAAAAACAGATGCTGTATATCACTTATTAGCTATAGAAATCTTTTGTGATGAACAATTATAAATATTCCTGCAAGTTAAGATTTAATTTTGAAAAAAGAAATAGACAAGAAAGAAACTTTGGGCGAAGTTGCCAATACAGAAAAAGTAAGTGATGAATTAAATTTGACACATATGTTTACATCATTCAAGATTAGAATTTTACATTTTGAAATGCTATTGATAATCGTGAAAACGGTGCTTTTGGTTCTAACAATATTTTTTATTTCCATAAAGTGTGATCAAAGTAAGTTTTATTTTATGTCATTTAATTTTCTTCTTCTTTTTTTTCTACGCTCTATTTTCATATTTATTGTCTCAGTTTACTTGAAATAAAATTAATTTGAAGGAGTTTTTTTTATTTGCTTGACTTTAGAAACCAATGTTTATTGTTCAGTCACAATGCTTAATAAAAATATGAAGTATTAAAAAATCTTAAGGTGGCTTTAAATTGAGTACTTCTCTCTATTGTTTAAGCCGTTATGTCTAAATATATTATTTTTTCTTATGAACAAATTGAAAAATATGTGACATTTTGTTGGACCTCTATGATACTGTTTTACATAGGGATAGTTAATATTGAAATAACATTTACGACTACTTCAAATAAATTCCTCAATTACATGTTTCTTATAGACTTGTGTGAAATAAAGAGGTTTAAAATATAATAATTGTTACTAAAATTCTAAGATATTATATGTTATCTGCTCTCTCATTAATATTATCTGTTGTAATGAAGAGAAGAATAGTTGGGGTGGTCAGTCAAAAAAGAAGGCAAAAATAAATGATAATATTTATTTTTACATATGCCAACGTTTCGACCTGAAGTTCAGGCCTTCATCAGGGCTGTCTCCTTAAGTGTTGCAGGGAGAATGATAAGATAAAAATGATACATTCTCCCTGCAACACTTAAGGAGACAGCCCTGATGATGGCCTGAACTTCAGGTCGAAACGTTGGCATATGTAAAAATAAATATTATCATTTATTTTTGCCTTCTTTTTTGACTGACCACCCCAACTATTCTTCTCTTCATTATCCACAACAGTCAACCATTTACCAATTATAATTATCTATTGTAATTTGGCAAACATTATTGAAGTATATTTTGTGTATACTGCCATAAAAATTTCACATTATGTTTTACTATTTCTGACAAGGAGTGTCTAACCTCTAAAAGATTTATAACATATGATTTAAACATATCTTTATGTATATGTTTGTTTTTTGTTGGGTGATTTTTCAATAATTATATTATTTTATAAAAATTGTATACATATCTCCTAGACATTTTATTTATTCTGATTTGTTTAGTTGTTTGTGTAACGAAATCTAAACCGTCAAAAAAAGAGTTGTGAACAGTTAGCTTAGGCATTTCCAGGAACAAAGTGATTATGTGAACTTGATTCACCTATCAACTTGGCATGACACTTTCAGTTTTACTAACTTCCTTATGTTTAGCTTAAATAATACAATTAAGGTCTATTAATCAGACTTAGTTATACTACTTCACTATTATCTCACCAAATGGTGGATGGGCCAGTATCAATCACACTCGATAAAATTCTGAAAATGCCTGAAAGTAAATGAAGACGATTGATCCTCATTGATCTTGAACCCGACTGTGTATTCTTGAAATTTACAAAATCACATCAACATGTTATTATACCCTTCCAACAACAACAAAGCCTGTTTCGAAAGTGTGATGTTTTTTCGTTGGAGCAATAATATACAGTGTGTTTACTCTCTCTTATCATTCCATTTTCAAGCCATAATATTTCCTGGATTGCAGCTATATCAATCCGATAAGCGTCCGATTGGTTTAGAAGTAGCTGGAATGCTCCAGTTCGATTAAGTAGCAATATATTTCATGAACCTACTTGAATATCTTGTTTAGATTGGTGTTATATCGTAACTGTGAGATCAGTCCGCCTTTTCTTTGTTCAGGATTCACAATAGATTGAATTTTTTTCGGAATTAAGTTCCAACCTGGAGGCCCGGCTTTTCATTTCCTAAGGATAGGATTTCCCACAAGGGGGTCTCATGGAGCAAGTTGCATCATCACAATTTTTGAGAAAGATAAATTTAGACGGAGTTATGAATTTTCGGACTGAAAAGTTTCAAATAAGGAGAATACATGGAACGATACTTTTATTTCTAATGTTTTTTAAGAATAGGAGAGCAATAAAATATCTTGGAGAGGGGGGGGAGGTTCATGCACCATCAATCTTGGGGGGAATGGGCACTCCTGCCTTGAGAAGCTGTCTTCTCCACAGCTTGGAGGCCACCAGCTGGTTGGCTGGTTTTTGGTCCATCCTCAATATTTTATTTCCCTTGTACCCGCCATATCTGATGAGTTTTCCAGATTCGCCATTGTGGAGGTGCCCGATGGGAGACCAGCCTAACACCACACGGGAGGATTACACTATTTAGTACCTGAAAAATAGAGGTAATTCCATAATAAGGTTTCCGGAGACACCATATAATTTTAAATGACATCTATTTTAAGTAAAATTAAGTTATCAAGTTGTGTTATTCTTATTTAAAATTACTACGTAGAGGGAAAAAATTAGAAAAAGTAAGTGATTATGCCAAAAAAGTATTTTATTTTTAGAATTTGGCATGCTTGATTTCCCCGATTCTCATGATCCGAAACCTACTTGTGATTCTAAACAAGGTGTATACAAAGAAGCAGCAGTTGTGTCTAATACTGAATTTTGTTCTGCAATTGGTAGGTGAGTTTATTTTACTCATTGTGAAGATATCTTTAGTGATATGTTCAATAATTATTTTTTTTTACTGTGTTAATAGCGATGTGCTTAAAAAGGGAGGATCAGCAGTCGACGCAGCGATTGCTACTCTACTCTGTGAAGGTCTGTGCGCCATGCAAAATATGGGTATCGGTGGCGGATGTTTCATGACTATTTACAATAAGCGAATAATTGTGTAGCGTGCTTGGACGCTCGAGAGGTAGCTCCGCTGTCAGCAAGGCCAGATATGCACAGTGGCTGCTATTTTAAATCTGCTTCTGGTACTGCTAAATAATATGTATAATATTTATTTTATAGATATTTTATTTTTATATTGAATGACTAATTATCAAGACTTTCAGTTTTAATTTGTTTATTATGGTTCCCGATACTTCAACCCAAGATGGTGGTGGATCATTAAGACTAAAATAAATTATTTAGACTTTGTGCTAGAATTAAAATTAAATCGTAAATATAAGATAAAGAGACCGAAATAAGTAAACAAAGAGAAAAACATAAATAGAACTTATAAATTAAGTAGTAAGGGTGCAAATAATAATAGAGATACAACTACAACTAACTAACTAACTCCCTGGCGCTACAGGCAGCATGACCCTTGGCCTCCTCAGTTATTTTTCTCCATTTCTCTCTGTCCTGTGCTACTCTCTTCCAATTGCGAACTCCTAGCTTTCGCATTTCTCTCCACTTCATCCTTCCATCTGCTTCTCGGCCTCCCTCTTTTCCTCTTTCCACTGAAGTGTGCTTTCAATATATTCCTCTGCACCCGTCCATTCTGACTACATGTCCTACCCATCTCAGCGCTCTTACCTTGATATAGTCAGTAATGTTTTGGTTCTCTAATATATCCTCTATTTCATTGTTACTTTTGATTTTCTACTCATCATTAACATTTGTAGCACTGTAAATCCTTCTTATTATTTTCCTTTCGAATACTTTTAGTTTACGGCAATCCTCTTACAATAAACACCAGATTTCCATAGGTGACTACTGGTCTAATAAGCGTTTTATACAGCTTTATTTTTGTGGCTTTTGACAACAATGGAGACTTGAGAAGTTTTAGGTTTGCATAGTAAGATACAACTAGTACAAAGATTAAATTAATTGAATTATAGAATTACAAAAAACAATTAGAATATGTTCAGAAAAAAATTTCTGTCCATCTGACTTCTGAAACTTTTTTTTTGATCTTTAGATTTTACACTGAACCATCGAGTGACCCCAGGATGATCCTCAGAACCCGACATTACTTACCATTTGTCTTCTCGTTTCAAAATGGTAGCTGATTTGAGGGTTAATATGTGGCCAGTGACATTTCTTCTAGACTGATACAATTTTTGTTAGATTTAGCATCAAAGTCACAGATCACATCTTCTGAAATCGATATTATTCTATTGCTATGTTCCTGGAATCGCGTTTCTACGGCGAGTAGGGGTTCCAGAAACCGCATTTATTTGTATTTAAATGTATTTATATCGGTTCCAGAAGGGAACCGATCTACAGAAAAATATATTAATTCTGTATTAAAAGGTTAGATACCACAGACCCCCTACTGTAGTATCCTAGATTGAACCATATAATTTTTATTGGATTTCTTTTCTAAAGGTATCATGTTTTTAAATTTACTATTTGTTCTATATCTAATTGGTGGCATGCAATGTAGAATGTAAAATCATCAAGATGGTTTACTAACTATTATATTTACAAATTTTAATAACCAAAACATATATACAATGATAATGAACAAACCTATATACATAATAATAGTTGAGAATCATACTAGAGGAGAATGCTTGATTAGAGTTACATGTGTTCTATTGATTTTATTAATTAATGATTTATGGTTGCCAACACAAATTTACATCTGTATTATTAATGAGGGTTATTACCTGGCTGGTTCTTCATCATCTTCGAGTCTCCTCAGCCTCCGTCTTCCTTCCAGTGTTCAACCGTCCTCGCTTGACCCCCAGCTTGAAATCTCCTCAGCTGAGTCCCCAAAAAGAAGTGTCTTCGTCCTAGTCCTCTATTTCCCACCTTTCTTCATCCCCCTCTCTTTTGGTAGTCTTCTCTGATTGGCTGAATATTCCTAGCCTAAGGGATGACCACGCCCTCTCCCCCAGGCCAAGGTACACTAACCAGGTATATTACGTATTTCTGGTGGAAGGTGTGAAAGGTCTTTTTGGATCCTGTTTAAACACTCAGTTGTCGGTCTTGGTCGGTGGTTCTTAAGGGTTCTTATTACCACTTACAAAAGGTTGTCCTCGTGGGTCGTTACCCTCACTCAGGTACCCAACCGCCAGATGTGAGCACTTATGATATTTCTTTAATTATACATTTAAAATAATTAAGTAAACTCCACAGGTGGTCTTTAGAATACATAGCATTATACCATTTCGAAACATGGTTTGTTTTAAATAATTAAACATATGAATGTAGTTCGAAAGGTCACTGGTTCATTATATCGTAGTTCATTTTTTTTTCATTGGACAATCTAAATTATGTGATTATTTGATTGTTTTTTGAGAGCAGGATCAGTAAGTGACTAAAGTACTGACTTTCTATACTCAAGATGCAGGGTTCGAGTCTGGGTGTGGCGGGTAATTATTTATTGTATTACATCAGCCATGGATCGATCATGTGATTAGTAGACCCTCCTGGGGCACACCCAGTCTTTATAAAATGATACCTGACCAATCATCCCTCTGCTCAAATTTTGCCTCGAAAAAGGACCTCAACGTAGGACCTTCCTTGGGTTGTAGTGCTACAGGATTGTTTTCAATTCTAGTTTAGAATTAATTTCTGATTTAAATAAAGTCTACAGTGACTTTGACACGCAGGTAACTTATCTGTCGCTGTGCCTGGTGAATTGATGGGTTATTGGGAAGCTCATCAAAAATATGGAAAATTGCCTTGGTGTGAACTATTCCAGCCTGCTATATCTATGTGCCTAAAAGGGATTCCAGTAAACAAACGTCTTGCGAAATCTTTTTCAGAGAGTGGCATGGGACCAGAAATAATGAGCAGTGAATCTCTAAGGTATTAAAAAAATATTTTTTTTTTTAAAATGAGGGCCTTGATGCTAAAAGGAAGTAAGTCATAACTTCACAATTTTTTTTTTTAAATACATTTTTATCAGTGTACAATATATTATGATTGATGGAAGAACCTGTCACCAATGGAAATGAACTCTTCTTTGTGTTAAATAATGTAACAAAAACTATATTTGTAAACAAAAACTCTGTAATATCATCGGTTTATTACAAAGAGTCATTGAGTGACATTTAATGACCATAAATCGCTTAGAACTTTGATGAATTTTCTCATTGGAAAATCAGAAAATTGTATGCTTGTTTTAACTATATTTATATAAACACTATTGTGTTTGGGTTTATTATTTTCAAGTTCAATTTTAAAAGTTTACGGAATTTCCTAAAAAAAAAAAAAAAAACATTGTTAAAATCGGACAATTAGGAGCAAATATATGGTCTCTAGATGTTTTTTATGTTCTACTGCAAATCCTTTGTTTTGGATTTTATTTTTGATGAATGTGTTACTGAAGTAATGCTATTTTTTTTTTTTTAGTAAATTACCAATGATGAAAAAAAAAATGTTTAGGCGAATAATCGGAATTAACTTTTTATTTCTTTTAATTTGTCACTAGAAAGGTAATGTTACTTTAGATGTATAATTGTTAATAATAATAATTAATTGGAAATAATAAACCATTGTAAAATAATTTGCAGCTTTTTTTTTTTATCAACCATTAAAGTCGAAATTTACAAAAACGTTCTTAACAGTTCACCTCCATCAAAAATGTACTTGATGACTTTTTGCAATAAACTGACGAAATGTTCTTACAAAGTCTGTTACGCAAGTACTCGATTACTTTGTGTCTTATTTAATATAATAAGGTTTTCTCTGAAAATTTGTTATTCTGGACTTTCCTGGTTCTTGCATCAATGCCTTCAATTATAATATATGGATATATATATGTATATATACATGCATACATATATAAATATATACATACGATTTTTACACATTAGTGAATGTATACATTAACGATGCTGATTAGGCTTGTAAATGTTTGATGATAGATGTGGAATGCAGGAAATTGTTAGCAGAAAATGGTAAACTTCCTTCTGTAGGAGACACATTTCGATTACCTATTCTCGCGAAGACCTTAACTATCATTGCGAAATCTCCAAGAGGAGCTTTGGAATTATATAATGGATGCCTCACTGAAACATTCATTAGAGATTTGAAAAAACTGGGATGTATAATTACTACTGAAGACATGAATAACTATAGGTAAATTTATTAATGTTAGACCCTCTAATTTTATTAAGTTTTATTATGTATGAAGGTCAGTGATGTGGGATTAAAATATATTTCATAATCTAAAATTATATATAGAGTTACTCCAGTACAAATAATTTTTTTTTTTTTTTTTTTTATGGCACAATAATCCATTACTAAATCTAGGCCTCTAGTAGGTTTTATTCTTTCTTGTGAAGGAGCTATCCAATTTCGGATTTCAAGAAGTAGATAAGCATCTGCTGCCACTCCATCCCATCCATCTTGCTGGTGATCTTCCAACTCCGCAAGTCCAATATAGGTCATAAGTACAGACCAGATTTCCATAATATTGCACATTTTATTCGCTTGAGTGTAAAAACTTCAAACCCAAATATTTATCCATTTCATTATCTGTAGAATAACATATTGAAATTTGATATTGCACGAAATTCCGTGTTTTGCTGTTTTTTGGCCTATTATTATTATTTTTTTTTTTTTGGGTGGGGTGGCCGAATAGGCTAACGCGTGTGCACTGCACCGCCGTTGCACGGCAACCGGATATATGAATCTATGATATGAAAATAGTCACGAGTTCGCGTCCCGGTGCCACAGGGGATTTTAAATTCCCCGCCCTCACCCTCTGGTCCGGGAAAATCCCGTATAGCCTAAAAGGCGAGGTAGGGAAGAACAGAAAAAAAGAAAAAAAAAAAAAGGCCTATTATTATTATTCTGTGACGAGCAATCGTTTGAATTTAATGTTACCAACGGTAGAAATAAATACAAATGGGGAATATTCTTGGAATAGAACTTCCTAAAATATTAGGTAACAATAAAAAAACTGCCTTCCTAGAAATAAGACATATATTGTTATTGTTTTGACTTAATTCTCACTCATTCTTCAATCCCTTTAATATCCCTTTCGGCTTTGAAGTGAATTGTAGGAATTTAATTACTATTAAACAAAAACAAAAAAAAAAAATGGTGAAAGTAGTATCTCAATCTAAGATCTTGTAAAAAATCAATATCTGAATATCTAATTACTCAGAGTTGAAATTTGATGGGAAAGCTGTCTTGTTTACAGCCCATGAAAAATGAATTGGGTATGATAAGATATCACCGATATACTCTCACTGTAGAACAGATGAAGAATATTTCCATTAAGGAATTTAATGTTTTTATTTTTTAGAACAAGCATATGACCAAAAAATATTTTCAATCTAGAAAAACATATCAATTCACACTAATATTTGAACATTTGAAATCGCAAATATATATTACACAGTATTTCTAAAGTTTTCTGAAAATTCTAAAGGGATATCATTTTCAATGTTGTATTTTAATTTTTTTTTTCTCATTACAAATTATTTTAATTCGGAAGCTAAGTTTTGATCAGATTTTGGTTTATTAATATAACAAATCAAACAAATATTTTTGCACGTTTTAGCTGTGAATTACTCAGTTTTACATATTTTTGATTTTTACTGCACGATTTTGCACATTTTGAGGTATTTTTTTTTAGTTATACTGCACGAAGATCCAATCTCTGTCATCAATCAGTAGGAATCTCAGAGCTGGTCATCCTTTCCCCATGACTAGCCCAATGAAGTCTCTCAAGCTTAACAAACTTCATCACATCCATTCTATGCTGTTATACCAATGAAGAAGCATCTTATGCATAAGCATTCACCGAGTATCTCCCTCAATGATAGAGGATATGGCGGTAAACCCTCCTCAATATCACTTTAGAGCCCATTCTCGTCTGCTTTCGTTTTGACCAAGTTTCTGCGCTAGTATATTAGGTCAGGCCGATGAATCCTTCAATTTGGTTTGATGGTAGATAAATGTGTTTCTCTTCTACTTGGAGAGACTACTTCCTTGTTACTATTGTTCTGCATGTCTCCTGACTGAGATCATTATTTGATTTTACTTTCAATCCCTTCCAGCATTTTATTTGATCTGCTTCTTCATTCCAGAATAGTTCACAGTGGATTTTTAATAACCGCATATTTAACTAGCCATTAAAAGACTAACTTTACTAATAATTTTTTTACTTTTACTTACGTATATATGTAATATATAGTAAGGGTAAGTATTGCGATTGAGAAAATTTTTGAATCTGAGTTTTCAACGGAAATACACGTTTTTAGGTACCCAGAGTCGAAATGGCCAAGTCCCGAAAAATAGTCTGTGTGTCTGTATGTTAGCAGTCTAGCTAAAAAACGAAAAGTCCTACAAAACTGATATTACGTGTTAAGGTAGATTTATGCCTTAGATGTGACGGCAACTTTTTCCTTAAAATCGGCTAACCGCAAGTGCCACTTTATATCAACGCTGAAACACATTTTCACAATTTTCTCAAAAACGGCTCTAACGATTTTTATTAAACTCGGTGTATCATTGTATAATTAAGTGGTCTTTAATATCAATTAGGTCTTATCCCCATTGATGTCACTTTACAGGGCTTAAATGCCCAATGTTTATATACGTCTCCCTCTAAAGTACCTTTAATATGGTTTATTTTAAAAGTTAATCATTTCACATTATTCAGAGTTACGAAAAAATGCTAAATATAACTTTTGAAAGAATTTGATGAGTTAATAAAGGAGAAGAAAAATAAAAATGCAGAAAAACCTGCATTGCTATAGACTGTAGATCATTAAAATGGTTTTTTAAAAGTTTATGGAATTTCCTAAAAAAAACAAAAGAAAAATCATTAAGATCGGACAATTAGGAGGAAAGATGTGGTCTCTAGCTTTTTTTCAATGAAGAGGCGAAAATTTGGATAAATTTAAAATATACTTTTTTAATTGTTGAGACTAAAAAAACCTTTTTTCTACAGATATTGTATAAAGTATCTTTTCTAAGAACATTTTTCATAAGAAATAAGTACCTAAATTTATACCTTTATTCTCAGTTCTATATTTCAACACTGCAATCACCACCCTCCGGAATCAACTTACTCATATTCTGCATAGATAACTTTTTCAACTAAAAATATCACTAAAATGACATCACTCAAAAATGTTGAAATTGGAGTTAGTCATTCTGAGGTTTATAAAAGCAAAGAAAGTTGTGTAGTTTATAAAAGCAGATGGAGTGACTAGATTTTTATTGCCTACCGTCGATATATTAAATAGATATTTTGTAATTATAATGGTCTTAATGATTTGTTATCTGTAAGCTTTAAGTTTTAGCTCCGTTTAAAATGCACTTCAAAAAATTGATAATAGCCCAACATTGCCAGAAAATAATTCTATTCATAGTAGATCGGTTAGTGAAAGTTGTGTGTTGCTCGCACCAGATTTTTTTGTTGATCCATCAATATTTTTTTCATTTTTTAATCAAATAAATTTCCTATTATACAATGACTTTTATTTTAACTTCTCTACAAACAGATAGAAGCCAAGAGTCGCAGGGCCTATTCTGATTCCTATATCAATACTTCCTAGGTTTCTATCTTTTCCGATACTTTTGATCCAAAAGCTTCCTTACATCCTCAATCTGTCCACTCCTTCAACACACAATACCAGTCCCAGAACTTTCACTATTCAATAAAAATAAAAATATTATATAAAATACAATATATATAATGTAATACAATAATATTCAATAAAAAATCTTTTATTGTGCGTGCTCTACCTCATTTTGAAATTTCTCATCCATCTTCATTTATTAAACTCCATCATTGACTTAATTTAAATATTAATTATTTCTCTATATTCTTAATTATCAATTTTTCACATATATATTGATTTGTTTATGTATGTAATTTCAATATTTTAATTTATTTACACATGCTTGACTTTTATTCTATAATTTAATTTCTTAATTTTATAATTTATTCATTTCATAATTATTGTATGTAACCAGACAAATGTCTCTGGAATTGTATATTTATATTATTCTAAGGGGACCAGTGTTTCAGAATAAAATTTACTTGAAGTTTTTTATACATTTGACTAGTCATGGTGTATGACAGAAATTGGAAATTAAAGTATTGAGGACTTCAATTCTTTAAATGTACTAAATTTATTATTATTATTTAAAAATAAATTTTACAATTAGTTCAAAATATAGGTAAAATCAAACCAATATAGACAAGGACATAAACTGAGACAGACACAAACAGAAAACTTATTAGACTGAATTATTATTATATTTTATTTGAATAATTTGTAATATAATAAAATTTTAGGGCTGTGTGGAAACATCCTGTGATGGTGAATTTAAAAAAAGATTACGTTGCTTACAGCGCTCCGCCGCCAGCTAGTGGAATTATTCTCCTTCTTATTTTAAAAGTATTGGAAAGTATCATAAGCGATGATGCTCAGGCCAACATTATAGCAGTAGCGGAAGCATTTAAGTTTGCGTATGCGCTTAGAAGTGAAATAGGCGATCCCGACTTTGAGAATTTAAAAGAGGTAAAAATTATTATTTGTAACTATAGTTTTGTAATAATAAATTATTTATTTTTTTTATCAAGAAGGAGATAGTCCTGGAATCTAACGGAAAAAATGTCAAATAATTATTAATTATTTATTTAATATCAATGTTTTGACGCAACACAGGGTGTCTCATTTCTTAATGGCCAAATTCTGGAGGGTGATTCTAGACAAAATTTCCAACAAAAAAGTTCATTTGATGCATGGGCCGAGTCCGAATGAAAAAGAGTTAAGACCAATTTTGTATTGTTTTTTTTTTAAAGATTCTTATTGAACTAAAAGGAATCGCTCAAAAACTTTTCAAGACAATTAAATGCTAAGTACACCATCATAAAGTAGACAGCAATTTTATTTTTGAGAAAACTGATTAAATTTACTAAGGTCAATGACAAATGGAATTTCAGGAGGTCTAATATGGCCGCTTCATTTATCAGCTATTTCGCTATTTCGATTAAACTTTCTTCATTTTTTAGGTTAAATTTAAATACCTTTAAAACAGGTAATTATAAAAATTACAAAAAAGTGTATTTATTCTGAAATCTAATATTACCGCCTCTCCTAACTTTTTTTCAGCTTCTTTTTATTGAAGTATGTTATATAGATAAGTTTAAAGAGCATCAAGAAGAAGACTTTAGCCATGTTTCATTGAAATCGGTACATTCGTTTAGGTGCTACAGTCTATAAAAACAAAGGTTTTTCAGCCACCAACCTGAAAGGAAATAACAGAATGTTGATGTAGGAGGATCATCCTCGGATGACCTCTGACTTTGATTCCAAATTTGAAAAAAAATTAATCCAGTAGTCTCGGAGAATATGTGCGGATGGCGAATAGAAAATCAATTTTTATTTGATTTTCGACTTCTACATATCCTGAAACGTAAAACCTCAAATTTTGAGGGGGAGAGTTAACTTTTTGGACAATTACAGTGGTTCATTATTGAAAATAATAAACCAAAAAAGTAGTGCAAAAAGGATTTTTGAAATTAAATAATACCTGAAAAAAATCACTTAGATTTCAATTTGACTATTCATCTGTGTACATTCTGAGAAAGAATGTGTAGTAGACATCCCCCTGTATTTACTTCTTTAGACGACATTGTGTGAGGGAATGAGAAGGAATATATAATATATAGGAATGTGAGGACTGTGAATTGTACTCAATTGTGCAGTGGACAAATTGTTCTTTGAAAAGTCTCATATCGATAAACAATCGATGAAGAAGGAAAAAGGTCCGACCAGGTAGCAGCAGCTGGAGGAAGACGCCAGGTAGAGAAGGGTCACTTAAAGTCTGGACACGAACAAGAGAAGACATCATTTGGGAAGAGAGGCTTACTACATTGAAGACTAAGAATATCAACTCTACAGTTATAAGAATTTTATACATTCGTTTATTACAGTTGTAAAATAAATTGTTTTATTATTATTTACTCAGTCCCACATTTCAGATATATATATTCTTATTGTTTCTTCTCACTCAGTGTCACAAAAAGGTATTAGGTTCCCGAATTTCCAAAACAGTTAAACATCCTCAAAAAAAGTCTATATCCAGTGCCGGGGTTTTGTTTTAATATTCACGAGTGTAAATAACCTAGTTTCCCCGATATAAAATGGAAGGAATATTCGCTATTCCTGCTAAGAAGAAATTATTAACATTTAATTTTCTAGTCACATCCTTCAGGTTTGGTGCCATTTTCTCATAATTTTTTTATATATATTTTAGGCCAAAGGTCACCAAATATACACAGTTTTTATATCCTGTATTCTTTATTCAACGTTTCGGCTTCAGGAGCCATTTTCAAGATCCTGCAAAACTAATTTTAATTTTAGAGTGCTACCAATGGGTAGTTTCTCAACATGTCATTATATCCATGTGCGAATTTACCAGATGTATTTTTTGTATACAGTTGTAAATATTATATAAATAAATAAATAAATGATTTTAATTTAGTTTTTACAATTCGGAGTGGAGCAATGGGGCTACACTAAACCATCGAATTCCTCTCGCATCCTATCCTTACAATCCAAAATCCTTCGTAAAATCCTCAATGCTCCTTACTTTGTCACTAATAAAATAATCCATAAAGACCTCAATGTTCCATATGTTTCCAATTTGGCCAAATCCAGATACCTATCTTTCCATAATAAACTTCATAACCATCAGAATCCTCTTGTTTCTAACCTTGCTTCCTCTTCGATTGCTGATAACCCTCCGAGGCGTCTGAAAAGAAGATGGCCTCGTGATCTTCTCATGTAGACAAATTATTAGAGTGCTACCAGTAGGTAGTTTCTCAACAAGCGTGTCTCATGTAATAATATTTCTCTGTACAAATTTACTAGATGTATTCATACTAATACAGTTGTAAATATCATAATAAAAGTTAAAAAAAAAAAAAAGTTTTTACAATTCAAATACTTCCTTATCAGAAACATATTATTTAACAACCATCAGTAATACAAATAGTCCAAAATTAAATAATAAATAAAGAATACAGGATATAAAAACTGTGACCTTTGGCCTAAAATATATATAAAAAAAATTATTAACATTTAACTTTATTAGGTTATTTACAAATGTACGAGAATAAAAAGTAATTTTATCTTTTCCGAATTGTTCTATATTCATAATGAAATTGAAATTTACTGATTGAATTTAACATTCAAATATCATAACTAATGAATTAATATGACTATAGGAAAAAATGAGTAAACCTGTTTCATTTTAAATAGATTCAGAAAATGATCCCAAAACAGTTTTCTGAAACAGACACAGAAGCTACCTGGAGCAGCGCTACTGTATCTCAAAACTGCTTTGGTAGATGTTAAATGAAACAATGGCCACAGCACTATTCACAACCTATAAACAGCTGCACAGTTGACATTTTAATAACTGTTTCAGCAGCTTTTCCTTATGTCTAATTACCATTGGTTATTTCTTTTCATCTTTAAATTTATTTATTGACTTAATAAGGAGTGGGGTAGCTCAGTGGTAAGGCACTAAGCTTCCAATGCTCGAGGTCCCAGGTTTGAATCCCGGCTCATGGCAGAAAAATTATTTATTCTGTTCATTGACTGTGGGGCGACCCTGGGGTAGCGAGACCCTCCTGGGGCACACCCAGCCTCTACAAAGTGGGTACCCTTATAGCCCGTGGTACGGATCCCTTTTTATCGAATTATTAACATCCGCCTGAAATTTCGTAAATAGTTGCATCTCGTCGTAAGCTACAACTATTTTATTTACAAAAACTCTTGAAATTGGGACGTTTTCAATCTGGATGGGAGCAAACTTTGTCTATTTAATTAGACATTAAAAACTCATAAATACTCATTTGCTTTCTACCTTGATCGTAAGATAATTTGATCACACAATCAAGAAAAAGCGGGCCTTCAAAAATATTGAGCAGTTTGGTGTGACCTACACCCCCAAATTTTCAAAATAACGAGGTTATATAGGACAAATAGCCCAATATTTTTTTAGACCTTTTTTAACGATTTTGGGATCAAATTATCTTACGATCGAAGTAGAAAGTAAAGGAGTTTACTCAATATTTATGAGTTTTTATAATCTAATTAAATAGACAAAGTATGCCCCCCTCCAGATTGAAACCCTCCCCTCCCAATTCCAAGAGTTTTCATAAATAAAATAGTTGTAGGTTACAATGAGATACAGCTGTTTGTCCTATATAACCTCGTTATTTTGAAAATTAAGGGGTGTAGGTCAGCCAAACGGCTCAATATTTTTGAAGGCGACCTTTTTCTCGATTTTGGGATCAAATTATCTTACGATCAAAGTAGAAAGCAAAGGAGTATTTATGAGTTTTTAATATCTAACTAAATAGACAAGGTTTGTCGCCCTCCAGATTGAAACCCCCCCCCAATTCCAAGAGTTTTCATAAATAAAATAGTTGTAGGTTACAATGAGATACAATGATACAGCTGTTTGTCCTATATAACCTCGTTATTTTGAAAATTAAGGGGTGTAGGTCACGCCAAACGGCTCAATACTTTTGAAGGCGACCTTTTTCTCGATTTTGGGATCAAATTATCTTACGATCGAAGTAGAAAGCAAAGGAGTATTTATGAGTTTTTAATATCTAATTAAATAGACAAGGTTTGCCCCCCTCCAGATTGAAACCCCCCCAATTCCAAGAGTTTTCGTAAATAAAATAGTTGTAGGTTACGATGAGATGAAACTATTTACGAAATTTCAGGCGGATGTTAATAATTCGATAAAAAGGGGTCTGTACCACGGACTATTAATTAAATAATTGATTAAGGGGAAAAACCTGGCGATTGAGGGTGTTCCTGCCTGATCCCCTCCCTGCACAACTGTTGCCCTTGAAACAGCGCTTTTCTTAAATAGTACTGAACCCAAGAAAGAACGAACCTTCATGGGTTGTAGAGGCACATTTTTTTTTTTTTTTTTATTGTCTTGATATGTTATAATTTGTAATTAAAACTTTGATGCTAAATTGACATTTTATCAGCAATATTAAGCACAAAAAAATTTTTTTTGTCACAAAGTTGATAAAATATTTTGTAGATGTAATGTAGTTTTACAATTATAATCATAACTCCTTTGGGGGTAAAGATCTTGTTAATTGAAAATTAATTATTTATTATTGACAATACAAAGCATTTTTACTATAGTGAAAAAGTAATAATAATATTACAAACTGATAAACATAAAAATGTTTATTTTTATTGTATATATATATATATATATATAAACAACATAAAGAACTCAAAAACTGTTTGCACATGCTTCTTTTAGTGATTTTATTTATTAATTTTAGATTATGAGTAAAATCGGTTCCGACTGTTATTTATCTGAAATAAGAGATAAGATATTAAAGACCAGAAGAACGATGAATCTCCCAGAAGATTATGGTGCTAAATTTACGACACCCGATGATCATGGTACGGTGAATATTGTTGTCCTAGCTCCAAATGGTGATGCTGTGTCTGTAACAAGTACTATAAATACTTTGTAAGTTTCAGCATTTTTTATGTTTTCAGTTTATTAAGCTATTTAGACAAACAAAATACAGTAATAACTAAACAATAATTAATCCACAGGTGTTTTATATTTTTGAAAAAAAAATTATTTATTCCTTTATGAAGAATTTATTTAATAATTAATTAAAGGGGAAAACCCGGTGGTTGAGCATGATCTCCGCCTAATCACCTCTCTGCACTAACTACTGAACCCACGACCCTTTATGGGTTGTTGTAGTATAGATTTAGTTTAGGTTAAGTTGACCAGACGTAGATGTCCTGCTTTTGGCAGAACAGTCCCTATTTTCAACAATTTGTCCTGCGTTCCACGGCATTTTCAAAAAGTCCCAATTTTTGGAAAGAATGTATGAAAAGCTAGGGAATGGGAAGAGATTACATGGTTTTCGATGGCCATATAGCTATTTCGCCAGGATATGAGTTTTATATTATTTTTGTTGATTTTATAACGAGAACTGCTTTGCAAAGTTTGCATTTTTGATCACCTGTTAGAATTTGACTACCATTTTATGGACTTAATGATAATAAACAATCTCAAAATGATCTTTTTAATGAGATATAGTTATTAAAAAAATATATCGATAAGAAAAAGGTTAAACTTGGGCATTAGAAAATTAACTTCATTTACTACTTTGATTACCGAAATGTAGTCACCTTCAATCACTTTTTAGCATTTTGAAAAAGATCTGCTTGATTGTGTACAAACTGCTGTCACAAAACATATGTCTTAAAAACTGTGTTATTATTGAATCATAAATTAGATTTTAATACATCATCAAATTATTGGCTCCCAAAAATCCGTCCAGAACTAAATTCTTAACCGTAATCAGTTGAATACTACGTCATCTAATTAACATTTGCACTTGATAATTTATTTTTTATTGTTCCTCTCTTTTTTTTTAGGCTCTGCGGGGATTTTCCCAGGCTAGGGGAGATAGGGATTAATTCCCCAGAGTTAAAAGCCTCTCTGAACCACGATGCGAACTTGTAATTATTTTATATCTTGTAAACTTGGTTTATCAATCATCTGGTTGCTAGGAACATGTTTCGTATACCATTGGTCTGCTCGGCCGCACCAGATTATCATTATTTAAAATTAATTATTGTAACAACAAATTTGAAATATTTTTCTTCAGACTTAATGAAACCAAATTTTTAATCATGAACCCTCTGGTCAACAATCGTGTCCCGCTTTACGAATGTTAAAATCTGGTCACATTTGTTTAGGTCGTTTCCAGTTCTAAAGGATTTGTTTTTTTTTATTAAGAATATTCGAAGCTGGAATAAAGAAAAACAAATATAGGTAGATGTTTATTAACCTTTCAAGGATAAGAATTTTTTTTCCTGAAAAAAATTTGTTTTTATGTATTTGTGTTTATTAATGAAAATGTGAGAATACACAAAAATTGTTTAAAAAAATGAAGAAAAAAAAAACGTATTTACCCTTTACTCATAATTGTCTCTGTTTGGACGGTTATTGCCTCGATTAAATAAAAATAATTATCACAAAAATAGGGTTTAAAGTAGAGGTACTGGAAAAATATTGAAATATCAATATTTTGGCCAAAATTTATTATTTCGATACATCAATATTAAAATTTGACTAACGACAACTGACAGTTTTCAAGAGAAAAAAAAAAATTAAAAATATATACAAGGAACACATAACATTATATATAAGCATTGCCAGCTTTAACATTCTCATTCTAGTGGTGTCAGTTTGAATCTGGCCTGGCAGCTTGAGAGGGAGAAATACTTTATTAAAATTAATGCTGCCCTACTTACATTGGGTTCATAGACTGCATACTTATCAATCCACATGGACATAACTATGCTATTACATTTTTCTATTTTTATATATACATATCTTTTTTTTTTTTTCTCTCCCTTTTCATAACACTAGTCCTATAAAGTATCAACAATAAACCTTACTAAGCTATAAACATTGCATAACATATAGATTTAAAAAAAAAAATTTCAAATGCCAGAAATTCAACACTATATCGCACACATATATACCAAAGTAATTCACTAATATAGACAAAAAGATAAGACGTGATAAACAATATTAAAATTCAATAAATAATTAATAAAAGATATCCTCAATTACTATATAAATGATAGTGGATGATCCCAGGGAGTCCAAAATAATATTCTTGGCCAATATCGCAAGCTCCCCAACATCAATACCTAGTTCCTCAAGGAAGCTCCTTGTTCTTTTTGAGAGACCCTAACCAGAGGCCTCTCACGGTGAACTCTTTCTCTCTCCGAAGGTCTCACAGAATTTTTCTTTTAGAAAGGGATACATTTGTCGTATATGTTCTTCTTTCCCTTTCCACTTCACCCGCCTGATCAAGGTTATTGCTCTCAAAGCGGACAGTTGGATCCAAGTCCCTCCTGTTCTGGGAAAGTAGACAGTATCCGGATACCTTGTAGAGCCTTCGCTGTCATGCAATAGACCTCGTCAAAGCAGGTGAAATTAATTTTCTCTAAGGAGCCTTATCACCTTGAACTTGACCTATGATGCCGGCGTGTTATAGGAGGGAGTTGTTGGGGCATATTTTATGGTGGACCCATGGAATAGATCTCGACGTTCTCAGTCTGGTTAGAATATGGTTTGTTGTACCTTTATAGTCTGTGGTATAGATCCATTTTTATTCAATTATTAACATCTGCCTGAAACTTCGTAAATAGTTTCATCTCATCGTAATCTACAACTATTTTAATTTTCTCTTAAACTCTTAGACTTGGGGTGTTTTCAGTCTGGAGGGGGGTAAACTTTGTCTATTTAATTAGCTACTAAAAACTTGTAAATACTCATTTGCTTTTTTCATGGATCGTAAGATAATTTTATCACATAATCGAGGAAAAAGGTGGCCTTCAAAAATATTGAGCCGTTTGGCGTGACCTATACCCCCAAATTTTCAAAATAACGAGGTTGTATAGGACAAACGGCCCAATATTTTTGTAGGCCACTTTTTTTCTCGATTTTATGATAAAATTATCTTACGATCAAAGTAGAAAGCAAATGGATATTTACGAGTTTTAGTACCTAATTAAACAGAAAAAGTTTGCCCCCCCCCCAGATCGAAAAGCCCCAATTCCAACAGTTTTCGTAAATAGTTGTAGATTACAATGAGATAAAACTATTTAAGTTTCAGGTGGATGTTAATAATTCGATAAAAAGGGGCCTGCACCTAGGACAACTAGAACAATCCCCTCTTTCTCTCTCTCTCTTCCCATATGGCGAGGTAGGAGTAAACAAAAAAAAATTGTAACAAAATCCGATAAAAGCTAATAATTTTTTCTTAATTATTTGCACTATAGATGTCTTATTTTGATATCCTCTCTGTTCGAAAGTGTTATATTTTTACTTACTTAAGAGTAGTTTTTGACTTATTATTATTTTGTTAGAAAGATAATTTTTTTCTCACTTGCAGATTTGGTTCATTGCTTGCCTCTGAAAATACTGGCATAATACTTAATAATGAAATGGATGATTTCAGTTCTCCGAATATTATCAACTCATTCAATTTACCCCCTTCGCCTGCAAATTATATAAAAGGTGGGAAAAGGCCATTAAGTTCCTCTTGCCCAACGGTGATTGTTGATAAGAAAGGAGATGCTCATCTTATCACCGGCGCAGCTGGTGGAACGCACATAACTACTTCTACAGCTCAAGTATAGTCTTATCTTTTTCGAACAATTTTCATAAACAACAGTAAAATAAATAATTTAGTAATGTAGAATGTTACCCTTCAAAACAGTCTCTTATATTTTATCTACAAATTTAATGTGTTAACAATTCATAATAATTGTTATAGGAAGTCTGCGTAATCTGAAAACTGTGTTTTTCTTTTATTCACTTTAATGTCGTCGGTATTGTTTATTGAAATTTTATCAGTTATAGATTGTTGTTACTTTTGAGATCTCAAGGTAAAAATGAACAAAAGATAGAGAAAGCTCTTGATTCAATAGTGAGTTGTTACTATAAATAATTGACATTTTTAATAGCTGATAATCATTATCAAGGGCTTTCTTACCTTCTTTTTTCATTTTCCTATCATAAGATTATTCATTATTTATATTTATAGTGTAAATTACTAAAAATCGTAACTTCCGAGGCAAATTAAACAAATAAAAAATAAATATTTATTTCAAAGGTATCTTTAAATAAGAACAATAATAAAATTCTGCTCTGTTTTAATATAGGTAATCATGAATTTTTTATGGTTTGATTTGAGTATCAAGCAAGCGGTAGACATACCTCGAATACACCATCAGCTGTTTCCAATGGCCCTCAGATATGAAGAGGGTATAGAAATGGTGAGTATTGAACTGTTATATATTTCCTCCCGAGTGGTATACATAAATCATAATTTAGTACTAGTAAAATTTAATATATATCATTTGCTAATAGACATTCTTTTCTATCTCAAGTTGATTGTTATTAAGTAATTAGACTGCATTTAGCAGAATTTAATCAATAACAATAAAAGATGGACAAATGAAAAAGAGGTATTTTTTAATGGCATTAATGTTTACTATTTCAGCAGAAAAGAACCATCTCTTAGTTTAAGTATCTTCAATGGAAAATTAAAGTTAACAGAAAATATTGCAACAAAAATTTGACAAATCACAAGAAATTAATCTTGAATATTTAATAGTTGACTATTGCATTATAAATAAGGAGATGATCTGGGTCGGCGGTCATAAATAGGCTGAATAGCGGCAAAACTATTTTATTAAAAGCCAACGTTTTGACCCGACTTTGCAGGTCTTCTTCAGTGCTAGAACAGACAAGATACAAAAAGATAAAGAATTGTTGAAGTTACATAATATTATGACAAAAATTTATCAATGTAAATAAGCTTATTAAAATTATAAACAATAGGTACATTAAAATATAAACAGAGTAATCTAAGTAACAAGATCCTAAACTGAAGTAAATAGATGGTAACAATTGTTGTAGTGTAATATATAATATATGCAAATGTGAATATACTTCTACAGATCTACAGAAGAGATTGAAAGAAAAGGAAAAAGGATATAATAGACTTATGTCCTTTATAGGAATGTGGAGAAAGAAAACCAAAAAATAAGTAAATAAAATTAGAAGAATAAAAATAGAGACTTACAGGTGTGTTCAGCTAGAAGTTTCACTTAGAACTGGAAAATCTACAATGGCAGGTATTATGGAATTTGCTGACTTGTTTGGGTAATGGGGAAAATTCCGAACAATAACAAGTCAGCTAATTTCCTAATACCTGTCATTGTAGATTTTCCAGTTCTAAGTGAAACTCTGAGCTGAACACACCGATTAGTCTCTATTTTTAGTCTTCTAATTTTATTTACTTATTTTTTGGTTTTCTTTCTCCACATTCCTATAAAGGACATAAGTCTATTATATCCTTTTTCCTTTTCTTTCAATCTCTCCTGTAGATCTGTAGAAGTATATTCACATTTGCATATTATATATTACACTACAACAATTGTTACCATCTATTTACTTCAGTTTAGGATCTTGTTACTTAGCTTACTCTGTTTATATTTTAATGTACTTATTGTTTATAAATTTAATAAGCTTATTCACATTGTTTATAATTTTTGTCATAATATTATGTAACTTCCACAATTCTCTATCTTTTTGTATCTTGTCCGTTCTAGCCCTGAAGAAGACCTGCAAATTTGGGTCGAAACGGTGGCTTTTAATAAAATAGTTTTACCATTATTCAGCCTATTTATGACCGTCACCCCGGACCATCTCCTTCCTTTTTAATAAATTAATCTGTTTGTTATTTGATGAGGAAGAGTTATTTTGTAATTTTTGGAATGATCTGTGTTGCATCCAATTTTCTTGCCAAAACTTGAGGATTGACAGCCTATGCGGAAATTTCTCATGGGAAAGGGATGCAATGTCAACTGATATAATTGAAATCAAAACCTTTATTGGGCCGTTATATATTGTAGGAATGCATTAAGCCGGAAGAAAAAATTTGGATGATTTGTGGGACTCAAGTGGCACAATTGAGTCCAAGGTTGGAATCAAAATCCTTTGATCACTAAGATTTGACAACCGAGAAACACGTCAACAAAGTCAAGAAATAGACCTACTTGCACCTATCTGGGACATATTTGAACTATATCAGAAACTGCCAATCTTGTTATTTAGTTGGAGCAGACGTGACTATCGATGAGAAATCCTTTAGAGGCTGATGTTCATGTTTGTATCCAATTTAATTCTATTATAATTGTTCCAAGTATTTAGTGATTTTTGTATCTCTTTTCCACTTCGGAGCAGTGAAGGATTTTGATAAACGATGTGTTGAAAGATACCGAATTTTATAAAGGACTAACGAATCCCGATTTGAGATATATAATTAGCCTACAATAAAAATGTCAGCACTCAGTGGACACAAAATTTGATGCTCTACAACTTTGTTTTTATGGATTTTTTCCTCTTAGGGAACTCATTTCCATGTTATAGGGCCATTTATAGTAAGTAATTTGTCTCTGTTTTTGACAAATTTGATAAAAACCAGCGTTGGTTGACCATGGTTTTAAACCTAACTGCTTTACCAAATTATAAAGTTTATGTTCTCGCTCGACAAAAACTTTTATTTTTCTTTAATCTATTAAAAAATCAATTTTTCACTTTGATGCATCATTTAGGATCTATAGGCAAAAAAACAAAAAAATATCGAAAAAATCGTGACTTTTTTGGCTATATAAAGTTTTCCCTTGGTGGCCCGCGTTAGCAATTCTGTTTTTTACATGTCTAAACCCAACCCATATAATCAAGTTAAAAAAATAAAAACTTTTCTCACATTTTTCGCAATGGATTTCCCGTTTCAATCCTCAAATTACTGGCATAATATTCTTTAAAGCAGCCACCATTTTTTAAAGCAGCAGCTCTGGAACAGCAGACAAAGTTGTTTTTACTCAGAATAACATAAACTTTCGTAATTTACAATCAAACCTTCGTATTTTGAGCCCTGGCTCCAGGGCTAGTAGTGTGCATGGAGAATTTTTCTTTACAGTTATAATTTCCTTATCATAATAAATTTGCAATATTCCATTCGTTATCACGTATTATCCACAATATATTAATTAATTTTTTCATTTTCTTAAAATTTAATAAAAAAATAATAGTGGTTAAATAGTTGACTGTCATGAATAATGAAGAGAAGAATAGTTGGGGTGAAGGCAAAAATAAATGATAATATTTATTTTGTCATTTGCCGATGTTTTGACCTGAAGTTCAGGCCATCATCAGGGCTAAGAAAAGAACCAGATAACAAGGTATGAGAAACATAAAAATTAAAGTAAAATGCAGTTGTTAGAATAATGACAATAGTAAGAACAAGGGATAAATAATAATAACCAGTACAAAGTGTGGAATGATGAAGTAAACGTAATCAGAAAGGTGACGTAAGTATTGAAATGGGAATCTTCGAATAAAATGTAAAACAGAAAAATATGAAGTTATATATGAAATAGAAATAAATAGTAAAATTAAGATATTGTGAATAGAATAGTTAGATAGAAAATTGAGATGTTGTAAAGTCTATCAAGATGTACAGACAACGTATAATATAATAAAGAGTTAAAACAGAGAAAATGAATGAAAGGAAGGAGGAAACAAACTGAGAAGGTTGAAATAAGAAAGAGAATAAGATAGAAAAAGAAAAAAAAACACACCTGACTGCTTGAAGTAAATCGAAGCAATGATCATGTTATTCAAGGAGGGGGGTGGATAGAAGGGATGTATAGTGGCATCATCTCCAACGGTTATCTGACGAAGTATGAACTAAAGTACGGGAAGCGTAAATAAGGACGAGAGATATATTATTCATAAATATTATGGATAATAAAACTAAAGTTGATAGAAAGAGGCAATAAAATAGTTTAATATAAATTTTTTTTTTATTTTAATGAAATTTATAACTGTATTACATTAAAAATACAACAAGCAAATGTGACATTGGTAACATGGCATGTAAAACATGAAGAGAAACTACCCATTGGTAGAACTCAAATTAAAGTTCTATATTAGAAGATCCCGAGGCCATCTTCTTTTCAGATGCCTCGGAGGGTTATCAGGGATCGAGGAGGAAGCAAGGTTTGAAACAAGAGGGTTCAGATGGTTCTGCAGTTTGTTATGGAAGGATAGGTATCTGGATTGGACCAAATCGGAAACATGTGGAACATTAAGGTCTTTATGGATGGTTTTTTTGTGACAAAGTAAGGAGCATTGAGGATTTCATGAAGGATTTTGGATTGGATACGAGAGGAATTCGATGGTTTAGTGGAGCCCCAGAGCTCAATTCTGTAAGTCCAAATAGGTCTTATTATTGTCATATATACGTGTCGTTTGTAATTGATTGAAAGCTTAGAGCCTTTGTCTAGTAAGAGTTGGAGTAGTCGGAAACGTCGAGTGGTTTCTTGTCGTTTCAGTCTTGTATGAGGATTCCATGTGAGTCGTTTGTCGAGGTGGAGTCCTAGGTAACGGATTTGTTCAACTGGGATAAGTGGGGAATTGTTAAAGAATACTGTAGGACAGGAGGCCATAGGTTTGCGACGCAAGGTAAAGGTAATTTGATGAGATTTATTGGAGTTTATTTTAATCCTCCAGTTTTGACATCATTCTTCAAGACTTTTGATGTGTGATTGGAGAGTTTGGGATGCAATTGATGGATCGTTGTTAACTGATAGGATACATGTATCATCGGCATATAATATAAAATAAATTTATAAGAAATAAATTATAAATAATAAATAAATTTAAATAGTTGATAGAAATTCTGGAGAGGCAATAAAACGAAGATAATTTCTTTTTCTTAGCCCTGATGATGGCCTGAACTTCAGGTCGAAACGTCGGCAAATGTCAAAATAAATATTATCATTTATTTTTGCCGTCTTATTTGACTGAACACCCTAACTATTCTTTTCTTCATAATAAAAAAAATTTTTTTTCTGAGTTTGTTAAACAGTAATTTTTCAATTTTTGCATTGTATATATTTGTCCTACAATGTTGAAATAAATATATAAATTTTATTAAGTGTAATTCATAAAACATGATTGTCGTAAAATACTTGTTTATAATAAGATTAGTTTGATTTGCCAACAGAAATTATTGCAACGGGCGAAGCACGCCGGACACAAGATTAAGAAAGTAGGACCAAGCTCGTCAGTAACAGCCATCGCTAGAAAACGAGACCAAATAACAGCATCTTACGATTATAGGAGAGGAGGTTCAACAGCTGGCTTTTAAAAATATTAAGAAATAAACATTTCTTACACGTTTTTGATCTAATAATTTATATTAACTGTTTTGGAGATTCTTCATACATTTTTTTATCTAATAACTTTCAGGAATTTAAATAATAATAATAAAGGAATTTGAGTTCACCGTGAGAGGCCTCTGGTTTGGGTCTCACGGAACAATTCCAAAAAGAACAAGGATCTTTCTCGAGGAACTAGTTGTCGACATTAAGGACGTAGCAAGGTTGGCTGAAAATATAGTCCTCGACTCCCTGGGAATCATTCACCACCACATGCATGGCTAGCCCTAGAGTTTTAATTTATGTATTTATTTAATGAATAATTAAAAACAATAGAGATAAAGAGAGAGAAGTGAGAGAAAGGTAAACTAAATGTTAAAAAAAAAAGCATGAACAATGAAAGTAAGGAAAAAGGAAAAGAAAAAGAAAAAAATGTATACATATATATCTATTTTACTAATATTAACTAATACTTCTGTATATTTCTGTATACTTCTGTATAAGTTCATTCATTGTCCTAAGCATAGAAGAGTATGCTGTGTATATAGCAACCCAATATAATTGGGCAGTAATCTTTTATATTTTATGAAAATAAAATGTTTCTCTCTCTTCAGAATTCCATAAAAACTATACTCAATTTTCAACAGAAAAGTTCATCCATTTTCAAGAAAAAACTTTCCTTATTCAGTTTTGTTGATCTAAAAATATTTCTTTTTAGTGAAAAAATCATCGTCACCATTTAAGATCATAAAACTTAATTTTTTTTATTTTCACTTTATCCACATATTAAAATATTTATATTTACTGAATATAGGGATATAAGTAATTTGACAAGATCAAATTCAACAACAAATAAGGCATAAAAACATTATGATCACTAGTACATTTTTAAAATTTTAATATAAGTAGATAATGAACTTTATGATGCAATTTGAAGAAGAAAAAAAATCAATAAATTAGATTAGTATATGTAAGTAGTGAATAATAATGTTAATAATTACTGAATGAAAAAGATGTATCAAGATCATTATTAAAAATTTGAGGAAATATATTAATTAGGAAACAGTTTTCTTTTCTGCTCTTATATCTTTGTTCATTTTATATCTGAGAACTTATAATACAAAACAGTTTAGTAATATTTGTACACTTTTGAGTTATTTGCAAATAAAATTCTGAAACCATCATTACATTTTTTCCAGCTTCCTTTAGGGGAAGTATATTATGTATATAAATTAAAAGAGCTTCGAGAAGACTTTAGCCAAGGTTTCATTAAAATCGCTATAACAAAAATCTTTTCAAAATGAAAAATGGTCTACCGATGGGTGGGCGCATGTCAATCAATCTCTCTGGCATATATCTCAGTAATCTACTGGATAATAAGATGCTGGAATATGGTATTAGTGCGCACCATCTGTTTGTGGACTTTCAGGCCGCGTTTGATTCTGTAAATCGAGAGATGCTCTATAAGGCAATGAGGGAGATGAATATACCGTCCAAGCTGGTCCAAATGGTAAGAGTGGCCATATCCAACTCTAAATGTCAAATTAAGATCCAGTCCGATCTATCAGATCTTCTACAAACAAGGAATGGATTGAAGCAAGGAGACGGCTTGCCTTCTATTCAACCTAGGTCTAGCGAAAGTGATTAGAGGATTTGCAGATACAAGTAGGCGGGCATATTTTCAATAAAGTTGTTCAGATGAAATAATAAACAGATAAATGATTTTAGTTGTAATCAAAACATGAAAATTAACTAAAACAATAAATTTAATAAAGAACTGAATTTTAAGGACAAATTATTTTAAAATTGAAAATGTTGTACAGCAGAAAAATTACATGGTAGATATGACAAAGATGCAGAATGAAAATTATATGGAAAACAAACAACTCCCTAAAGAATATTTAAGCAATATGATGTAAATTAAATTAAATTTACAAGCAAACCAATTAATAAAATTTGTTGGAAAACTAAAGATAAAATACTTACAGATAAATTAACAAATATAATTTATAAAAAATGTAATGATAAATCATATTATGGACAGACATCACAGTGGTTTGAAAAAAGGCTTAAACAACATAAACAAATATGTAATTTAAAAAACTAAATTAGCTACCAGGATTTCTCAACATACTATGCAAACAAAACACGAATTCATTTTAAAAATGCAGTAGTTCTTCATAATGAAAATAATACTTATAAACTTATAATAAATGAATCAATATTAATATAAAAAAAACTTGAAAGATTCAGTAAATAATTGATATTATCAATATCAATATCAATTGATATTTACAACTGTATACAAAAAATACATCTAGTAAATTGGCACATGGATATAATGCCATGAACACATGTTGAGAAACTACCCATTGGTAGCACTCTAATAATATGTCTATATTAGGAGATCACGTGGCCATCTTCTTTTCAGACGCCTCGGAGGGTTATCAGGAATTAATAGGAAGCAAGGTTAGAAGCGAGAGGTTTGGGATGGTTATGAAGTTTAGTATGGAAGGACAGATATATGGATTGGGCCAAATCTGATACATAAGAAACATTAAGGTCATTGTGGATGATTTTATTTGTAACAAATTAAGGAGCATTGAGGAATTTATGAAGGATTTTGGATTTTAAGGATTGGATACGAGAGGAAGTTGAAGGTTTGGTGGAGCCCCATAGCTCAACTCTGTAAGTCAAAATAGGCCTTATTATAGTCATGTAAATGAGTCTTTTATAATTAATTGGAAGGTTAGAGCGTTTGTCTGGTAAGTGTTGGAGCAATCGGAAATGTCGAGCTGTTTCTTGTCGTTTCAGTTTGGTATGAGGATTCCAAGTTAGACGTTTGTCCAGGTAGAGTCCTAGGCAGACATTGATAATTTAAATACGTTTTATGACAGTAAAATAGAAAAAATTAAAATGAATAGCTAATATTGCTCAAAATAGATCCACATAACATATAAACAAGTATCATGAAAAAAAAATATTATCTTGAACCTTCTCTACTCCTATAATATCGAGTAGTCGCTCAGTAACAATTGAATTGATAATATTGGGAGCTTACATAGAAAACGGTAAACATTTTTACAAATTTCTTAATATAATAAATGGACAAGACGATTGTGAAAACTAACCTGTTATAAGATGACACATGTTCTTACAAAAGAAATGCAGTAAACTAGGACATAATAGGTAAATATAAATTTTGTATTTCAACATATATGAATGTTTTTAATTATATAAATGATTCTACAAACAATTATGCAAGAAAAATTAACAACAAATATTTCTATTGTAAGAGAAGGAGTTGACCCGCACCCTCCGATCAACTCCTTCTCATATTATACCACGGTCAACCATCTCTAAATCATTCAAAAAATATTGTAAATAATCGTAATATGGAAAATTTGTTTTTAATATCTGAAAATGGGTCGATCAGCCAAAACGTCATCATTCCAAAATAAGGATTGGAAAAAAAAAATGATTAGTGTACTATTGGCTTAATGAAGTATAAACTAAAAAATCGTTATAGTTGTTTTGGCACTGGTCAATAGCTACACATTTTTTGGCTACCATTTCGAAACGAAAGGCCGGATGATAATGAAGCGTATATGTAACATCGTATCAAAATTTCAAAGCAATCAGTGAAAAGCAGTTTTGAAAAACATACATTAACATTATTTATATACTCTTTTTTTTCATAATTTTTTTATCGATAACACTAAAACTAAAGCACATCGATATCTACTAAACACAAAAAGAAAATCGGTTGCGAAACAGAGGAGAAAAAATAACTGAACTACAATTGCCTATTTATAGTATGATTACTGAATGTTCAATTTTATTTCTTTGTTACTGTTTGCTTTGTAACTTCCTATATAGTTATTTTATTTATAATAATGTATCATATATTTTCTATTAATTAATTAGTGACTTTATTTCTCACTACTTATGTATCCTAATCTAATTTATTGAACTTTTTTAGATATATTTTCATAACTTGTCATTACTTACAGTACTTATATATTTTAATTTATTCAACATAACTTAATTTTTATTAACTTCTTAAAATTTATTTATAAGCGGATATCAAATAATTTTGGTTTTCACATCTCTTCATAATAGTATTTTCTGTTTGTTATATTGTATTTCTTCAGCTCCGATGAAGACCTAAAACTTAGGTCAAAACGGTGTTACAAAATAAAATAATTTGTTTTTATTTCTGTTTTCCACTTAATTAACTTCTCAACCGTATAAATTATTTCATAAATGATCTAACATTACTGGCCAGCTAAAATCCATAGCACAATGTTATGCTGGGATAATAATACCAGAAAGACTCAGATGGTAAGCTACAAACTTTATATTAATTGAAATAACAATATATTAATATAACCTTTCTAAGATTTCAGCTATAATTTAATCAGTGAAAATGACAAAAGTAAATATCTCAAACATAGTTTTTCCAAATATTAACAAAATGTTGGTGATCCACTACATATATCTAATAGTTGACCAATCGTTAAAATTCTTTGAATGGGTGAATGCATTGGTTATGGACTTTAAATGTAAATAATAAGCTTCCTTGTTGATTTAAAGATTCCAGTTTTTTCTTGATAAGAGAACAATGCCCTCTATTGACTATTGTCTGAATAAAGTGCCCAAAAGAAAATTTTAAAATGCCTATCACTGTTGTTTCTACAGTGTGTTTCATACTTTTCTACTAATGGTTTAATAAAGATTTTAGAATTTTTCTGACGTATGTCTATTACTACTAGAACAATTGAATTTCGGGGTGTCCATCACTAATGCAAAAAGGTCTTTTAATGGAGACTAACTACATATTTTTCAATTTAAAACTGTTAAATAGAAACAGAATATCCTAGGGATTCTAAATATCCAACATGAAAGTTTATAACTATAATAATTATGGCAGCATAAGCCAAAAATTTCCTTAGCCATATCATCACAGCTGCGCTTACCCAACAGCATATAACCTAACTTGAATGCGAATATATCGAAAAGCTTATTTGGTAAATTTACATTTGTCATTCTCATAGATTCAATTCGAGGCAAGAAGACCATCATCGCAATAAAGAGTCAACAAATATTTTTCAGGCATAATTTCAACCTGATCGAGAAGATAATGTGTGAAACCATAGCACAATCATTGGATTCAATGAAGGATTAACTATGATATGGCGAGCCATAAAAAAATCGCCTTTGAGAAATATTGTATAAAGATATTTTTAAATATTTTATAAATAATATCTGAGTATAAGGGGGAAAAAATTAGTTTTAATTGAGTGTCACATGTATTCATCCTCTGAATGTGATTTCCTAGTAGTAATAGTAGAATATAAAAAAAAAAAAGTCTGCACTACTAACTATACTTTCCAATAAGATGACTCACATGTAAAAAAAAAAAAAAAGAAGTGACTTATACATTGAATGTTATTATAATTTTATTATATATTTATTTACATCCAAGCCTAAAAGTTCTTTTTTAACTAGAACTACAGATAACAATAATATAATATTTACAATGTTACAGCAAGAACCTGACAGTATACAAACAAGCCTGATTCTAATTTATTTTATAATTATGTACATAAAATAGACTTTAAAAAAAAACAAGAGATAATAATTTTTTAAGGCTTTACAGCGATAGCTATTCACATTTACTCTTAACTGTTACCATAATCATATTGGTTTGGTGGATTAAGTATAAAGCACTAACGAAAACAGCATTTCCCCTGAAAATAAAAAAAAACATTACATATAATAGATTTGTAAAAATAAAATAAAAAATCATTGGTTAAAACTATTGTTTAGGTATTATTAAAGGAATAAATAAGCATAACAATCAAATTTATTTATGAGAAGGAGTTGATCGGGGGGTGCGGTCAAATTCATAATAAATTAAACAAGTAGAATTATTTAATTTTTGCTGACGTTTCGACCCACTTTGCAGGTCTTCATCAGTGCTACAAAAGATACAAAACATGATGAAAATAAAATAAATGAATATAAGTAGATATAAAATAAGAATAAGTTGTCAGACACAGAAATAAAAAGATGATATCAGAGATATAGTGGGCGACAATAAAGTTAAAATATCAAGTATTATATGTAGAAGATACAAACAAAAATGGAAAATAAGTATGAATAAAAATAGAAAATAAAGGAGCATAATAGCATGTACGTTAAAAGTAAACAGATTGCGATAAAAGATAAGGGATGAGTGTATAATAAACTAATAGAGATTACATTTGATAAATGTAGGTTAACAAATAAATAGATTGTAAATTGAATAAGTATGAATAAAAGTAGAACATAAAGCAGCATATATCATGTAAGTTAAAAGTAAACAGATAGCGATAAAAGATAAGAAATGAGTGTATAACAAACTAATAAAGATTATATTTGACAAATATAGGTTAACATATAAAGAAAATGAATGTTAACGGATTGTAATAGATTGTAAATTGAATAAGTACTGATAGAGTAAAGCTAAAATAAGAATAAGATAACATAATATAAGATATCAGTGGATAAAAAGCTAGCAGAGGTTACATTTGGTAACAGAGCTAACCATCTCTACATCAAATTTATTTATTTTTAAATGACAGTTATGAAAATAATCCAATCACAGGGTGGCTACCAAACAGTTAAAGTAAAATTCTCCGACTTTTTTCCATTTAATGATAATTTTCTCTAACCAATATGTCTGGGAACATAAATATCAAAAATGTATAATTTATAACTAAATGTATTTATTTATAACAAATATAATGTTTTAGAGGAAGTATTTTTTAGGCTTGATTAGAATTTTTTATTTTAGGAAACTAACATTTAGTCATTTATTTTTATCGCTTTTATTTTATTTTCATGAACTGAGAGGAGGTAGAAGTTGATGCTTGACATTTAAAGCTCTAATTTTCTCCATTATAAAATACAATGAGCTACCGGGGATTTTAATATTAATGTGGTTTCTCATTTGTAACTTAGTTTCTTTACTACTATAAACAGCATAATAATTATCCACATTACTAACTATGCAATTTCTGGTTATGAAATGCTCTTTTAAAGAGCACCACGGGTCGAATGAAAGAGTGCTTGCCAGCCAGATGTATATATTGTAATGCACACCTTTATTGCAAGTGGGTAAAAAGGGTTTAATAAATTAATGTTTAACAGTTAAAAGGCAAGCTAATCTAGTTCTGCTAGTGCATGGAAAATAAAATGGCTGCTCTGTAGTTTCCCAAGAAGGGAAATCCCAAAGAGGAGAGGGACAAAGGTTTTTGTTTTGGCAAGAGTAGTTGTTGTGTGACTGCAGTGAAGAGAGGATAGGAGAAGTGATCCTGGCTCCAGTGGGTAAAACCCAGTAATAGTATTACCACCTTGGAAGTACAAGAGAGAGTATCTCCCACGGAGCTTGAGTTGAGTAGATAAAAGTGTTACCATTTTGGAAGATGTGTTGGCAGAACATAGGAAAAATTAAAAGATAAATGAATTTAGGGCAACAAAGGAAGAAACAGTATATATAGAAAAAAGGTTAGCTTGCCAATCCATATTTGATTTTATTTTAAAATCAAACAGGGTTTAGTATAGTTAATTTTAGTTTGTCCGAGCATTTTGATCTGACTGTCAGTAACCCATACCTGAGATAAATAAATATATTAATACTCTTATAATATTGTTTTTTATTTAACAACTTCTTATTTATTTGGAAGTATTCCAATAGTATAAAGTGAACTTCCACGAGGTTATATTATTATTTGTAAAATATAAGAGAGATGTTACAACATATAAAGCTCTAATTTTCTCTATAATAAAATACAGTGAGCTACCGGGGATTCTAATATTAATGTAGTTTCTCATTTGTAACTTAGTTTCTTTATTACTATAAACAGCATAATAATTATCCATATGACACCAACTATGCAATTTCTGGTTAAGAAATGCTCTTTTAAGGAGCACCACAGGTCGAATGAACGAGTGCTTGCCAGCCAGATCTTGACTCAGATGTATATAATACAAATAGCAAATAGCGTTGGTATGTTTTTCTTTTAAAAAAAATACTGTTTTAAGTACATTTTATTTGAATTTCATTCATTACTCTTGTTTGATGTCAATATAACAACCAGTGCTGTTATTGACAGTCAAAGGTAGATGAATATAGTCATTGTGGTCGTTTATAACGTTTCTATATAATGAAGTTTGCCCCATAAACGGTATCCACCGTATATTTTATTCGAATTTTAAAAAAAACAGACATACTAAATAAATTCCCTGACTTTTCCAGGTCAGTTGCCACACTGATTCAATATTATTAAGAAATAATTTTAAAATTCCATTAGTAGTACCATTTATAAATTTCATGGCACAAAAGCCATGACTCATCTCCAATTCTAGAGCTGGAATCTATACAGATGAATTCCAAATAAGGAAAGCAGTAAGCGAACGTGGTTCAGATTTTGATAGAGAATTCAAAGCTATTCTCCTGGCTTTAGAAGTATTAAGAACCATGTATGTTAGAAACATCTTGAAAATCTTAAGCTATACTAGCTCGTGCCCGACTTCTCTAAGAGCTTCATTCAAAGGGTATAAATAACATACAATGGTTACCCAGTCATTGTGGTATTACAGGATATGAAGCAGATGGAAGGATGAAGTGGAGAGAGATGCGAAGAAGCTAGGAGTTTGCAATTGGAAGGGAGTAGCACAGGACAGAGAGAAGTGGAGAAGAATAACTCAGCAGGCCAAGGTTCATGCTGGCCTGTAGCGCCGGGGAGTTAGTTTTAAATACAATATATTACGGTGGAAATATTGAACATGGATCAAATAGTAAAAGTTGGTTGGGAGTACGGTGTAAGTTAGAAAGTACAATAGCACTTGCTTAGAAAATTTCATATGAGCAGCACAGATGAAGATAAAAAAACATAGGCTGAAACATTTACATATAAGAAAATAAAGCTTTTTATTTATACTGAGAGAATCTGGGCCAAGAAACAATGGACTCTTATATGAGTCGGGATGGAATTGGACTCAAGCAATGGTAGCCTTATATATGAGTCGAGCTAATATAATAACATATTTCAGTTTTGTTTTTGTTAAAGGGAAAGGAAACATATAGCAGGTTTGTTTTTAGATGACGAACCAATCAATTGTATAAAAAATAAAGGTTTAAAATGTCATATTTTATAAAAAAAAAAAAAAAAAAGTATAGGTCATGTAACAAAAACAAAATATGATTATGATTTATGAATAGAAACAAGTAATTTTTCAACAATAGTTGCTGTTATCATGATTAGATTTAAAAAAATTCAAAACTGATAAAAGTTTAAAGATGGAAATAAAATGATATTATGAAAGGATATATAAAAAATTAGCTGTATAAGAATAATAGTCGCTAATGCCACAAATCTAAGTAATGACATAAGAACTTAGTACATGTTCTTCACTATCATCATTTTCGTCCAGATTAATGTCTATCCTCCATCACTGTCATCATGATCTTTAACATAATCTTGATCATCCCTTTATCTGGATAAAATCATTTAGAAGATTCACTCTGTCTTTTCCAGTTACTTGCTCAGATGATAAACAATACTTTTATTTTTTTTAATGCATCTATAAAAAGGTACTGAAGGTTCGTTCTGTGGCTGCAGAAGTGATAGCTCTTAAAACTCATAGGGCCATGTTGCAGGGTTCTCTTAGTTTCTTTCATCGCATTCAGGTCAAAGTATCTCGTATTTACATAACTTTCTTCCACAAGTAAATTCTTACAGATTGGCCTTTCCCTACATCTGTACTCAGGAACATTTTCTCTCACCTTCATTGAAAACAAATCCATTTGCTGTATACATTCACAAACAACCAAAACCAAGATTTAATGCATTCCCATATAGGAATCATAAATTTCAATAATCAGCTGTTCTCGGAATTTCAGTTATAGTACGGTCATGAGATCTTGGACCAACCATAAAAGTAGAGCAACACTTGTAAAGTACTACCGAAATAATAAGGGAGCTATGTCTAATAATTAGATATGAAACTTACTAAATTACTAAATGAATGTTCCTCGTTCAAAGAATTACTCTGAAAAAAATTAAATATAGTTCTAAATGTAAATGACATATAACATTTCTTTGGAGAATAAAATTATGATTACAAACAGGATAAAGAACTTAAACTAACTTTCTTAAGGAAAGGTAACTAAGTAATTGAATCAATGAGATTACTCATCCGACTTAAGTGGACAAAGGTTTTTAGACAAATCGTTGGATACGACTAAAAAGTAATTAAATATAAAATACTTACTGTCCTTCCTTAAAATAATCCTTCAATGTATTACTAAATCTCTTTGAAAACTTGACGAACTCCCTCTTCCTCTGTTCCAAAGCTTGTTTTCCTGTAGGGCCAGGAATGAACCCAGCTACTTCATTAACTGCATCCAGTAATTTTTTAATTGCACTAGCTATTTCTCTACAAAAGTACATGCAATACAATAATTTAGCGTACTCAAGTAAACCTCAAAAATAAAAAAAATAAACCCAAGGAACGGGACTAACTTGATAGTTTCTAAAAACGTGGATCGATCGGTTATTTCATCAGGAATACGACTTAAAATCTTCTTTAAAGCTGCAGATTTTCTATTAAGTTCTTGAAAAGCATCTTCAGACCTGGTAAGTCTATACTCAACTGAAAAAATGAAGTTAAACAAATTAGTGATAAAAGCTTGTCATCATCCATCCAGTAAAAAAAAAAACTACAGCAGGCATTTACCATCCGTTTCTGTTACAGCCCCTTGAAGTCGTAACATACTTTCATTCATATTAACATTTAAATCACCTTGCCTCAGAATACCCACAACAAAATCATAAGTAAAACCAGGATGTACAGCTTCTACTTTTGAAAGAGCAGCTCTCAGAGTTTGAGAAGCAACAACATCACGTCTTTCTAACTATAAATAAAGGATAACTTTAATTTCAAATGAACTTGTTCAAAACTAGAAGATAAAATGAAATATAGACTTACATTGGAAAGGATGGGTCGAATTAAAACGGGCATAACAAGAGATGTGACTGGTGATTCATCTCCCATTGTCATCCTTCTTAATGTTATGAAGTTTACTAGGTAGGAAGCAAAATTAAATTTGAAAGAAATATCTTAAGATAAGTCAAGTAGACAATAGGCTAGCCTCTAGTCAAAATAACAGCTGATTGATTTTTTTAACTAATACGAGGAAAAGAACACTTTATTATCTCGAATTGAAAGAAGTCCGACAAGATAGGTTTCTCATAGAACAAATTAAGTAATATGTTTGAAATTATCATTAAAATTATAAATAAAAGAAAAACTAGATCCTTCCTCAAGAATGAAATGAATTGTTGTCACTGCGCAATGTTACCAATAGGTATACTTTTTTTAGTTGTAAAAACATAATTTATTCAAAGACTAATTATTATTTTAAATGAAATAAATATTGAAAACTCTTAAATAACACCTTTTTAGAAACTTATATCATACTAAATTTAAAAATTGAATGTTTCATTTAAAAATTAAAAAAGGAAAATTTTATTTTTCTTCAAATGAAGTTATTCTCTGCTGAGTTTATAATTACAACGAATATAAACAGTCTGCATTATTAAAAATAGTAAAATCAATAAAATACTTATTCTATGTAAGTTTTCAGATAATTTAGTGTATTGGTTTTGGATTTCTTGGTACATTCAGCTTGTTGATAAATATATTTCCATGCAAATCGTTTTCTTCTTTTTGTTTTTTATTTGTATTTGATAGAAAGATGTTTACATCTCGTTTTAATCTAGTAGTGTTAGCCAATTAGTCAATAAATTGCTGCAAATCTCTTTTACGAAATTTTACTAACCATATGGTTGGCATTGAATTCAAGCCCGAATACACTGGTCGTGTTGAAAAAGATGTCTATTTCATTTTATTTTACAACCGGGAGGTTGAAATAAATATATGTATAACTTTAGGGTGTAACTTTTGTTCTTTATTAAGATTGTGATGAATTTTTCAAACAATTGTACTCAAGTATCAGTTAAAAAAGGCTTAAATGGCTTCGAATACGGCAGTGAAAATGGATGTTGATAATCCATTAGTTCTCAAAAGGTCTAGCAGTGCACCGATGATCAACGAATTGAATAATTCAATTTCTTCTCAAGCACCTACCAACCCTCTGAGGTCAGTGATGTACATTTTAAAGACGAAAATATCGGATTAAATGGTATTTATCCCCAATTCAAATGTCTATTTTTGTAGGGAACCAACTTTACAACTATGCTCTGGTGTTCCACGAATGCGAAGGTTTAGTGCGAGTTTTTCTCCCTTATCTGGGCCTTCATCCCCAAAATTAACACCTAGGGTTAACCAGCTTAGAAGGGAAGAAAGTGTTGATGTTATTGGAAGAGAAGCTGCTCATGAAAGAGAGCTTAATTCAACAATGGTTATGTCTCAGTCATGGGAAGATCTGACTTTAGTTGCTGACAATCCTAAAGTAAATATTAAATCTTTATTACTCTGTTGCTAAGTTATCAACATTTTTATTGATTTATATAGTTATGTTTACAGTATGATATTCGATAGTAAGACATATTTTTGTTTTGTCGCTTGTCTTATAATTCATAATTTTTTAGGAATGTTCAGATAATGGGAAGTTGAGTCCACTTTCGGTCAGTTTACCTCCGTTGTGTTCTACTCCTTCTCCTACGCGCCCTGCTTCAGTCCCTTTGAGGCACTCTGTTTTCAAACCAACTTCATCACCTAGCCCAACTAGGAAGTTTACTACCAGGTAAACAAACAATTATTATTACTATTATTTGGAATTAATGATGTTATTCAATAATTCTCTAACTTATAAATATAACACTGAAGGATATTTATTTTATATAGTAATGAAATATGTTTATCTATTCATTTTTGAGGTTTGTTTGTTTAGAGCCTATAATTGTATTATGTTTGTGTCAGAGTACAGCTTTTAATCGTTAACATTTGTTATTAAATTCTCTACAATATCAATATTTTTGGACCTTTAAATTAGATCAGGGATATTCTAATGTTATGTATGTATTTAATGGTTTCTTCATTGAATGACCGTTAATCATGTAAAAATTTTTTGTGTTAATAATTTTTCTCAAATTCTGAAATAGTTTATTTTACTTTATTGATTCATAACAAATAGCTAATTTATATTATTTTTTCCCACTTACAATTGAAATTTTTATAGTTATGCCTGATTCTCAGCATTATTAGATTATTTATTTAGGATTTTGTGCTTTTATGTTTTTGGAATCTATTAGTTACAGTTAAAATTTTGAATTTATAGTGCATATTTTGTATAATTAGAGAAGAAAATCATCCTTACACTTAAGAGATATTTGAGAACGATTTATAATTGTTATATTATGACCACAAATTTAGTTCACTACTTTAGTTATTTATTTTATTAATTGAATAGAGACCTTTTTTCTTAACCCAGTAAATCAACATTTTTACTGAAGTAGTATTCAGAGTATCGGTGTGGTAAAACTTTAGTTTTGTTAAAAATGACAGCTCGGGGAAGATCACATCGATCACACTGTTGATGTTATTCTCTAAATGGCTGAATATTGAAAACTATGTTTATGGTTTAATCTTGCTTTGATTATATTATGTTTGACTTCCGCTTTGCTTAAAAGAGATAGGTAAACTCTGATGCATTTTTTTTTAGTTGAGACCAGGATCTTAATTAACTTTTATTAGGTTGTGATTTTTAACTTCTACTCAATCATGAAATTTTAACTAACTTTCAAAAAGTTTTTTCAATTGGAAGTCGGGATTTTACCTTAAAGGGGACATTAGTCATCTCTTTCTACATTCAAATTTTTCTCTAAAGACATAATCTTGTTCCAGCCTCCGCATTTCAGTGAAACTTGATGAAGTAGTATCTCTTCCAAAAATTAATGTGTAACTGCAACAATGTTTTATAAATGGCTAGCTTTACCCGGCCACGCGCTGCTGTGGCTTAGCCTGGCAAAATGAAAAAGAAAGAAAATGGAAAGCACATATGAGTAGATTAGTATAAAGGACATTTGTCATTTTTAAAAAGTTGGAAACAAATTTTCTGTAAAATGGCTTCAATTTAAAATAATTCTAATGATTTTTTTCTCAACATTCATAATCATCTGATTGAATACGCCGTCATTCATAATCATCAGAAACAGTCTGAGTTGAACTTATAAAACTAAATTAAAAAATTTAGTATTGACCTACATAAGGAGAATCATATAACTTCTTCAAATGATAATTTCAATTACTGTAGTAATTATAAAATTTTTGATTAATCAATAAAAAAAAAAAATGCTTGCCGACCTTTGGTAGTGAGGAAGCAAAAGGAAACGGCCTTTTCTGAAGAGGAAGCAGTAAATGTTTAAAACTCTAACTTTGCAACGAACCGTCCGATTTCGATGATTTTTTTTGATTTTTTTGGCAAATCAGGAATCTTTCAAATAAATATAGGTATTATCAATAAAAAATTGTGTAGTTTTTTAGTTATCAGCAAATTATGTTATACACATAAATTAAAAGGGTTTCAAGGGGAAGACTTTAGCCAAGTTTCATTAAAATCGGTAAAGCCGTTTTGGCGCTACAGTTCATAGCGTCACATTTTTAATTTTTTTTACATGTATGAAATTATCATAAGACAGAAGTACTATGCCAGAAACCTTCCCAGGAGTATACGGAACAACTTCCCAAAGTTTCATGGCGATCGGTTGGATGGTTTAGTAATGCTTTAAGGACAAACAGACAGACATACATTCATTTTTATATATATAGATGAGTTATTTCTTTTTGTTAATTAATTGCACTGAAGATTCTCTTAAATAAATTCCTCTTTTCTGAAATTGCTTTGTTTTTACTTTCATTTACCTATATATGAAATATATAGTGAGGGACAATATTTGAATCTGAGTTTTCAACGGAATACATGTTTTGAGGTGTCCTGAGTCCAAATAACCAAGTCCCGCAAAATGGTCTGTGTATGTGTGCGTGTATCTGTGTGTATGTATGTGACAGGTCTAGTCGTATGAATGTGCAATTGCATATTTAAGGTTTGTACACACCTGAGGTGTTACAGCAATTTTTTTTGTCAAAATCGGCTAACCGTAAGTGGCACTTTATTTCATTTATGAAACACATTTTTACTATTTTTTCTTAAAATGCTCCAACGATTTTGATTAAATTCATTATATCAGTGTAAAATTAAGCAGTTTTTAATATTATCTAGGTTTTATTCTCATTGATGTTATCGAATAGGGCTTAAATGGCTAATTTTCGATATTAGCCTCCTCTAAAGTACTTTTAATTTTATTTATTTGAAACAATTAACCATTTCACATTGATCTCTAATATTAAAAATAGTTAAAAATAAAATATGAAAGAATTTGATAGTTAACTAAAGGAGAAATAAGATATTGCAACAGAGAATAGTTGTAATGTAGGAACCAAAGGGATATGAGAGCGCACCCGAGCTCGCCTGAAGATTAGAACAGGCTTTCATAGTAATATGAGCCTAATATAATATGGACTTTGCCAATATTATGTACATATACATATGCCTAAATGTTTTCATTGGTATTATTTAATATTTAATTGTATAGATTACAGCGATATAAATATAAAAATTTTTATATAATAGGGTACTTAAACAAATAAAAATATCCGTAATGAAATATAAATCAATATAGCGTTTATAATTTTTACTTTCACTTCCCCTTTGTCTGAAAATACATATTTCTGCTAAGAAGGAGTGATAAGTGAAAGTTGTGTGATGCAAGCATCGCACCAGATTTTTTTTCTTTCTCTCCGTAAACTCCCTTCTTCCTTAAACCTTTTTTGTCTGTGTTGTTATTTTCATTTGACATGATTCAGCGAAGTACATACTGGTTTGTTTAAGTTATGGGGAAGTTTATTTTGTTTTTATTTGAGAGGTTCGGATCAACGAGGGTCATTTTTGTATTCTTTCTTAATCTTTATGCTAAGTGATTATTTCAGTAATATTTCATGAATATTATGGCCGGTCGAAATGAGGTAGGTCAAGATCATATTGATCATACTATAGTAAGTATAAAGAGGTGATTGATTTCCATACCTTCTTAAGAAACAAATTATATAATATATTTGATTATGTTTAAGGATCCATCTCTAGTAAAATAAATGGATCTCTGCTTAGTAACACCCCATACTCAACTGGTAAGAACACATTGAGGGTTTATTTATCCCTTGAGCCTAGATGTCAACACTGATCGATAGGATCTTCACCCTCCTATCAATCAGTGAACTTGTATTATTTTCTCAAATTTATTTTTATTTGCTTGAAGCATCCCGTGTTCTCCAAGTTGAGCAATTTCAAATATTCATCTTCTGTAATGTTTATATCACCATCATTCTACTTAAAATATTAGTTTTGTTTAAAATTTCTATCTTTTGTTTGTTGATATCTAATGTTGGCTTGTTTCCACAAGATGACGGGACACGACTACCTTCAAAGACATTTGCAGAGGATTGAAAAGCTCTGCGTTCCCTCTATAACTACATCTCCCAGGATTTCTCACTCTCACGTTCTCAATAATGATAACATTGCTGATGTGACTGGCGTAGCTGCTTAGTGTGGGACCCATGACATCACCTTTGAGAGTGCTGTTATAGATAGAAAGATAGAAAAAAAACAACTTTATTCTGGGACTAAGTCCCTTTAGAATAACAATATTGTACAAAAGAATAGAATATTACCGGCCTAAAAGTTTGAAACAATAAATAAAATAAAATAAAAAGTAAAGAAAACCTTAGGTGCACTAGCTATATACAATACAGATAAAACTATGTACAGAGCATTTAAAACTATGAACAAAACAATTAAAACTATGAACGAATCACTTGAACTATGAACAAAACTATATATAAGGGTTAAACAACATAAACATACACTTTGAGAAATGAAGAACGAAAAAGAGATAGAATGAGTTCATTTCATAAAAAAAACTTTACTTGTATATATATATATATATAAACAGTTAATTATAATTGAATAAAAAAAAAATGTATGTATTGAAATTCCTACGTCGATAGTAGGAAATGCATGTACTATCGCTTACCAAGTATTATGATTATATGATTGCTACACAATACATTTATAGTATTAATAGTTAGCTGGTATCTGACTGTTTTTGGAACAGGAATTGGATGTCCGGAGGTTTTTGAATGTGTATAGGGAAGGGGCATGCCGAATTTTGATCGGGAGAGGATTCCAAAAGTTGATAGAGCGGGCTATAAAGGAGTTTTGGAATGAGGCAGATCTATGAGAAGGGATGTATAGGTCAGAGGGTCGAGATCTTGTAGTGAGGGAATGGATTGAGGACTAAAATTGGAGAAGGTTGTAGGCATAAGAAGGACGATGATCGGTAATGACTTGATAAAGGAAAGTGCCTAGGAAATATTGTTTTCTTAAGGAGGGGAAGAGCCAGCCTAACTCAGTGTAGTGATGGGAGACACGGGGGCATCTCGGGGTCCCAATTATAAATCTTACGAAGCTATATTTAGTCTATCACTGAGTTCCACCGAGAGGCCATCGTACACCACACAACTGTAGTCAAAGATGAGAGAGGAAACTAGGACTCTACGGTGTAGTAATTATAGTATAGGCATTGAATAAAAACAAGTCTTTGTTCGTTCTATAACTTTATTCAGTAATTCAGTAATGCATCAAATAGTTCAAGTATTTTCTGGTTGCCATAGACACTAATCTCATGTTAGTTCTGTTAGCTTGAGACCACCATTTTCACCTGATCTAGTTTCAGTTAATCCTAATGTTTTATCATGAGAAGTCATATTGATGTAATCTTTTTATATTTCGGAAATCGTATCAGAATAATTTATTTCCTCTCTTTTGAACATAATTTAATAGCAGACTTTTTTTGGCCCTCAAATTCATCTCGCTAGAATTTTGTTTTTAGAATTTATACATTGTTAAGATTCATTACTTAATTAAAAAATGTTTTTGACAATTTGTAGTTCTAATAGTCTCGTCCTTTATTAACTTAAAGTTGAGGTTTATGATCTTGTGAGTGAGATTTTCATAAGAATATTAATGAAAGAATTAAGTTCTTCATTTAACATCTGTAACTAATAGGTTTAATTATGCTTTAAATACTGTTCTATATTTTTAAGTATGAAACAAAATTGGCCATTCGACTGCTTATTCATCTCTAAAGTTCTATATTATTGTGTATTGAAATTTAGGAAAACTTATACCTAGAAATTTAATACTGCTTACACCTAGCCAAAAATTAAATGTGTAAAATTTATGTAATATTTTTTAGGCGAAGCCAAAGTCCAATAGCTATGAGGCCTTCTGCTCTTGGACCTGTTAAACGTAAATTTCAACTTGAGGAGAATGAACCTTCTGCAAAGAGATTTTCTGGTTTATTGATCCAGCAAGCCAGGTTCTTTCTAATGTTATTTCATTTTTTTATTACTTTACTTGATTTAATAATTTATTTAACATAATGATAAGTTTGGTAAATCATAAAGTAGTCTTAAAATTAATATAATATAATATTAATATTGAGTATAACCATTAGTCTCTCAGTTTTTATAATGTTGTGGTATGCTTGAAAATGATTTTTCAAATTTTGTATGTACTTTTCAACCACCTGGGTCATTTAGTCTCCCTTAATTATAATTATTAATTCAAAAACACAAAAGTAGATTAAAAAACTATTAAGTCACCAAAAAAATGAGAGTCGACAAAACTACAAACAACTAATACGATCCTACTGCTTTTTAAAATTGAAAATTAATCGCCTAATTTATGATTCGTTGGTTTCAGTTGGCGAAAAGGTTACTGATGAAAGTACTATGAAATTAAAAGTTAAAAAGAATTTATTTTCAATGATAACTAGTTTAATTTAGAGTTTACTTATGCTTTCGAACATGCATTATAAAAAATAAAAGCAAAATAACTTTATTCTGTAACAATGTCTAAGAGCTTTGTAAAGGAAATAAAGATCATTTATGGCTAAAAGAACTATAATATTGAATGAATATAAAGGATAAACATTAGATTATCAAAAATATGTACAAAAAAAAAATTAAGATTTTCTCAAAAAAGTATTGTTCCACTTTGCTTGTTGAACCAAGATTTCACGATCACACTATAAATACATTTCTGAGAATGGTCGAGTATTGACCTGTTTACAGTATGATCAGATTAACAATGGAAGTTCTGATTAACTCATATTAAGTTCTGTGTCATAGATAGATAGATAGAAAGTAAACTTTATTGTGGGACGAGGTCCCTTATGAATAACAGATATGAACAAAAAAATAAAAACTAAATCTGGCCAAAAATTACATTAGTCAATATTAAAGAATATATACAGTATCTTCAGTAAAATTATATTAAAACAAGTAAAAATAACACCGTTTTGAAAAAAAAAAAACATTATTTAAATGAGAATAAAATAAACATGGATTGATTTTTAAAATTAAAACTCTATCAATTTTAACAACCATTCACCTCAGTCGAAATCTGTTTCGCAATATTTATTTCATTGTATGACGTTATTTTGGGATGTGAGAAGGAATTGGTAGAGATGATATTTAAATGAGGACAAGGAAGAGGCATGGCGGATATCAGATGGCAAGAAATTCATACATTATTTATTAAAGATGAAAGCAAAAATACTTACACCACAAAAAAAAAAAAAAAAAAATGAATAAATGTTCCTTTGATTGATACTTATGTACAGAATAATTACATATATGTATGAAAATAAACCACAAGAAAAAAAGTAAAATAATTTATGTGACCTTAAGATAAATTTACACAAACTTTTGCTAAACAGCAGAGACAACCAACTACTATTTTTTGCCTTTACTATTAAATTGTACATCTGTCTGTCTACTTTCATGTCTAGAAGATTGAGTAATATATCCGGAAGTCCAAGAATAATCCTAGAATATATCTGAAAATCCAAGAATAATGCCACATTATCCACAAAATTAAAAAAAATAGAATATATATCTGTAGTATAATCTTTTGTGAATAATGAAGAATTTATAGTATATATTAATAATGAAAAAATAATTTGGAGTAATAAATTAAAAAAAAATGCTTCTCCTATATGGTATTCCCAGGACAATAATTTGTTCTTAAGAAAATTCAGATGCTTTCTTAGGCATTCACAATTGTAATTATTAACAATGCATCATCTACAAACAAGTCTGTGACGCGAGAATGGAAAACAAATGTTTGATGATGTTTAATAAATTATGGTAACCATGGCTTGGAGCAAAGGTTGCCATGTTACAACAGTATCATCTCTCTTTGTCACGATTTATTGATTTCCTAAACTCTCAAGTGGTCCTTTTTCAGTAGAAACTGTGACCTTAATAGCTTTAATTAAATTTCTGCTTTCGACTTTTGGGTACTTTTTGTCTAGGGGCCGCTTCTGACTGCTATCTGCCAATGTTTATAACTTGAACACTGATAACTCCCATAACGCAGTGATAAGCCTTCTCCTACTTCATATCTTCGTATTATTGTATTAAATTTGTATTATTGAAAGGGTAAACAGATACAAAAACAAATGTAATAACAAAAAAAATAATTTTATCTGACGACACATATATTAATGAAATAATAAAAAAACACTTTAAGAAGATATGTACATATAAAACATCAAAATGAGATAATAAAAGAACATATTTACATAGAAAAGAAAAAATATAAAACATAAAATCTGTTTTATAAAAAGATAAAACATTCATCTGTTTCTCGGTAAACTCCAGCTAACATCCACTGCTGAGGTAAAACTCTCCCCACATGATTTTTTCGTTTAGAAAAAAGACTCGTCTATTTCAACAACTTTGCCAGGTCCTCCAATTTTTTTTCTTGGCCTGTATAACATGTCATGGGCACAAACCTCTCTTAGACATTTGTTCAACGTTACCATAGCACCGTAGGATAGTTTCAGCTGCTGTTTGCCCCACTTCATCGTTGTCAAGCTATGGGACCACCCATAAATCAATTTTAAAGCTGTTAAAAACGAAATCCTCGAGCCCTCCAACCATGTTCCTTTCCTTATTGAAAGTTTTGTGTCATAAGTCCTACGAAAGCATCTCCATTTGTCCTTCCTGGTTAACTTCATTCGATGACCTCGTTCACACAATTTCACATCGGCAAGTACCCCAACATTTTGAAAATATTGAATTGCCTGCTCTTCTGAAGGCGGCAAATCCCATATTCTAAGAAGATCCATAATATGACGAAAATAAACGGAAAAATAAACACAAAGGGGCCACAAACTAAAAAAAAAAATGTAAAATAAACACAAATGGGCCAAGATGACGTTAGATAAGATAGATAAGAAGTGAGGTTTCAGTCCGGCACGCTAGACAAAAAGTACTGACTTTTGCACGCTACGCTCGCTCAAAAGGAATAATTGAACCTTCAATAAGTTCTTTTCAGTTGTGGTCGGAGCCTTACATATCAGTTTACTTTAGGACACATTTATTTATCCACCATTCTCGGAATTCCATTTGTTGTGTAATCTCTTGTCACCCGTCTGAGTGGAGCAACTCTTATAAAGTAGTGCCAAATAGTGTATCAAAGGAATTTAAAATTTTATAAAAAATCAATTAATAACTTATTTATTATTAGTAATATTATAATTTTATGGTATAATATTGTAACAATACCTATAACATTTTCAGGTTTGAACCAGTCTTAAAGAGCCCGACATTAGATAGTGGGTTGGGCGGTTTTGACAGGCTGACTCAAGAGAGCGCTGCGGTACCAGCTGCCAAAGGAGACTGATCGTTTCTTTTATTTCATTACTTTTTCTTTTCTAGTCTACATAACCCTTGACAAATGTACCAAGTCGGTAGGTAGTCTACTTTCAAATCATGTTCATAAATTACTATCCTAATCCTTCCCCTCTTTTCCACTAATAATGATTATTATCCTGTTCAGAACTAAACATTGTTTTTGTGATCCATGTTTTTCATTTTCAGATTTTATATTTTATTAAATTCCAACTATTTACAAAAATTTAAATTAACTATTTTTTAGTAAATCATAATTGTAATGTATATTGTATTTTAGATAAAATGCTAGGATGAATCAAATCCAATTGGGATTTTATTATTTTTTAAAATTCATTTATTGTATAACAAAAGCAATTTTAATTCATTTTTCCACATAGTTTCTCGCTTTAGAAATACATTTTTCTAAGCGAGAAGAAGAAAGGTTTATTTTACCGGAGCATTGTAGAATGAAGCTCCTTACATCATGAGTCAATTGTGTATAGCAGACCCTACACGGTCATTCGGAATTGCATTCCGAGGCACTAATTCCGAATTATCATGTAAGGTAGTGAATGAAGTACTGATGGTGGTGCGTTGCGGATTTCCGAACATCCGGAAATCAAAGGTTCATTCCCGAGAATTGGAGGGGGGACTGAGGTAAAAGTAGTGGCGAGACTAACCATACTACTGGATAGGTTAGGTTACCTAGGCCTCACAACCATTATAAATTTCTGATTTTCATTATAAATAAATAGTTAAATAATTTTTCATATCCCTTGTTTATATTTTTAAACCATCTTCAACTATTTATTTTAAATAGTCAAGTGGGCAACAAATTAAAAAAAAAAATGAAGAAACTTCACAATTTACTTTAGGAAAAAAAAAAAAGTGTATATTTGTCATTTCTTTTCCCATTTTCCTCAACAAATTTATTATTTTCGCAATACTTTTCCTTAATTGTTGTAAGAAGTAGACTTATATTTTACTAACTTTTGTCAAAACGATTTTCTATGTGACTAACCTTACTACTAGATAGGTTAGTTTACCTAGGTCTCGTTTTTAAGTAAATAATTTCATAAAAGTAAATAGTTGTTTAAATCCCTAGTCTATATTTTTATTAACCATTTTCAACTATTTTTTCTTTAAATAGTCAAGTAGGCAAAAAATAAAATAGTGGAAACTTCACAATTTACTTATAGAAAAAAAATCTTTAACTGTTGTGTTTATCTCTCATTAATTTTTCCATTTTTATTAACAAATTGATTATTTTCACAATACTTTTCCTTGATTTTTGTATGTAGTTAACTTATCTTTTTCTAACTTAGGTCTAAACGATTTTCAGGCACTAGGAAGTAATTATTATATCTCCATTTTTCTCTTGATGCCCAATATTATAAATGACAATGTCCAAATAAGCATATCTATGCTGTTTCTTTGTTTACAACTGAGCTAAATTGGTGTCAGCAACGATAAGTAATGATTGAACGTGTAGGGGTCTTCATGATCAAAACGATCCTGAGCAATCTTAGCCATTCTTGTGACGTTCATTCATGAATTACCATGTAGGGTCCGCTTATGAATTTGTCCTCACCCTCATCATCTTTTAATCATTGCCTTCCTAGTGTTTCTTTAAGCAGCACAAAAAAAAAAAAAAAAAAATGGAAATCTCAGAGCCATAATTATAAATAAGGAGGATAATCAAGTTGACTCTTCTGTGTTTGGAGACTGTAAGAGCTGCAATATGAGGTTTGAGGAGGATGATCCCTTGAATTGGTTGCTCTCGTCTGTTATAGCGATATGAATCCATCCCCTCGTAATAGTTATAAATAGTATTGATTGTGTGTCATACATGCTAAAAATCAATGAACAAAATACCTCTTGCTGTTAGGGGTAAAAAAACAGTTGAAAGATCCATGCCAGGTGATTTTCAAGTCTTATCTTTCACTTCTTGTCGTTCCTTGAATTCTTTATGCCTTGTTTATGCATGTGACCTTGACAATGTTTTTATCACAGAACAGTTCAGTTAATCTCTGGAAAATATTTGTTATTTGAACTCCTCCAGGAGCAAGAAATTTTTTTTTTAGTTAGTTGCTTCAACATTGTGAACATTACTGATGATGTTGGAAGTATGGTACGGCTCACTTTCCCCACTCCTAATGGTCTCCAAGTATATTGGAAGTCTGGGTCCAGTCCTACCACAGGGCGACGATCGACCTGAGAAAAGTCAGGGAATTTTTTTTTAGTACATAAATAATTTTATCAAATTGGAAATAAATATATTGTGGATATCGTTTATAATGACTTTGAAGGGGTAAACTTCGTCATTTTGAACGACCACGGTCGCTATATACATCCATCGTTGACTGTCAATAACGGCACTGGCGTTATGTTGAAATCAAACACAGGTAATGAATAAAATTTAAGCAAAATGGACTTAAAACAATTATTTTTTGAAAATAAAAACATACAAATACTATTTACTATTTACTATACATCTTACAAGATCTGGCTGGCAGACACTCGTTCGTCCACCCCTTACCCGTGATGCTCCTTAAAAGAGCATTTATTAACCAGAAAGTGTCATGGATAATTATTAATCTATTTATAGTAATAAAGAAACTAAATTACTTATCCCCACATATATTATTACAGTAAGGTTCGAAATCGGTTTTGTACCAAATATAAGCTCTTGTCATGCTCAAATACCATGAATGGAGCACCGTTGGATTCAGAATTTCACGGGGCATTAGCGAATCGTATTCTCCACTTATGTTTTTCTTTCTAAAATAAATAAAGTCGATACAAACATTTTGCTAGGCTTCAATACTGGAATGGTGGTAGGTCTGTAGATCGATATGGGACAAATTGGATCTTGAAGATTTTGATGCGTACAGCAAGACCCGGATAGTTCCTCCGGAACTATCGGATCCTGCGTTTTTAAGCCGAAAAACGTAGTATTTTTGAGATAACGCAAGGCATAGGGTTCGCATCCACACAACCTTACATTAATTGTAGTACTGTCATTGAATACATTTCTCATTTTGTCGACTTGAGGTCTCTATGATCGAGAGAGGAGGAGTTTATATTATTTATCGATGGTTTTTTTGATCGGCAAGCCATATCATTAATTTTTCACCAAATCTCAAGATTGAGACACCAATTTCGAAGGCTTCCTTCTCCTTCAGGCGGGCAAAATAGCCCAATCACCACGAAAATTCTGGCAAACAAGTTATGAAAGAAAAAAAACTTTATTTATGAACTGAAAGATTACACACTTTTTTATTGGTTATGCCCATGATTATATAAAAGATTACTAAATTCCCTACAAAATGGAAAAAAATATTTCGAAATCGATTAGAAATTTTTCCAATATTTTTTTTTCTTTTTATTATTTATGTTTTCTTATTTTCGATTAATAGTCATCAGGAAAGTTCTATTATAGCCCATTTCATTTGAAAATAACTATATATTTGGCATATATATATATTTGTCAGGAAAAAAAACACATCGAAATCGGATAATTTTTAGCAAAGATACAGCTTACTGAAATTTCTAAACATGTTGGTTCCAAACAAAAATAAAGATTTAAATTAATTTTTGTTTTCTTTGTCGATTATATTTATCGATAGAGTAACATTTGATTTCTTAATCTTTTGATACGTTGCATTACTTCATTTTCTAATTAATTTGGCATTTGATAACTATATGCTGTGCGAATTTTTCGCATGGGCCTACTAGTAACAAATTACATTAATATTAGAATCCCCTGTACCTCACTTTATTTTACATTGAAGAAAATCAGAGTTTTAAATGTCAAGTATCAACTTTTACTATCTCTCAGTTTATGAAAATAAAATAAAAGTGATAATAATAAATTATTAAAAGTTTAGTTTTGTAAAATAAAAAATTAATCAAGCTTAAAAAATGCTTCTTCTAAAACATTATATTTGTTATTTGAAATTTTTTTTTCGCTCAAATCATTTTGTAGTTATTTTCTTTCATTTATAATAAATAAATTTAGTTATAAATTATACATTTTTAATATTTGTGTCTCCAGACATATCGGTCAGGGAAAACTATCATTAAATTGGGAAAAATCAGGGTATTTTACTTTAGCCACCCTGTACCAATTGTAGTTGTGCTGTGCTACAGACACTAGCGGATCCAGGATTTAATTTTGGGGGGGGCTTGAGCCCGAAAGATTTTTTTTTCATAAAAATAACGATAATTACTTCAGAAAAAAAGAAAGAAACTAACTACCTATATGAAATGGTGTTTAAGTGATTCCTAAAGCCCTTTTGAATGTAATTACACGAACAATAGTACTTTGAGAGATAATTTTTTATTTGGCTACAGAATAGATATCCTATCGATATTTGATTTATACTTGTTTATATATTTTCAAAAAATTTTATATCAATAAATAGGAACAAAACTGGCGCTCAAGTATGATCTCTTTCTAATCATCTAGCACAGCTGTCGATCTAGAAACAGTATTTACTTAGAAATTACTGAACCTTAGACCATTCATGGATTGTAGTGGCACTGTTTTTGAAAATAGTTTTAGTGCATCATTCGTTTTCAACATATATAAAAAGATTCGCTAATTAAAAACTGATTTTTATAATTGTTTAAATATTTTTCAGAAAGAAAACTTGAACTGAGCTGAGGCGATGAACAGTACTTTTAAAAGAATGCCATTAATAATGTGTAGACTGTCTAGTCAGTACGGTAGATTACATTCTATCGTGCCCACATTTGCCTGTATGTAATAATCAGTCATTTATTTTAGTGTTTTAATAATTTATCGATGACTCATAAATTTAAGGTTTTTTTTTTTTTTTTTTTTAAACTGTAGGCTATATTTTAATCGTGAAATGTGAACTGTGACAGTTATAATTTTAGGTATCCAGAATATATGAAGTCAATCAACCAATATACCTCCTTAGTTATTTCTTTAAGAAGTGATAAAATTACTAAAATTATGTGACATTTAGTAATGTATTTATTAAGAATAGCTAAATTTATTATGTATCAAGTTACTAATTGCTGGTAAATTGATATTGATAATTCTTAA